GTATGGAGATTGTGAATTTGTGGTCTTGTGATCTTGTGAAATGTATAATATGTCGTTGCTGTCTTGCTGATCGTGCATGTTGATGTTGGCTTGCTAGTTGCTACTTGGTACCGAACTACTGATTATTTCATGCCTACATGACCTGTATAAGTTTGATCATAATGCGTACTTGCTGTAAACTTGCTGAAAATTGATTGCTCTATTGTTAAAGTATTTACTTGTTGCTGTACATCACAAGCTGGCTCGAGCCGGCTTGAGCTTTGAAACGAACCAAGCCGAGCTGCACTTTTTGCTCGTTCTATTAATCAAGCCAAGCCGAGCCCGTAGTTGAGCAAGCTTTCACGAAGCTCGGCTCGGCTCGTTTCCACCCCTAATTATAATCGTAGTACGGTTTTTATTTTTTTTAAGCAGCAGATGCAGGAGACGTCGCGCTGCGGTGCGTGGCGGCGTGGGGGCAACTGGCCGGTGGGCGGGCAGGACAGGACAGCTAGCGAGCGCACAGAACGGTGCTCTGCGTGGGCGTGTGTGTGTGTTTTTTTTTTGGGTATCTGCGTCTTCTGCGATGGCATCGTGTCGTCTAGACTTGGGACACGGCTCGTGCGCATCGTTGGCCTGGCTTCTGAAGTGGCTGCGCCACCATTTCTCCGTTACTTGATTTGTTTTTATTTTAGTATTTAGATAATGAACCCGTTCACTAATTATAGTGGTGATCAACTACTAATAAACCGCCTTTGCTGGAGATATATATATACTATATACGGACGGGTGTATCTCCAATCATATGACATTTTGTCATTATATCTGTCGTAGTTCTGCTTGATACTTCATGTACAGTATCAACTACCTGTAGTAGTATATAACAACGAGCTGGATCGAGATTCTTATAGCTTGATTGAATCAATTATGAATTTTGTGCCGATCGGCTCATGTTTTGTTATTTATCAACTGAATCTCACAAATCATTACACCTATAAGAAATAACCGTGCAAGCTATAAGAATCGTATTAAGTATTTTGGAAAATTAACACTAACAGGCCGGCTCTATCGTTTTTATGTGCACGGAAATGAATTATTATTATTATTATTATTATTATTATTATTATTATTATTATTATTATTATTATTATTATTATTATTATTATTATCATCATCATCATCTTCTGACTTTAATAGCAGTAAATATATTATCATGTAAGTAAAAAGCCGATTGAGATGATAAAGGGGTTAATGAGAAAAGAAAAAAAAAGATGAAGAAGCCATTTCTTCTCTATACACGAAACAATTAATAATGAAAATAAGTGAACAGGTGGATAAACAGAGAGAAGTAAGATGATTGAATGAGAATTGATTTAAAAAAACATGTCAATTATGTATATACTCTCTCCGTCTCATTTTAAACACAGCTATAAGTTTCCGTGTCCAAATTTAATTGTTCGTCTTATTTAACTTTTTTATAAAAAAATGTTCATGTTTTATCATCTAATAACAATAAAAAAATACTAATTATAAAAAATAAATAAAATAGATAATAAAAATTAGACACAAAAACTTATGGCTGCGAGTTAAAATGGGACGGATGTACTAGTTTTTAAACATAACTTCTACATGATATGCTAAGGATTGAAACTGTTTATACTAGTTTTTTCAGTAGGTTAAAAATTAATGATCTTACTAGTATGTCCTATATATGTTTTTAGAAGGCAATGCCGGTCTGGGCTTATAATACATTCTAATACAATAAATATAAATATAAGAATATGATATATAGAGATTCGTTGTATTTAGGTCGAAGGAAATACTTACTCACTCCGTTCCATTATTGTACAACAATCTTTCAACCGATAGGACATATCTTTAACACCAATATAAATACAGGTTTATGTATAAATGTAGTACATATATTCGTGTCGTATCCACCGCGACAGTGAAGTGGAGTTAAAAACAACAACCACTTTGCTGCCATGATCGCAACAGTGCCTTTTAACTTTTAACCCACCCGCAACGGGTTCGCATCGTCTGACATTGGGGGGAAATTGCAGAGGTGCACAGTAAACTGTGAGAGGAGCTACAGTGATCTACCATTAGTATAGTTTTTTTACTGCGCAAACAGTGCAAAATACTGTTTAATAGTACGGTATTGATTTACTGTTGGGTACTGTAGCAACCAATCCGGTTCGTCCAGGTTCAATCCAACGGCTGGAAATGAAGAAAGGCAGAGAGTACTGTAGCTCTCTGCCATTCTATTAGCCATGGCAGAGGATACGTTCCCACCCGCAACGTCTTCTCTCCTGGCTCCCTGCAGCGTACGGTACGTGTATATACTGTACTAGAGTTATCACTAACCTGTCACGTTAGCGTAGCGGGGGTGCTGCGACCTGGGTTCATTTGACGGATTCCCCAGCAAATTAAAGAGAAAATCCCATGTGTACCCCTGAAAGTTCACCTAATCACTTCTGTACCCCTGTATTTTGCTTAATCTCTTACATACCCCTGAATTTTTGTTTGGATCCCTTCCATGCCCTTTCCGCTAGTTGACCGTTAAATTCTTATGAAAAAGTCTATTTTGCCCTTTGGTGTAAAGAAGCATATAAATTAATAGAGTATATTGTTGAAGCATAGAAATTTGTTATATGAGACTGTTATGTTTATGAAATAGTTATGCACCATATTATTTGCGATAAATATACTTTTAGATATGACATAAAAAATTAATACTTATTTATTAGTTATTAAAAGATTTTTTTAGCATATGTGTTTTCATAGTAATACAACAAATCACTATGAAAACACATATGCTATATAAAAGAACTTTTAATAACTAATAAATAAGTATTAACTTTTTATATCATATGTAAAAGTAAATTTGTCACAAATAATATGGTGCATCACATACTCATAAATATAATAGTCTCATCCAATAAATTTTTACATTCCAACAATATACTTCATTAATTTATTATGTTTCTTCATAGCAAAGGGCAAAATGGACTTTTTCAAAAGAATTTAACGGTCAACTAACGGTCAACTAGCGGAAAGGGCATAGAAGGGATCCAAACTAAAATTCAGGGATATGTAAGGGATTGAGCAAAATTCAGAGGTATAGAAGGGATTAAGTAAACTTTCATGGGTACATAGGGGATTTTCTCCAAATTAAAAGGAAATTCACAAAACCAGTCTAGAAAAACGAAAAAACAAAAACAAAACAAAAGAAGATCATATCAAAATGAACGCAAGGATGGGTGAAAGCGATGAGGAGGAGGGGGGCGCAATTAGAAAGAGACGGGCACGTTGGAGTGATCCCAACAGCCAGAACGCGGTGCATCAGCGATGGAGCCATCGCCCATGTACGGCAACGCTTTCTTTCCACGGACTCCACACACACTGACACACACTCACCCCATGAAAGAGGATAAAAAAGCAACGTCTCACCTCACCCTTCCTCTCTACTACTGACAACAAAACCCACACAGCTTGCCTTGGACACCAAATTGGATCTCGACGTATAATGAACACAGATAGTACTACCCCGGTCTTTAAAAGATCACAGTTTTATAATGTTTATGTTCAATTTTGACCATTTATCTTATTTAAAAAATTTTCATCATTAATATTTTTATTATTATTAGATAATAAAATATAAATAATACTTTATATATAATTATTTTTTAAAATTTTTTTATAAATTTAATACGAACGGTTTAACGTTGAATACGAAACTCACACCTACATTTAAAATGGGACGGATGTAGCACCCAGCATCAGTCACACTACACAGTGGGGCCCTATATCCTACTGGCAAATGCCAGGGACCGCTACCATGCCGGATTCCACGCGCGGCAACACAAAACTGGATCAATTCTATGGGCTCGATCCATCGATAGATCGATCGTTTGGTTGGTTGGTTGGCGTGTCACGTCAGGTAGGCCATTTGCCCACTTCCCGCCTTTAACGCGAGTAGCTAGCTCATTCTGGCCGACCCGACCCATGCATCTATCCACATGTACCCAACATGCAAATGGATGAAAGAAAAAGAAGAAGAAGAAGAAGAAGATTCAATCGGTGGGCTCTGCACACTGGAATGAATCGAGCCGTTGGGTACAGCAAACTCCGGCCGAATCTTACACGTGGTCTCCCACACATACACTCATCGCAACTGAATATGCAAACGTGTTACTACTGTTTCTGTTTCTGTTTCTGTGCAAATCAAATTCAAATCTCTACAAATTCGACCCAACAAAAGTATGCTGCCAAACTATTGTTCTCTTGAAATGCAGCCTGAGAAATACTACCTTCGTCCCAATATAAATACAATTGTGGTTTCCGTGTCCAATATTTGACCGTCCATCTTATTTAAAAAATTATTAATATTTTCCTTATTATTAGATGATAAAAATGAATAGTATTTCATATGTGATTTTTTAATTTTTATACGGAGTTGCTAGAAATATGGCGCAATATGCTATAGTCGATTTTTTTTCCGCCACTTACACAGTAGTTACACCTCATTTACACCCCACTTACATATGTAATTAGTATGTAATTTTCAAATTTACATATGTAATTTTAGTACTTACATATGTAATTTTGAGATTTACATTGTAAATACACTAAAATTACATATGTAATTTAGGAACTTACAATGTAAATACATGCCGACTATTTTTTGATGAAAAATATGGCGCCATAAATATAGCTACACCCTTTTTATAAACTTTTTAAACGGGACGGACGCTTAAACATTAGATACGGAAATACACGATTATGGGACGAATGCAATGAAACAAGAAGTTTGGAATCCTACCTTGAATGTGGGACCGGTTGGAGAAAGCCTTTCGGTGTGCTGCATGTGGGGCCCAACGCACACAGCTTTATTAACTACAGTTAGTTAACCTGACCTAACCACCATTCCTTGACACCTGCCCGGACCAGTTCTCCGGGCCCACCCCCAACCGGCAGTAAATTACGGAACTGCCCCAACCAGTCCCTATAAATAACCGCCAAAACCATTTCCGCTCAGTTTGCCAAAACCACCAACCCGGAAGCACAAAAACCGCCCTCTCCTCCTCTCGTCGCCACTGCTCCCCAATCCACCCGACTCCGGCGATCTCCCATGGCGGCAGCGGCGACGGCCACGAGGCGGCCGAGCGGGCACGTCCTCTCCGCCGCGCACTACCGCTCCGCCTCCCCGACGCGCGTCAAGCTCGCCGGCGGCGGAGCACGCGCGTCCGTCAGCGTCTCGTCCGTGAGCCGCCGCTCCTGCATGTGCTCGCCGACCAACCACCCGGGGTCGTTCCGGTGCAGCCTCCACAAGGAGCAGAAGCGGAGCGTTCACCACAAGGCGGCGGCGGCGCCATCCTCCCCGCCGTCGCCGACCAGCCCGCCGGCCTCGGGCGGCGCCGTCAGGCTTGGCGGCGCGAGGCGGATGGGCGGCAGCGCGCTGGTGCGGATCGGCGCCGTGGAGAGCGGCCAGTGGGCGCGGAGGGCTCTCGCCGCCACCATCCGCCCCTCCCCCGCCGCGCAGCAGGCGCAGCACCGGAGACGCGTCGCCGGGCTCCGCCCCCGCCCCAGCCGCCTCTCCGCCGTCTCCATGGCCGGCGACCGCGCCGGCGACAACCACCACCACCACCGATAAACCCCAATTCGCCGACATCTCAACCAATTGAGACACATACTAGTAGCATAGTAGTAGTACATAGGAATTATTACATATAGAAATTTTTTTTTCTGTAGTGTATAGTGATGTGAGAAGTGAGATTAAGCTGAACATGGAGTTTTGGATCCGTGTGCTGCTTGTACATTCATTCTGAAATCTGCCCATGGTTTTGGATTAAATCCATTAATCCTTATGCCTTTCATGATAAGAAGAGAAGAAAAAATTGGAGATAGTACGTGTCTCCGGATTACGCACACATATGATCCACTTTTCTGTTTGTTTGTTTGTGTGTATCCTCATCTATTTTGGATAAGCTCAGCAGGGATGACGTCTCGCCGTCTCCTGCTCCATCACGCGGCCCCCGTGTGTGACACCTTCGGTCACTCAGACCAAACCCGTCGAGGTTTTTTGTTGTTTAGCTGGGTTTGTGCCCTTTGAATTCAGAGCTTTTCCCATGGGAGTTTAATCTTTAGGTGTTTAATCTTAGGTTATGTTTAGTTCACGTCAATTAAAATTGAAACGATGTGACAGAGTTAAAAATTTATGTGTGTAGAGAAAAAATTGAAAGTTTGGAGAAATAGTTTGAAACTAAACTCGGCCTTAATCACCGTAGAAACTGACGGAAGCTTGCACACAAAGATGTTGAGACGCAACGGTGGGCGCCGCACACAGGCACACAGTTAGCGGCCGCCGGCTTTTTTTAAAAAAAAAGTGTTTTCTTTCTTTCGTTTTGTTAGTTGAGGGAGAACAATACTTAAATCAATTCTGTTTGATTTCTGCTGTAATAAAATACCCCCAGCGTTGCTTGTCAATAGTTTTGCTGCTCCTAGTTTATAGAGCAGGGGGGAGCACCACTCCCTGACACAAGTTGCAAATCATTTCAACAAGAGAAGTATATAAAAATAAAATAAAATTTCTCGTGAAGATACCATGCATGTATTCAATGGAAAACCGAACTTTAGTCCACCATTTTTTCAATTGATTCTAATAAAAAAGGATTAAAAGAGTACCAAAAAAATTGCAGAAAGGCTAGTGCCGTGGTGTACATTAGACAGTGGAGTAGTAGTGTAGTACTACTGTATTACTACTACGCAACAAACCCGTTGAATATCCAGCTAGCGGTTGAAAAAAAAAATGTCAAGACGTCTGCATCAAGGAGGGGGCCATGGCAAGTCAACAGTTGACTAGCCGGAATAACTTGATTACAACCTCCACGACCAAGTAAAATCACCCATTATCCTGGTTAGTTAGTTAATTTGGACCTGATCATCATCTTGCAGACGCATAAATGGACCTAGCATTAGAAGGACACACACAGCTTACCCAGATACCAGGGCAGATCTACCACAGCGTAGTATACAGTAATTAATCCGGGCTTGAATTATTTTGAGTTAACTCGATCGAGATCTTGACACGGTCTTGACAGTACGAAACCGGAGCAAGTTTTTGCTGCGATTGGTTCTCCGAGTTTTACGGGAGGAAACGGACTTGATTAGTCCAGGTAGGACGAGATTATCGTCGCGAATGCGATTGATCGATCGAGGCAGGCAGCAACAGAAACTGGGAAAGATCGCCCAAAAAAGTGTAGTTAAATTGCCTGGGCCGGAGGCAACCAGACAGTGATCCGAGTCAGTGTAAATTCTGTTGTAATTATTATTTTTTTTTAATGCAAATCCACAGTACAACTCCATGTGTGCTTGATTAGTTAAGCAGCATGATGAGAACGACTTTGATTAATTAATCGTGTCTGATTGGTGTCATCAGACAGTTTTTTCTTTAGATAATTGCTCTGCATAAAGTTGGATGAAGAGATTCGATGCGTTTTTAGTTTTACGGTTTTAAAATATTGGGCTCGGATTAGATCTTGTTGGAAGATCATTATTGGGATGGAATCATGGAATAATGGAGTTTTAGTGTGTGTCCATGTTCATGGATCTGCACGTTGTGTGTTGTTTGTTTCTGCCTGCTGCACAAGGGCAACCGGGGGGCAACAAATTAATTCCTAATCGTGTGCTGCATTGACGGCTAGCTGATTAATTCTTCAAACCATGTTTGAAAAAACGGGGATTCCGTTTGAATTAGCGTGTTTCATGACAAAATTTCTTGGGCAACGTGACAGTTTCTCCGTTGGTACACCTGGGAGGGGTACGTGGATTGGACTCCGTACTTAGTTTTAAGTGTTTGCAACACAAAGTCCATTTCCCTCAGGCTCAGGTCACTGACTTGCAAACAGTATACTTAGATTAATTAGAACAAGTAAGGCTTAGCTAGCCCAGAAAGCAGGGCAATCAATGAACCTAATTTGCTACTACAGTATTATTTAAGGTCTGGTCTGAATTCTAATCTCTCTAGACGATATATGGAACATGTAAAACATTGCCCTAGTCCCCTAGCATAGAACATGAAATAAAATGTATATATGTGAACGATTCCGGAGAAGAAGTGAACAGTGCTGCAAATTAATGGCGATCGGTAAGTACTGGTCAGAGTTGTTGCTGTCAGGACAGCAATTAACAGTAGCATATTCTGAAGCACAAAACGAATGCAACTACCATCTCTTCAAGTTTAACTAGCTGAAAAGGATTGAGCAAACGACATACCAAACCAAACCGGCCAGCATCTTTGCCAGCTTAACAACCACGGCCCAACAATTAGCTAGCTGGCTTAATCCATCACTATCTGATATGTCGTCGAATCCGAACCGTCCATTCTGAATCCAACGGGCCACGATGTGGTTCTCGGTTCTCTAGTTCAGCTCACTCATACACCATGTTTGAAGGGTTTTGTTTTGGCCGCTGCGGCTTTTGTCAAAATCTTCGACTCACGAACAGTCAACATTTCTACTCAAATTTTGATAATCTACAGCTACAGAAATTCAATAAAACTCTTATACATCCCTTTAAATGGGAAATTATTATAAACTCTCGAGAGGATCTCTACTCGTTGTTTACATGTTACTCAAATTGTTACGATTTTTTTAAAAAAAAATCAGCAAGATAGATTAATCTACAAACATTTAAGGTAAAATTTAACTTCTACGTATTGCAATGAAAAAACAAAATTTTCTAGTTATAGTTTTTTTTACAACTTGTAAAAGTTAGTGTAGTGGTATATTACATGTTAATATACATCTTTTTAATTTTTTCATAATCATTTGAATATCATTTAAACAACAAATGAATATTCCCTCGAGAGTTTAAAATCTACGCTCCTTAAAATTCTCACTAGCTAGCTGTTTATCTTTTAATCTCGACCTCCTCGAGACAAGGCCACTAGCAGAGAGAGCCGCTGCACTCTAGCGTGCATTAGAGTGAAACCTTTGGCGCAAGTGCTAGAGGGATGACGTATGAAAATGTTTGGAATCCGCAAACCGCGTTCAGATCTCGACGACGACGACGAACAAACTGCGTTGTCGTGTAGTTGCTCACACTTTCCAGCAGGCGTTGCGGATGATGAGAGAGAGAGAGATGCTGAAATGCGTATCGATCATATCATCTCGTGCATCATCTAGTGAGGCTTGAGCTGTGTTCCATGCCGTGCTTGCACGTAAGCATAAACGGGCAGATCGATCGATCCCCGTATCGATCATATCTCGCGTCCGTTTCTTTCTCATGATCGATCATCTCGACGCTTCGAATCTTGGATGATCGCCAAGCGTCTTCAGATCCTCTCAAACTCAGAACTTTTTAGTTCCCAACTTTTTTTAAAAAAAACTTTCAACTTTAAACTTTCCTACACACAAACTTCAACGTTTCGGTCAATTTCTTTAAACTTTTAATTTTAACGTGGAACTAAACACACCCTCAAACGTTAATTCAGAGATGAGATAATCTCATCTCATGAATCATTAAGAGCCATCGTTTTGTTATTCATGCGGCTTATCTGAATAAAACTTTTATATATGTGTTCTTAACGATCTAAAAGTAAAGATTGAAAAATAAAATTTGATGAAAAAACTCAAAATCAACTTTAAATTTAAGATTGAAAATTCAAATTTTGGCTGATAAGTATAAGCATGAGCGAAAAGATGATGCATTTTGTCTTCTTTGATTTATTCATGATTTCTTTTCATTTTCTAATGAGGATGAAAAACTTGTCTGGTTCATTTCTTTATTGCGGAGAAGTGGCCCGAGTAGTAATTGCAAAGTAACTCAAAACATTTTCAAGCTGAAACTAACCCAATTTCATTCTCTAAAACTGAGTAATGGGGATTCCTTATAATAAAAAAAAAGTAGCAGCAGCAGCGAAAAGGCAGGGGAAACTTAGCCGCGTAGGTGAAGTCAAGAGACGATAATCAATTAAAGATGGGGGCAAAATCATCTCGAAACTTCACGGAAAAGAACAGTAAATTACTCACAGCCACAGACGCTGACACGCACACATAAAGAGCATTTGCTTTCAGGCCAAGCTTCACGGCCGACCTGTGAACATGCGCCTCTCCACGGAGCTAAACCCATCATTTTTTTCCCACTTTTTTAAACAAAGATTTTCTTTTTTGAAAAGAAGAGGAAGAGATCATTAACCAACCAACTGAAAAAAAAAATCAAGCATGCATGCTTGATCTGCATCAGTAAAATTCGCATAACTGAACAAAGGATTTTGATTGAATTTAATTGAACTGATCCATTCATTCCTCTGAGGAAAAAAACACACAAAGGAGTACAGATACTAGTAGAGTAGTAGAAAAGCAAAGAGCACATCACACATGGCTTCCTAGCCAAGCCCTGGATGATTCTGATTCTGATTACCCTAGCTCTAGTGTCACTCGATGCGTACGCGCGAAATAGTGGCGTACTATCACTCGATCCGAAGAGGTCGTCGGTGATCGTCAGGAGGCGCACTGGCGAAGCCTGGAAGGGCGAGGCTGGAAGTCGCCGCGGCGGCGGCGGCGGCCGCCGTTGCTGCAGCTGATCATCCGAAGCAGGTGCGCGCGGACCGACCGCCCCCCCTTCGCCCTGGCGCCGGCCGACGCGACGCCGCCTGACGACGGCGACGACGACGGCGGCGGTGGTGGCGGGGAAGAAGAAGAGGAGAGGTGGCGGGCGCGTGGGATCGGGCGGTGGCGGATGCAGCGGAAGGAGCCCGGGTGGTTGGTCGGCGAGCAGAGGCACGCGAGCTTGGGCCTCGAGCTCATGGACGCCTCGCTGTTGATAGCAGCAGCCATGTCTGTGGCGGGGAGCGCGGCGGCGGCGGCGATGGCTGGGCTGGCTTCCCGGCGTCGCCTCGGGTCCGGTGGTTTTATACGCGCGAAAGGGGTTGGGTTCTCTCTCGAGGCTTCCCTTCGCATGGGGGAGCACGTGGTGCGAGGGAAGGCGTGAGAGGTGTAAATTAATCACTAGTGGCACGTTGACGGACCATCGTTTCGTTTATTCGCGAACCGTAAATGAAAAGTAAGAGTGAATAAAAACTTTTATATGTGTTTCTAGTGATCTAGAAGCAAAGACTAAAAAATAAATTTTAATAAAAAAAATCAAAATCAGCTCTAAATTTAAGGTTGAAAATTTTAAATTTTTACGGATAAGTATTAGCATAAGCGGAAAGATGAGGCCTTCTCCTGCGCCTAAATTCTCCTCCAAAGTTAACCAAACTCTACGGTAGAGTTTGAGTTTGGTTGCTGGGATGGGATGGAATGGAACAGGATGAACCCATTTTTAGAGGTGTTTGGTTGAGGGGTGAGTGGGATGGATTGGTCCTGGAGAGGAATATTCTTCTTAGATCCGGGACCAACTGATCCGGGAAAATATGACGGACCAACTTGGGATGAGCAAACGGCGTCACAACGGCTTCTCGCGTGCTCGCCGCCCTGCTCGCCGCTTATTGTCCGCGTGCTCGGCGTGATGGTGGAAGACAGCTCGTGTGACAGCAACGGCGACGGGCTCAGCTTGGGCGACGGCGACGATGGCGGGCTCCAGTGGTGGGGAGGGCGAGGGAAGCGGCGGCGGGATCGGCGACGGCAGCGGGTGGCGGGGTGCTCGGCGACGGCGGATCCAGCAATGGATCAGGTGCACGGCATGAGCGTCGTCACTTCTTCTCCGCGTGCTCGTCCTCCCGCTGCTCTCTCGCAAGCAGCCAGCCTGCTCGCTGGCCGTGCTAGCTCTCCCGGCCACCGGTCACTGCCGATTGGTCCGATTAGAGCAGGCGATGGTGGCGCTCGACGAGGACTCGCGCTACCTCACCAAACTCTCTTGACGGTAACTGCAAACGGCGGCCATTCCATCCCTTCCTCGCCCCTTCTACTAAACAAAAAAAACTGGGTTCATTCCATCCTTTAAATCAAACATACGAATGGAATCATCTCATCCCAAAATCTGGAATGGTATCATCCCATCCCACCTAGTCCCAGAATCAAACACACGCTACAAGATTAGGCTTTGGTTTCAGGTTTAGGGTGTGTTTGTTCACGCTAAAATTAAAAGTTTAATTGAAATTGAAATGATGAGACGGAAAAGTTGGAAGTTTGTGTGTGTAGGAAAGTTTTGATGTGATAGAAAAGTTGAAAGTTTGAAAAAAAAGCTGGTAACTAAACCAGGCCTTAGTTAGGGTCGTGTAAGCTACGGTTTAGCCGTTCACTTTGTTTGATACAGTTACGGATGGAGTAATATTTTCTTTAAGCTGGATGTTTTTAGTTTTACAAATCTAATATGGATCTGAATATATGATCATATAATAATATTTTGATAAACTATTCTGTTTCACTTATAAATAATTTAGCATACAAATTTCAAATCCAGTATAAATAAGAAATGTGAAGTTGTACTAAACAGGACCTGTCTTCAATAAACGTATGATAAAAAAGATTACGGATAAAACATTTATATTTATAATCTTTTAACGGTTTGAAACTTTAAAAGCAAATGTTGAAAAGATAGACTTTTATGAACCCCTAAAATCAACTTTAAAATTAGGCTTCAAAAATTAAATTCTGTCAACGACTGATTAAACCAACGCAGGCTTGACTTCTTTTCTGAAGACGCAGGAATGTCGATTGGTTTTCAGAGTTTCTTCATCTTTCTCTTAAAGTTCAAGAAGCTTGCCAGAGCTAACAGCTCACTTTCAGCTTGTAAAATTCAGCCTCTGTTTCGGTATTCCTCCCTCCGTTTCAGAATATAAGCAATTGTAGCATTTCTCACATTTATATTGATGTTAATGAATCTAGACATATATATCTATCTAGATTCATTAGCATAAATATGAATGTAGGAAATACTAGAATGACTTACATTGTGAAACGGAGGAAATAATTCCTTATGCGTATATCACAAAATGTAACAGTGTGTTTAATCTGAATCTGAATCTGATCTTATTGCACATTTGTTTTGTCTGTTAACGATCAGTTGCATCGGCCGTGAGTCAGAAAGGCTACCTTTTGTGTAGGAGTTGGAGGCTCTGTGCCTAACGTTTTGTCATTATTTTTCAGAGAGCAAGTGCTCCATCTCTTGGAATCTTTTCCTGAATAATACAAGGATATGCATCCCGTCATTTTTTTTCCTGAAAAATACAAAGATATGCATCTCGTCCTTGTCATCACACACTCACAGAATTAGGGAAGAAAGTCCATTATAGTGTTCGAATTTTGCAGTAACTTCTAACATCTTGTTCAATTGTTCCAGCTTAACAGTGGGATGCTAAGGTCCTGTTACTCGTACTTTATAAGTACGCTTCTGGACTACTAAACGATGTGTTTTGTAAAAGCTTTCTATGCAAAAGTTTCTTACAAAATCAAATAAGTCTATTCTTTCAGATTTAAAATAATTAATACTTGACTAATGTACACTAATGATTTATCTCGTTTCGTTTCGTATGCCGCCAAAAACCCAGTCAAACAACTAGTTCGAACTTAGCTGACTCAGCGATTTGACTAACTCTGAACAATATTATGCTCCACTAGCTAACTGAAACTTCGGAATCTTAACGTCACAAGACACTCCCATCAGTTCCATGATTATGGCATGTGGTTCAATTACCTGTTGGTGTAGTTTAATATTGGTACAAAGACTTGGAACAGTTCCTTGTCAAATTTCTCTTAAGCCAGGTAGGATAGGATTAGCGATCACTACTCTGCTAGCTTTCTATGACTTAGTTTAACGTAGCAGTAATTATTGGCCTACAAGTGAACACAGTGTTCTTGAAGCATACAAATTGTCTGTAGTTGTGTCATACTACTACATATTTTTCTTCAGAGTAGTTAACTCTTAATCTACATTAGTACCAAGAGGAATTGGGATAACCTTGTCAATTCTTTAACAAGGTAGAACTGAACAAGATAAAAGATTAGTACTACTACATATCAATATGGGATCATGTGCTAGGTCACCATCTTCAGGCTCACAAATGGGCACCACAAACTGAACTTTTTTCCTTCTCCAGTTGTCCAAACTGAACAAGGTACTACAATTAATAGTACTTTCCCTCATTCCATCAGCTTAAGTGCAGATGTCATGCTCCTCCCAAAAGCTTATCCAAAACCAATGTTTATCTTAACTTTGCTCTGAAAACTATCCAAATTCAAGGCCATGATGTTGTGGGCCCACCACATAGTACTGATCCTACTATCCTAGTAGCCAGGTCATCGCTTTCCCAGAGACTTTCTGCTAATTAGGCTTAGGACAGTCCGGCCAAGAACAAGGCACGCTTACATGTGAAGCCAGATTAACCTGATGGTTACCTCTTGTGATCTTTATCCAAGAACAAGCAGACAGATATCCATGGACAGGGACATTTACATCTGGCTCGACTATTTTTTTCTCTCCTGCCACAGCTGTAGCGAAAGTTACTGCATCGTCGAAATTAAAGAAACGAGTTTTCGGAAGCCACAAAAGGAGAAAAGAATTTTTTGAAAAGAACTCGTGTGGCTGTTGCCACAGTTTGAAACTCTGAATTTTCTTGCTTCCCACTTGGACTGAACTATCTCATGTGAACCAATTCATGCGTTCTGATTAGCCCTGAATTCTTGTGATCGGATTCTTGTAGAAATGGTAAACTTTGATGTGTGCTGTTTACTCGATCTTTTACATTTTCGTCACTATCTCTGACAAGAAGGCAAATTAATTGTTCCTTAATCCTAAACATATACTGTCATTAGCTGATAACGAACTATGCTAAATAAATTGAGCAGCAGTTTTCTCAGGCATAACAGCTGAAACTTTTTCAGGAGGATATTTACGCAGATAACGAAGAAGCGTCGAGCTGTCTCAAATTTAAAGAATAGAGACACTTAGACAGACACACACACGCAGCAAAAAAGAGAAGGCCATCAAAATTGATAGATAGATGGCTCGTTCATCCCTCCAAAGGCCATCTTTTCTAGAAGATTAATCCCCACGTATGAACTGAAGTGATGATCAGTTAAGCTGTAAATCTGGCTAGATTAATTGGACCGTATCTACATGCCTAGCTGTGTACAAATCTAAACACATTCATAAACACGATGTGTAATCCAAATAAGAGGAAGATAGATACCTTTCATGATACTCCTAATTGATACCAGATATATCGCTTTACGCGTAATCCTGCAAAGATCTGCAAAGATTCCAATCAGTTTCTTGGCTCTGAATTTTCAGTAACCGAGCTTTCAGCACAGATTATTCAGAGAGCTGCGATGATAATCTACCGACATTTTCTGCGTAGATAAATACATCTATCTACTCCAATACTCCCAGCCTGAAGTTCACGTGGCCGTAATCATCATAGCCTGTATGGCTTGTATGGAATGTGTCATCGTCAATCCAAAAATAAAGATGATTAATTTAGATCGATCCATCTCTCCTCCCGTAAACCATTTCCATTTGGCAACCTGCAGCTGGTGGCTTTAGCAGTGATATGATTAATTTTTTTAGATAATGGATTAAGAAACCCGGCCTCTGCATCCACGAGAAGCAGTGATATGATCATGTGTAACTGTATCTGTCAAACTCAGCTGTGTCAGGTTCATGGAACGGCGGCGAGAATCTTTTCTTCTGACGGCGAGTTGGAAACTTGGAATGTTTAGCTCGATCGAGCCCAACTTTGATCTGTCAATTTGTGATTTATGATTTGCCTTTTGCTGTGGAGCCCATGTATGAAAGAGAGATTTCTGAAATCGAGAAATTTAAAGTGGGTGGCTTGCTATTGCAGGCTAGGATCCTTATCAACTTTCAGAGAGAGAGAGAGAAAAAAATCGAGATCAAAGCATCTCGATCATGTGTTCAATGCAGAAAGAGTTGGGGGTGATTTTGCCAGACAAGAAACCGTAAGCCGCCAGTGAGGAGGCAAGAGGAAAGATGGAAGCTGCTGTGGACAACTGTGAACAGTGCAGGTGCAGTGCACGGCTCCTCCAGGCCCAGCAAGGGTGAACTTCTACAGTTCCGTTCCATCATCCTATCAATGCAATGTGGTTTGGTCCGAATCGGTAGCTTTTGCTTCGAAAAGGATTCTCGGTCGGTTTTCATTTATCAATTTAAGTATATTCAGTGTCGACAGCGATACGACGCTGAAAGAAAATAGAAAAAAATATATCAAATTTTATATAAAACGACGCTCGGTTGGTCGAGAATTTTTGTGATTGTGGTCATCCCTCTTTTAATCCATGTTCTAACGAAAAAAAAAATCAATGCAGTTAGTTTCACTAGCCCACATGGTCATCAACTAAACAAATTAACTGAAGTTACAGTTGCCGTCTTGCAGATACAGGAGGGCAAAATTTAACCAACTTTTAACGACTTTGTTATCAACTCTCCTGTGGGAAGATGAAGGCTAAAGGCTTGCATTTGGTACTACTAGAAGTAACAACAACTAGGTCAAGGTCAGGTCGTCATTGACCATGGCAAAGCAGAAGAAGTGAAGAGGGAAGGTTGCAGCTGCCTGGGTCTGAGGATGGTCATCCATGGATCTGACTCGGATTAGTTTAATCATCCGCGGCAGCGCCCAGTCACGACGACGCTGACATGTGCATTGCAACCCTGGGCGAAGGGCAATTTAAGCTGAAGAATCACCAGGCGTCAAAGCTGACGGCCAATGTGTATGGTAGCACCAATTAATTACCAAAAGGATTCAGTCAGCTGCAAGAGCAGTACAATGCTGATCTCCATGCTGCATGTGCCCCAGTTTACTGGCTAATTAATCACGCGTTCTTAGGCTTTGGGGGAGGTTATGGCCGATGCAGGTTCTCCTACAATTTGAAAGTTACTCTTCAGTCTTCACAGTTTAGCATTTTGTCCAAATAAAAGCTATAGTTACAGAATTTAAAAAAAAATAGAAAAAAAAGCTAAAAGTTAGTTCTTTTTTTTTTACTTTTTCAGATTCTCTTTAGCTGAATTCCATCCCACTAGTTGTTTATCAGAATCTAAATCTCCCTCAGGTTGGCCCTTGATTAGCTTGCGAGTTAGAGAAACTCTCAGGGATCTTTCGGCTAGCTACACAAGGTGGTGGGCTAGACGATCTAGATTCCGAGCCTCACCCCTTCTAATTATTTGATATTATGTCTTTCCCTAATATCAGTGTTTTTTTTTATTAGCTTGCGAGTTGAGTTGACCCCTGGAATTTGCCTGGAAGCTGCGTGTTTTCCCTGCTCCATCTGATGAAGTGATGAGCAAGCAGAAGTGATGAGAAATGCAGATGCTTCCGGCAAGTAGCTATGCTTCAGCTTAGCTCGTGTGGCGCCACGTCAGGTACCAACCACGTACGGCAAGTGTGAGACCAGATGCATTGTACACATGTAGATGTAGTACTAATACCTGCATTGGTTTGACTCCGGCGTCGCATACTTTTTTCCCGAAACGGAATCAACCAAACTCTCGAATTTCAACTCCTGCGATGAATTCATGCAGGATCTTGTCAAATTGCAGCTCTGAATTTATGACCTAGGGGCCAACTGATCTGATGACGAATTGAAACGGGCCTTGTGCAATGGCCACGAGTAGGCCTTGCGTGATGGGCCGAAGCATATGATCGAGATCCTTTTCTCGTGGGCCTTATTGCCTCTCGCATATAGACGGCCCATGTCCACATGGCTGGGCCGTAACAGCCTGCATGAAGAGCGGTTGCCGCAGGCCCATCTACGTACCAAGTGATTGACACTGGCTCAACACAGCAACAACACTTAAAATCTTACATATGCAAACTATCCAGGTAAGGCAAACTGATACAGTGATGAGTAATGACAATGCAACAATTCTTCTGGACCATGATGACTGTACATCAACAGCAGCAGGTACACAAACTGAAACTCTAATGGCACAAAGTCAGAAATCTATCTCAAGTTCACAAACAGCACCTCTTAACAAAGTTTCAGTTCACCAAGAAGAGCAAACAAGATGAAAAAGATCAAGCTACAATAATAATTCACATCAATGCTACAACAAAAAAAAAAGAAAAAAAAAGAAGAGGACAGGATCGGTGTAACCAACGAACAATCAGAAGGCACGGTGATCTACATGATGATGACAGGCACGAAGAGTATGGACATGGAGATTCTTCTGCAGCACAGCATCGGCCATATGCATCAAGCGTCCGGGCCAGTCGGATGCGGCTTGTCAGCGTAGTTGTGCTGTTTGCTGTACGCACGGTGGCGCCGCTCCCTGGCGTAGATCACCCAGAAGACGAGGGAGAGCATAACGGCCGACGAAACCATCACCAGGCCGACGTAAACCCATTTGCTGTACCTCTCCAGGCCAGGGCAGTGGTTCTGGTTGATGTTGGTGAAGGTGTCGCGGACGAAAGTGCAGTCCTCCAGCTGGATCAGGAAGGGCCCATACTGATACAGCCCCTGGCTCACATTCACGCCCGCTGCCATCTGACCGAGAATCGTTGGGGTAACACGGCCCACGGTAGTGCATATCTCAGTTCCTGAGACAGTGGTAGTCTGGCACTCAAAATTCTTCCAAACCTGCATTTGATAATTAATATAGACAGATGGAATGCTGTCAACAGTTCACCGAATTTGAGGCTACGAAACACCTGGTTGTAGAAACTTACCCGGGTTGCATTGTCCAAGGTAACCTCTCCTCTGGTGCAAGTACGGTTATTCAGATCGGCTGTGAACGGGTTGCAGAGTGTAGGCATCAGTGGCCCCGACTGATTGAAGTAGAAGAAAGGAGTTTGCGGAGGGAAGTTTCCATTGGACACGTTGGTGATTACTTGGTTTACCAGATTCACCAGTTGGTAAGTGACTTGCCTACTTCTATACAGGGATTCATTCGCGGTGGCAGGTTCAACACAGGGAATAATGTCATCCAGAGCTGTGTGCTCTGTTGGATGAGCAACCCACTCCTCCATCGAGACACAAGTATCTGCGACGACACTGTCACAAGACAAAAGAGATAAAATAATATTAAAATTGGATATGGATTCAGATAATCATAGGTACATAATAGGAGTATCAGTGACTGGACCACGACTGCCATTTACATGTGCTACCTATCTACTATCAATCACTCATATAATCTACAGGGAGCGGAGCTATTCCAAAAGATCTGGTCCTTCTTTCCAGCTTTATTACTAAGAGTTTCATGTTAAAACATAATTATACCCCTAGTTTTTTGAAAGTAGTAGAGGGCTAACCATGTGCAACTTTCGCTAACAAAACAGAATCATACAATATTGACAGAGTTTCAGAATATAAATATTGTAGAAAAACCGTGCTGTGCATAAATTGACATGAAGCGGAACACGATATGACATCAAAACTAGGAGTTGATATAGCAGCTACTGCTAGATGGTGCAATTCTGTTTTCAAACTACGATCCTTTGAGACCTCAGGAATGCAGCAAAATTGACATATGACTGGCATCTACTATCTACATTTAGCAGTGATGATAGCATAGATAAGTAGGAAGTAGAATTTGAGTACAGAACAGTAAGAAACCAATGTAGCCATGAACAGGAAGCAGGACAACACTGAATAGGAAATTGCAATGAAGCAAGAATATACTATATGATGGCACAATAAATTGTCGAAGCCTTGATGCAGGCACTACATTATGAATATTGCAACATGCTCCAACCATGGTCGAAAGCCAAGTGGCCGCTACCAGTCTCTCGGATTTAGGTTATCTTTTTTCAAGAAAGACAACTAATTTGAGTTGAAGATGAGTCGAACTTTGGGTGATGGGGGTGTGTACATCCATAACTTTCAACAACTGTGCTAAACTAAGTTACTAGATTTAACAATATAATCTGATTTTTACCATTTGATTATAAAAATAATGGCTAAGTGGTTGGTTGGATTTGGTTGCAACTCGGCAGCCAGCATTAAACACTTAAGAGGAGCACCATGAATAAAAGGTCTGCACACATACTAACTCTAGCTATATGTTTGGAACATACAAAAGTACGATGATACAAGTGGAATACATACTTATGCAGAAGAAGGAAGACACCACACAGGATAAACGTCCCGGTGACTAGTATCCACCCGATAATCACCAAACTGCATAAGATGTACAGAAATGATTCATAGTATGTTATAATATGAGCGCAAAGAAAGGAGAAGTAAAAAATATTAGCACATACAGAGGTGTTAACTTACATAGAGACAATGAATTCCAGGCCAAAGATAGATAGTACTGGTAAAGACAAGTGGCATCATGTCAGCATAAAAACAACTTGTGTTTTAGCAAAAAAAAAAAAAAAAAAAAAAAAGGTGCATGGACAAAATCGTTCTCTAAACAATGTAAAAATATTATAAAGACTTACAGAAGCCAATAAATGCCAGAAGAAGCATTACTGCCGCAATGATAATCAAAGCAATCCGCCTGACATAATGTTTTGCAATCACGATCATATGCACAACCAAATCATTGAGAGGAATTGCAGTGGTGAGAGAATAAATGATACTTACACTTGATTTAGCAATTTTTGTATCTTCTCGGAATTGTCAGTAGTTCTAGTAGCAAGCTCAGTAGCTGATGAGTTCAACTTTCCTTGAATTTCATTGATCTGATTTTGCACATCGTTAGGCAAAAAGGATCGCCCTATGTCAACCTTTTTTGCAGCAGATAAACTATCGGATAAGTTATTAAGGTTTTCGACAGTAAAATTGGCCTGGCTAACGACAAAATTCAAGGTAGTCGTTGTGCTTTTATGGAACTTTCCTTGACCATCATACAGCATGACACATCCAACACTGTAAGCATTGAATGGAACTAGGTTAGTAAACGCAGCTAAAAATATATTAAATGTAAGGAATCATGAAAATGGATTAGCTTTGAAATATAAGAGTACTTACATTGCAGCACAAGTGAACAATATTAGAAGTATCAGAGATAGGGCATATGCTACCCGAGAGTATGTGTAACTGCGATGTGGACAACAGCAATGCTTGCAGCAAATTCCAAGCATAACCAGAAAAAACAGCACAAACCACACCAAGGCAATGATGAACAGTGGAAAAGCTGTGTATCCAACTGACTGCAAACAGAAAAAAGTACATGTTGTTATGCAAGTAGATGAATGAGGTGCAATTTCAGGTTGTAAACATTCTTACAGCCATATAGTGCACTTCGCTAATATTCCAACCGCCAGTATATTTCCTGAATCCATTCAAGGGGTCTTTTCTATATGTTCGCTCTTGCGCCAAGACAAAGGAACTGTTTGTAGTGACATTTACGTCAACAGGAGCTTCAGCAATTGATCTTCTTGCCACAAATCCATATCTATCTGCTTTTTTCAGTTACAGTTACAGTTATTTGACATTGATAAAAACGATCATCGAACAGAAAGTAGAGTTATATTTGCAATTTAAGATAAAGATAATTACAGAAGATATTTGACACTCACTAATCAAAACTAGAAAACTGTCGGCAACCAAATCAAAATTATGGACAAAACTACCATTCGGGTACCTACCGAATCAAAAGGAGCAACCTACTGAAAATATCATTTGTGGATGGAGCAAGGGATAACGAGAGGCACCACATACTTGACAGGGAAAGGCAATTTAAAACAAATCCCACTTGTGATACTGAAATAATTTGGGAATAGCACTGTTGGCACCCAGCAACTGAAAAAGGGGAATGCTTGATATGTCTTGCTAAAGAAAACCAGTGAAAAAAAAATCGATGCACTGTCATACGAGCGGATTGAAAAACATAATTCCGTCATGAATTGCTTAGACAAGATGCTAAACCATCTACTTAAAACAAACAATATTCGTAGAGAAACGCAAGACAGTAACTTTCACCAAATGTAGGAATTCCCCTTTTTTGCTGATAAGAAACTGAGACAGGCACAGGTTTCTCAGCAAACATAAAACCCAGACCCCCAAAAAATAGAACATTAACACATCAATGTTTTCTCAAAGAAAAATTGTGAAGAAAGAGACAAGGAACAGATGACCAATAACCTGAGGACCACACAGCCCACTAAAAATTTTGGGATTGGGGAGCATTTCCACATCAAGAACTCGACTCCATTATGTGATTCAGACTTTCAGAGAGGTTAAAGGGCACCACAAAATCCTACTGAATCAAACAAATAAAAAAACCAACCATTTTTCCTGCATGTAACAGAGGGGGGAAATGAAAGAACCTGGGACGAGTGCCTTGTGAAACTCGCGAGGAGCATGGAACCCGGGGCTTGGATGCGTGGCGCAGAATGGCAAGATGGCGAGCAGAACCGCCGCGATGCGGAGGAGGGAAACAGGCAATGCCATGGCTGACCTCTCCCCTTCTCCCTTCTGACCTGAAACCCCAACAAGATCGCACCACAAAACCTCCTCCTTCCTGCCTCTTCCCGCAACAACAAGGAGGAGGATAAGACCAAGAGAGAAAAAGCTTCAAGTGGAAGAAGAAGAAGGGTAGGAGAGGAGAAAGACAGGGATGTGGGATGCAAAGACGGATTCTTTTTTCCCTTTTTCCGCGTTCCCCTGTCTGTTCTTCCTCGCTTTTGCCTTTTGCGATTGCGCTAAATACACTCGGGTCGGGGGTTAACGCGATTCTGCTTTCGTCTCTGAGGGGACGGGATTAATTAAAGGAGGGGATTTGGGTTTGTGAAAGAGATCTAGAGACCCGCTTATGTGTTGGGCTGCCCACGTGGCACTGCTCACTGCTTCTCTGCAGTTACCACCGTACCCCTGACCACGGTTACCGAGCAAAACCGATTAAAACCAAACATTTTTTTCGCCAAAAATTTAATCTTTCAATTCGTTTTAACTTGTCGATATAATTAGCGGTTTCTACTTTCTACTACTGCATACACCCCAGGGCCTTTGAAGGTAAGATATGTTAACATGGTAACAGGTATGGCGAAAACTGTGGAATTTCTAGGTATAGCGAAAACAGATTTTGATTGAAATTTTAAATGGTTTTCAGGAATTCAAAATTAAAACAGTAAAAACATTCGACCAGATTTTGAAGAAAACCATTGTATCGCAGGATCTAAAATCCAACGATCAATGGGAAAAAATGAAAGCCGTGCGTATGATAAGCCGAGCCTACAAGGACAATTCAGGAAGAGGAACAGTAATAAAATGCTCTTTGGGCTTTAATTTGTTTTTAGCAAAAGCAATTTGGAGTGGGATTTGATGTCGATGCACTACCACTCCTGGCCTTAATGACAAGGAAAGAATGTACTTAAGAAGAATAATTAGGACGAGCATGTGGAATCAAACCCAAGAAAAGATTATAATTCCAGGGCATCGGATCGAGCTGGGGGCCTCGCTGGCCCGGCGATTGCGAGACGCGTGTCCCTCTCGATGGATCATGCTATCAACGAGACAACGACTAGTTCGCCACGAACATCTCATGATTTTTTTTCCTCAAGAACAAGCCAAGCATTGCTGTCACGGATCACTGGCTCGTATTTATTTGAGATTTTTGCTGAGCTAAAGATGACCTTAATTAATTTGTCCCCCATTTTATAATCCAAGTTTCTTCTTATAACTACTCTTTGATGAAATGTGATCCAGAGACGGCGGCGTAAAGATCACAGAACAAATCCAATTGGTGTCTCGTAAATTGCATAGTCGAAAATACAAGAAGACTATATATATAGTGGATCTTTCAAAAGATAATATATATAGAGAGAGAGATAGTAGATAATATTCTCCTCCAGGTCATTTTGGGAGCTAGCTTGACTCGCCATTACCAGGTGATCTAGTGTGGTACTACCAGTAACACATAGTTTGATTACTCCTATGTTGATCTGGAGATAATTAAGAAACATCGAAACTTTAGTTTAGAAGCAGTAGATTGATTAAGCGAGAATTAAGCATCACATGCGTGCATTGGCGCCACATGGATTAGCATCCGAACATTCCTCTGCAGCTGTATTCGCATGAATGTATGTTGCCCACATGGTGGTGGTCTATCTCCTCCAACTCCAACTCCAGCTTTGTAGTTTATACTTTCATTAGTAGGATTTCTTTCCAGCTAAGACCGTCATTGCTTTGTGTTCAACTTGATACCGTCTTTGCTGAAAACTAATCCACGTGCAGCAGGTACATTGCTTGCTGTTGCCGCATTCTGCTGTCCAACCTGAACTTTCTTAAAGCCCTGAACCCCTGGAGTATGTGACTGTGATGTATTTTACATAAAAGTAATTAATGAGAGGGGAAAAAAGAGAAAGTGATTGTAAAGTTCATGCTCTGAATTGTTGTGTACTTCTATTGATTCAAACCCAGGTTTTGCTGTCTGAAACTCTGAATCTGAGCCTGTGACAGCATGCATCGCATGGAGAAAATCAGAAAACGGGACCATATATGATTTGGCGTTCTCTCGCCCAAATTTTGTCACTTAACGCTTGTATAAGCTCGATTGTTCCCCTTTTGCTGGGTCAGCTAGCTAATTAGTCCAATAATATGGACCATGGATGTCCCAGCAAATGTCGCCTCTCACTGCACGCTCGTGTTGTGTTGGCTACTTGGCTCCAGTCAGATCTCAGATCCAAGTAGCCAAGCTAGGCCAGGTGTGTGGTACTGCAGTGCAGTACTAGCCGCTGCATTTACTTCACAAAGACAAATGAATCGAGGTGGTAAGAAAATGTGCACGTTGGAAAGGCTAGCAGCAGCAGTAGCAGAAAGCGAATAGTGGCTGGTGACTAGAGATGGTAATAGGGACCCAATCACCGATTATCCACGGTGAATTCACATATTAGGGGATGGAGATGGTTAATAACTATTCTCCACGGGAATCAAATGGTCCCAAACTTATCACCATCGGGGATGACGGGGGCGGGACGGTGGAACCGGGGTTTTCATTACCGGTTGACCACTAAATTTCGAGCTCCATCGATATCACGGTTTTCAATAAATCGACCAATTTTCGTTAAATTCCGACTGAATCTCGACAAGATTTACTTTTGAACTTCGAAATTCCAATCGAAAATTAATTCGGAGCTATGTCGAAACGTCGAAAAGCCGCAAAAACCGACCAGCTTTCGTCAGCTTTGTGAACCCTGGGTGAAACCATTCACCGTCCTCGCCCCCCGCGGTGACTCGCCTTCACTGTAGAGAGGACTAATTCTAGACTTTGTTAGATGTTTTGGCTCATAATATTGAAACCCAATTAACATGTATATATAACACCTAACCCTAGTCAACCAATCAACCTCCACATCTTTCATATCTAAACTTAGTCTCACCGCTGCACGCCTACATCGCACCAGCCATCAGGCACGCGTGCTGCCGCCTCCTCTCATGCAGACGCTGTCCCGCCCCAGCCGTCAACGCGGGTGCGGAGCCTGTAGCCGTCGTCGCGCCGCCTGGTGCCTGCCGCCATCGTCGCGCCGTCCGTCCACCGTCCACCGTTAGCGCCCTCCCTCGCGCCGTTCGACGCCACCGATTCCCCTGACGGCTACTGAGTGCTAACTACCACCGGATGGGGTAACCGCGGGGATAAATTCACCACGTGGGAAACAGGGCAAGAGAAAATGTAGCCCCGTCGTAGTTGACAGGGACGAAAACGGTAAAATTTTATCACTACAGGAATGGGAATGTGGATGTGAATGTGACCCCCGACGATGAATTCACCATTGCCATCTCTGCTAGTGCCCGTGGCCTCCAGTTCACATCCTCTACTTCTACGTTGGCCACGCAAAGCCTCCGTTGGGCGCGCGGAGGCCACGAGAAAAATCCCCATCCGCAACCGCGATTTTTCTCGTGGGCCGGCCCACCATGTGTTACTAGGCCACATTGGCTACGTGGGCTTCGGCCACCTCCCTCTTGGGCCACAATCTCGTACTTTTGCACTTTCTTTTCTCCCGTTTCTTGTCTCGCTAACGTCACGGACAACTTTCTCTGCATCATTATCTGTGGCTTTTGTGTTTTTTTGGAGGCGGCTGGCTAATCAGCTTCTCAATCATCAAGCCATCATTATTAAGCATGTGGAGAACGGAACAGTTGATGGAATACTCTAATCGGCGTGCCATCCTGCGTGGACATGTAAAGTAGACTACAGCAATGGCGAAGAACACTGCAGCATATCCGGCAATGCCGACCACTCGTGTTTTGCTTTCCTTTCCTCAATGTACGCTTGGAATGTTGGAGTTAGTACCACTGTACTGTCATACTACTGCCTAATGCCTATCAAATGCCGTAGTGCAGCTATCTGGAGTAATTTGTTTTACTTAATGCCGACCAAACGACACTTCTTAAGCAAACTAATCAACTTAGTTCCTCATCTTTTTCGTTTATGATTATACTTATCAGTTAAAATTTAAATTTTCAACCTTAAATTTGAAACTGATTTTGAGGTTTTTTTATCGAAGTTTATTTTTTAACCTTTACTTTTAGATCGCTAAGAGCACGTATATAAAAATTTTATTCACAAATTACTTTTCGTTTGCAAATATGCCCTTTAACGATGACTCCCTTACGGTGCAGGCATTTTTCACCATAATTAAGTGAAACAAAGCCTTTAAGTGAGGCTACTCACTTGATGGTTCCTTTTGCTGCTTTTACATTGCCAATAATAAAGCGCTTATGCTGTCATGTAGAAATAAAAGCACTTGCACTCTTAATTGTGTGTTCTTCTCTCATCTTGTCAGTATGCTTGATTCAGTGATTCTTGTCATTGCACAACGGTTGCCGAAAATCATACTGACGAAGTCAATTCCAGTTATATCAGCGACATCATGGTATTGACATCCTTGTGGATTTGTAATCGTCACATTAAGCTCTGCGCTGATCATGGGAACAAACACAATCACAAAAAGATATGGACAACGTCTTGAGATTGTTGCTTTCAAGTATTGTCAACAAGTCAGTACATGAAAACCGCTCCTTTTCACTAATGAGGTGAAAAGGAGGGGAAAAAAGAGATAGGTTAAAGATTCACATGTTGCTACCATCATGTGCTTACTAACTAAGCTCAGATGAAATTCAGTATCTACTACAACCTGCAGCCGCTGACTAGCTAATATCTAATCTATTCTGAACAAAAAGATTGAGAAGAAGAAAAAAAAAGATTGTTTTCTCTTCAGTGGTGTCTAGGTGTATGGTCACTGGGACCATAGTAGTCTTCATGGAACTCAGGTAACTTGTGTGCTACAGCCCTAACTTCATTCCCAGCAATGCTTCTCTTCGCCTCGCCTAGTGAGTCACCGGAATCCTTTGGCACATTCTCTGTCGATTTCTGTTTTTCAGAACAAAACAAATATGTCAGCACACACATACAAAAAGAAAAGAAAAAGGAACAGAAGACAATTCCATGATGAACAAATTCAGTGAATCAGAATCACTTACATTGACCATTTGGTTGCTGGTTGCTGCGCGAGTTTCTGCATCCAATCGAATGCCCTCAACCTCCATGGCCATCACTACCAGGAGCAAGATCACAGCAGTAGCCATTGACAACTTGGACATCCTCATCTTGTCTCGCAGGAAATTTTGAAGAAGCTGGGAGAGATTGAGAGTTAAGAGAGTAGGATGAGCTATGCAGGTTGAGTGTGTCTGAACTCTGAATGAAGCATTTGACCTATGACAGGTCATATATATGCATCTTGCCATCTTGCTTTTAGAACAACCCCCAGTGTTTGCTGTGCTCATGTCTATCAGGATTCAGGAGTGGGTTATCTTCGTCAAATAAAAAAACTACCTCTAATGTCTGGATCATTGTCGTTAACCCATTTTTTAACAGAAAAAATCATTGTCGTTAGCTCATGCACCATGCAAACCCAAGACATAGTTTACAGGGTTCTTGTCACCCTTTGGGGAAGGATGCCTGCACAAAAGTCGGCCTCCTGTTTGATCAAGCCACCGGATTAGGTACTAATCCTGTACTTACAACTGCTACTAATCACGAGTAACAATGCTGTCAGGTCTTGTGTTTGGCATCAGGTGGTGCCCCCTGGAAAGTAGCGAGGCTGTCTCACGACAGACGCACAGAAAACTGCGTATTTGTTCGAGCGTTTCTTCAGAAAGCATGTACATGCCTTGTCAGTTGGGTTGGCTGATCTGGACATGGCAATTGGAAGCTTCTGAATCTGAGCATACATGGATACTTAATATCAGGGGGGAAGAAAAATTATGAATACGGGAGTACGGATTACGGAATGCTGCTTGTTGGTTGTTGCAGACTTGCAGTTGCAGATCGATGGATGACAACACAACTTGGCGTTGTCCTTTCATGGCCTCCTGGGCCATTCGTGTTTCAACGGCAACTGATGTTGTTTCTTTTTGGCTGTTGACAAGTTAGGGATTCTAAGGATTATCATATTAATCGAAATGCCAATAAGTGTTTACTTCATTTTTTGCCATCACCGTCAGTTAATCGTTAGTTGGCCTATGTTAATGTGTCAAAATGTCCATTACCCTTAGAAGTGCGATACCAATACAAGGAGTACATAAGAGTATCTCATATGTATTTGGTAAAATGTACATTTTCATGGAAATAAAGGACACGAGGTTAACTAATGGTCAACTGATGGCGATAGCAAAGAGGAAAAACGCTTGTGCATGGCGGCAATTCATACAACTAATGCTCGTTGAGGGAAATTCGTATAGTTAATCACTTAGCGTAGATTTTCTCTTTAATAATGGATAAACCGGCTGTTGCATATAGATGCACGACATTGTTCGTAAGAAAACTTATTTTGTTTTATATTAGTGTAAAGTGGAATCTGTTGACGCTTTTTTCAGTCACCACGACAAATCATCTAAAGCCTCGTGGTGTTGACTTAAGTCGCCAACCACCTTGACCTTAAGAAGCTCGTGATCAAGATGAGTTTAGAGATCAAATATGGTTAACAGGGCCGATTTAGATAGATTAGGATAAACACCCATCTTATGGGAGGAACAAAAGGTTTGGGGAAAAAAATACAAGAATTTGCACTCCCACGATGAAGGATGGCTTATAGAGCAAACCGACAAAATGGATAAATTAGGATTAAACCTAGGACGAAGGTACATGTGAAATTGAAAGAACGATTCGATTGGATAATTGCGTTGTTGGTTGTTGATTGATTTAAACTGAACTGGCCATAGCCTCCACAAGGCTTTCTCCACCCGGTCTGAATGGCACATCCGACCACCCCTATACCGACGGTCAGATTGGCCTCATACCACCGATTGGACCGACCCTATACAATAGGCCCATGTTTTTTTTATAATCTGACAAACTTCGCTATATTTCATACTATGTGACAAATTTGGGTGTTAAATAGAATCATTTCTGAACCTGATGCAATTTTTGCAAATGCAAAGAAGAAAACTGAAAAGAGAAGAGTAGTTGAAGCCCCATCCCGGCAAACGAACTCGTGTCTCAACTCTCAACTCATAAGCGAAGGCTCTACTCTAAAAAGCCCATGGGCTAGAACGGATCCCATAACGGGCTCATAGCCCACGGCCCAACAAATGGTGGAGAAAAGAAAAAAAAAAGAGAGAAGGAACTCGCGTTGACAAGTCAAGTCGCCATCAAGTTCAAAAAAAAAAAAAAGTCAAGTCGCCATCAATTCCAACCATTTCAGATTTCATCTCCACTCCTCCCCCAAAATTTCGAATTCCCCTCCGCCTCCAACTCCGGCGCGTCGCTTCCCCTCTCCTCTCCTCTCCGAAACCTCATCGGATTCCTCTCCGCGCGGCTACCGGAGCGCCGCCTCTCTCTCCCCGCGCGCGCGCTGCGGCTCCGAGGGTCCTCGCCGGCTTCACCTCCGGCGGTGGCGTGCGCAACCACAGGCCCCGCGGCCGCTGGGCCAGCCATGGCGGCCGCTGCAGGTAAAAATCGTATCCCCTAGATTTCGAGCTACCCGTGGCATTCCATGGTGGGGTTCTCTCGGGCTCAGCTTCCGCACCTCCTCCTAAACCAGGGGCAGCGGCGCGCGGTGGCGGTGTGATCCCGGCCGGTAAGGGTGGCAGCCTTCGGTCGCCGGGGAAACCCGTCGTGCTCGCCGACATCACCAACACCGGGAGGCCCAACCCTACTGGATCCGTCCACGCCATCGCTGACGTCCTCAAGGTGATTTCAGTTCTAGCTCTATTTTTTTTTTCTTCGGGGGATTTCGGTTCTAACTCAAACAAGCAGACAACCCTAGCAGCGCCAAGTTGAATGCTAGTAATTCCGATTTCCATCCGATTAAACCATTTAATTCCTCCCTTGCTTTCAGGAGAACGCCAAGTTGCGTCATCTGCTTGCTGAGCGAAAGTATGCATTGCCTCTACCATCCATTTTGTTGTCGGAGGATAAAACCTGCGGTTTCTCAAGTAGCACAGTTTTTTTTAAATTATTTTTTGCTTTCTTATTTGCAGCAAAGTCATTGAAGTCAGCAGAGTAGAGTTGCAGAAAATCCGCCTCGCACTGCAAGCCATGCAGCAGAAGAACTTGCAACTCGTGCAGGCTAATTCGCAGATGTTTGCGGTTTGTCTACTTATCCATTAGCTCCCTACCTCACCATTCTTGTGTCAATGTTTGTTTATACTTGTGCAATGCTGGTTCACCAGGCCTGTAGGTTGAGCACATAGTTTGAGTTATAGCTATGCATAATGGCAAATGAGAAGTGTTTGTCTTACTTCATTGCTGATTGTTTTGTGGTAGTTACAGACTGTTTGATATGTCTATGTTTTCTTCTTCCTTGCAGGAAATAAATCAAGGAAAAGATAGAGTAAGCTGCCTCTGGTTCTTTGTTGTTTGAATTTTCAAATGCAGTATGATTTCTGATTTGGGGATTAATCTGTGGATATGACATGCAGATCAAGTTATTGCAACATGAACTTGCATGCACAATAGCCGTGCTCAAAGTAAAGGGTTCTGAACTCGAGGTAATTCTAAAGCTTGACTGTATGAACCTCTGTTTGTTACATATAACATGCTTTTCTCATCGTCTACTATTGCAGAAGATGAGTAAGACTTCTAACAATCAACAAAATAGAGCAAAGATATTGGTATGCAGTCAAATTCTTAAGCAAATGATTCACCATGTTTAGCTGCATTATTTCTAGTTCTGAATTCTGAAATCGTTCTGTTCGTGCAACATAATCAGGAGAAAAAAACCAGGTCTTCCAAATGCGCACCAACTAAGGCTCATCAAATGGCTGCAGGTTCTATTAGAGAACATTTGGTTGAAATTCAATGTAATGCTCACTCTTCTCACTATTTCTTTCTTGAACTAGATACTATACCTGGCAATCGTTTCATCTATCCTACTTTATGGTTATAATTTACCCCCTTTATATGAAGCAATTGAAGTTTTATGTTTTTTCCTCTGCCATAAGTTAGGACACTAGTAAAATTCTAATCTTCATTTGTTGCCAATTTCTTCTCAGCAGCTGTGCCATCTTATACTAGCTGTCATGAGCCTCCACAGGATAAAACAAACAAGAGGTATTTTCATCTCTTTACTGATGTTTGAGTGGGTGACTGGTTGACCGGGTTATAGTAGCCTATTTCATGCATCACTACTTATTCAGCATGTTTGCAAACAGGTGCACAAATAGGCGGAAGTCAGAATCATGTGAAGTTACAATGGATACCAACACAGTGCAACATAGCTGCAGACCTCATGTGGAATATAATGGGTCATCGCATGATGATGATCCAAGGTAATCAATGCTTAATGCTTATAACAGAATGCGTTCATTGTTGCATCATTATCTGATTTAAGCTTGTTCAAAACTCTTGGGCACATGTGGTCAGAAAAACTCGACGGAGAAGGTCTGCCAGATTGAACCCTGGATCTTTTGAGGTCGCAGAGATCTGTGATAAATTGCATGAGGATGCTACTGTTCCTTCGGCTCCTAGTTCTAATGTTCCAAAGCTGCAGGAACCAAATGCTGGAAAAGATATGGTAGGGTTTTACTATTTCTTTCTGTTTTTCTGTTTCAAAAAAAATTTCACAATGTGGTTATGATTTTGTGCTAGATTTGTGGTGGCAAGATGAAGTCATTGCAAAAAGAACTTCCATGTGATGCAATAGCGCAAGTAGTAGAGGCTCCAGAACTCAAGGTAATTGAGCAGAGTGGTTCGCATCAAATTTTTGCTAGTCTTACATATATTAATTTATTTTTTAGTAAAATCTGGATCCTGATTGTATGTACTAGAAAAAACGAAGTATGCACACACAAAAGGAAGTGTATCTGGAGGTGGGCAGGACAGTTCTTATGTAAATAATCCTCACATTTATCCATGAAGAAGTCTTAATTCTTATTATGTTCCTACTTCTTTCGTCCAATGAAATTAGGAGATACAAGAAGCAGGTTCCAGCGTTGCTGGAGGTGAGGCGCATAAATTTGATATTGAGGATCCAGAGCCACCAAGGTATGGCACATCATTTTAGCAGGGTTTAAGATGCATGGTACATCACACAATTCACCTAAACAATATGCTCTGTCCAATCAGAAAATCAATGCGTATTGATGCAAACAAACGGAAGCTGGAATCATTTGAGAGTCGATTGGCCTCGAACAAAGAGGACTGCATCAATGCCATATGCGACTCAACTTCAAGCGTGCCAATTCAGCATGAACAAAAGAGGTAACTCTCTCCTATATTCCAACGATGCACTTTCCTCTGCATGGAACATGTCAATCATGGCTGCCCTTAATACTGCAGAAAATTGTCAAGGAGAAAATCCTCAAGACTGGACCCTGGACCTTGGGAGGTCACAAATGGCACTTTTGAAATTGTCCAGGAAGATACAGTTGCCCCGTCTGCTCCTTCCAGTTCAAATGCTTTGATCGAGCAGACCAAAAATGATATGCAAAACGACCGCAGTTGCTCGACTAAACCTTCTGACGAGCAGGTGATAGGTAGAAGATCTTCAGTTGGGAGGCCCTCAAGACGGGCAGCAGAAAAGATAGTCTCCTACAAGGAGGTGCCCTTGAATATTAAGATGCGACGACCATGATCCCCACTTGCATGCAAAGAGCACAAACACCATTGGCATTTATTTTATGGTGTAGAATCAAGTTTGTTGTGTATCTATCTGTTTTGGTCGCTGTCAATAGGTAGGTTAGCTCCTCTATCTACCCCAACATGGATACTCACCCTGCATCCCAGTTTCAAACTGACCATGGAATTTATCTGATTTAGCCTCAGTCTGGACTGATGATGCCGATAACAACCAGCAAACCATTGTTCCTGTTCTGATGAAGTAGAGACCAGACAACAATAATGTGGTTAGTACTGTTTTATTTTCTTGATGGTTCTCATATGTTGAGAGATCAGCTGTATCTGTTCAGTTTATTGCGTGTTCAAGCGTTGGCTGCTTATATTATGACTTGCTTACCTGACAATCCTAAAGCAAACATGTAATGACCTGGGAGCTACTGCTGGACCCGATAGATAGATAGATGGGTACTCCAGATCGCTGGAGAAGAAGCATCAACGAAGGATAGGTTTGAGTCGGCGCACATACAGACGGCGAATCGATCTCACGCGATCAAAATCACAGTGGGACATCACGATCGTGAGCATGCAGAGATCCAGCCTAGTACTGTACATCTGATCTGACCAGCCAATCTCATGAAATCATGAACTTTTTAACTGACTGATTTGGATGGTTTGTTATACTGTACTCCTGCATGGTGACATTTCAAATCAATCAACATCATGTTTAGTTTCCTCAATCAGATCTTAGTTCAGGTATCTTGGCTGCTAGTATTTCAGTTTTAGTTACGTAGTACTGCATCTTTGTATACTACCGACAACTGACAGCCTGAACATGAATACCACTACAAGACCACCAACAGTGAACAGTCAGAGAGGTATTCATCACACGATAGAACTTTTAATCACACTAACAATCCCGGTATTTATTTTTTTACAGATGACAGGGGAATACATCGCATAATGAGCCTCAAAGCCCCCTGGATGCACACTACTCACACTCCTTACCTACTATCTCCCAACTTATTTACAATGCCTGGGCCTCACAATGCAAGGTGAGATCTCAGGTTCGTTGGTTTTATTCTCACACAATAACACACACTGGAATGTCGACAATGGATTGGGGGTAAACAGCAAGATGCCGAAAATCACTAAATACAGTTGCTCTTCAATTCTGCACAACATCAAGATAAGGTTTCTCTTCAATTCTGCACAACTTCAAGGCTGATGATAGCAGTGGAGCTATCATTGGCCTTCCAGGAGCACCCTGAGGCTGTGAAGCCCTTCAGCCGATATGCTCCGCTCGACCCTCCCCGTCCTGTTCACTCTGAGCTGAGGAGGGGCCTCCTGGTGGAATGAGACCATCACCGCCGTTAGGTTGTCTGAGGCCCCTCGCCTTATTGCCTCCTCGACGATCTGCTTGCAGCACAACCTCAAGTCATTGTGCTCTTGGAGCCTCTTCCTGGTGAAATCCACGGCATTCTGGTTCGAGAAGAAGTCCCAGATGCCGTCGCTTCCTATTATCAAGAACTCGTCTTCCTTCGTCAGTGTGATCATCTTGAGCTCTGGTTCCGCGCTCAAGGGGCCACCTGGCTCACCCACTTCTTTCAGACCCTCGAGATGCCAGTCACCCAATGCTCTAGTGACTGCTAATTGACCATTCAAATAGCCATCATCAACATAGCCGCCAAGTGATTCTATACGCTTTCTTTCGTTGAGGCAGCAAGTCCTGTGGTCCTTGGACATTTCAATTGCGGTACCACGCCTTGAAAGAACTGCTCGGCAATCACCAGCATTAGCAACCAGAAGAGACCTGCACAGTACATCCTAATGATTAGAATATGAAATCGCCTGAATCTCTCTGAACAAGTAGACAAAGGGCTCTGTAGTGACAACACGGAGGTTCAGGGGAAACTCCTAACACCTCAACTCCTTAAGTGGAACATTCCTAAGAATTTTATGCTATTGGATAAGCTTTCAGAAAATATTTGCAAGGCACACGTAGAAAATGCGGAATAACCAACCAAAGAACAAGCTTGGGAGTAGTTTGCCAGACTTAAGAATCAAACATAGCATGCTAAGAAGCAGATTGACCTAGGCTAAATTCTACTTCTAGCCTGCAGTAGGAATAGTACCTTCCAAAAATCATTGCTGTAAGCGCTGTCGTTCCAGAAGAAAGTGCATTCTGATGAGAGCACCTCTCTGCAAATTGACTATCAGTTTGCACAAATGACCTCCTGACAACTTTCTCTAGCTCAAGAGGAAAATCAGCATCTTCCACGATAACCCGTGGCAAGTTATCACGCACATAATGAGCTGCATCTTTTCCACCATGCCCATCAAAGACCTGCGAAAAATTTAAGGACAAGATGATCTTAGAAAAAGACAAGCATGTACAATTTCATGATCCATGTATCTGATTTGGTAGATGCAATCTCTCTAAACTGCTGCTGTTATGAGTTCACTGCACTTAAAGATAATACATTTTTTTAATTACTTTACAATGGATTAGGCACGTTTTAGGACTCTGGAATGCTCAACTAGGTATTGATTTCCATATCAAATGGGAACTGAAGAATCAAAATAAAGAGAGTAAAAACAAGAAGTTACCCCATAAAAGGAAATAATCTCATCATCCACTGAATTATGACCAAAATTATTAGCTAGATCTGAGATGCAGACATGAGCATCTTCCATGTAATCGCGACCTCCAATATCCGACCAGTCCCCTGATCGGATAACTGGGACAAAACTGCTCGACCTAGCCTGCTTGAAATCAAGAGATACTGTGTTCTCACAAACTTTCTCCATCTGCACATTACCAAGAAAGGTAAAAGATTAGAGCATGGCAAAAATAAGAAACAAGAAGCAACTCTGATGAAGCATAATTACAACACAAGTTCTAAATGCCTTAAGGATAGTAACAAGCATTGGCAGAGGACGTCAGCCTTATAAAAAATAACAGATCAATGCCAACTTTGGCAGAACATGATGCTAGTTCAAAACTTCAAATGAATATACTAGCACTTCAACTCTGCCAAGAGCACAAATTGCTTTAAGGGATGCTGTCGACATCATCATTCATCACATCGAAAATGAACTACTTACGGTAAATACTAATCCACCTAGTTGAAAGCGACACAGAAACAGAAGCCCCAATTCAGTCAACTAGGTGACAAGAGGCAAACCCTTATTGGACAAGCCTACGAGTGGCCATTTCTAGAGAGGGCGTTAGTAAACAAAACACCCAAGAATGCACAAAAGTGCAGTACAGCTTAGTATTTTTCAGGCAAAACAGACACAGGAGCATATGACTTGACAAAAAAAAGGCACAACAGTTGTGACAATATGATAGGACTACAGCCACTCCAACTGTTAATCCCTGTTAAACTAATTAGTACTAGAGCCATGAAAATCCACCAGGTGTTCATTCTTCCGCAACACTCCATAATCCATTTCCTGCTTGCAACCATCATTACAAGATAAAGCGACAAAGATATCCCATCAAGGTCTAACGACGGGGTTCACAGTTCATCAGAAGATATATTATGTAGTACTTCTAGAGCTACAAATCACAAGGGTCACTAAGCATTGTCCAAACAACAGTCTTAACCAGGAGGCCAGCATTTTAAGAAAAGAACATTTTTCTTGGCCTCAACTGAGAGAGAAGTACCACTGAACTTTACCAGTACTGATTTATTGATTGACAGTTCTGCATGTAAATAACATTTGACTTCTAAAGGCATAACATCACAAAGGACATTCTTTCTAATATCCATTTGGTGCTCTACTTTCTTGATTTGAAGAGAAACAAAGTACACTACTTTCTTGAATTCTGCAGTACAGTATTAAGAGAGTTCATTTCTGCTTGGTACGAAGAGTTTTCAGGTAGTACTCACTGTCACTCACATGCATAAAAATCTTATCACAGCATATCAGAATCAGAGCAGATACGCATGCGCACAAGATGCAGTAGTACGAACACATCAACTGAAAATCCCACACGACTTCTCGCCACAGAATCAAAAGTACAGGAGAACAACGCAATGCGCAAGCAGACAAGTCACCCACAAGCTACGACAAGGCACCCCAAAAAATAAAAAGATTGTGTTTTTCACGCAATCTGAATCCCTCTCCTCCTAGAAACTTCCTCTTGCCGCTGAACAATTCAAAGCGCATCTTCCCATTCACACCTTCCGTTCAAGAACAAACAATTTCCTAAATTATTTGCTGCTAGTTGTTACTATACTAAAAAAACGTTGAAATATTATATTATATTAATTGATAAGGGAGTTCATTTATTTCAGTGGTACTAATAAACTAACTAATCTCTCCTACTTTCTCCAGATTTCCAGACAAGAAAAGAAAATAAGAAAATAGAAGCATTCGGGCACGCGAAGAGTATACCCAACGCAACCACCTCAGTTGGATTTCCCCTCAACCGATCATCCCAACACCCAAAGAAAAGCATCCGGTTGCGAAATCAAATCACAAACGAATGCATCAAGAACACGAGAAAGAAAGAAAGCAAGAAAGAACAGGGAGCTTCCGAAATCCGGGAGTTTACTCTACTCACCTCGAAGTCTGCCGGTGTTGTCTCGAGCTCCGCAACCCCACCAAAATCGAGCCTCTCTGCGCCTTCGAGTTCCTCCACGCACATGCCGCTGCCTGCCGCCACCGAGCCTGAAAAACCAACCGCAGCAGCTGCCGCTGCCGCTGCAGAATCCTGGTCGGAGCAGAGGAGGAGGAGACCGAATCGGAGACGGAGAAGAAGAAGAAGAGCGGAATCCGAGCGGAGCAACAATGGAAAGGAGAGGAGAGATTCTTGGGAATATCTAAAAAAACCGAGTTTAATACGGAGGAGGAGATTATTAAGCGAAGGCGATTTTGATGAGGAAACTCGCGAGGAGAGGAGAGAGTATTTATGGAGGATGGAAGAGCACGTGGTGATTGAGACCACGGCACCAGATTTTTTTTTTCTTTTTTCTTTTCTCTTTTTTTTTTGGTTGAGACTTTTGGGAATTGGAGCCTTGAGGGGTCACGGGCCTACCACTTTACAAGAATTTCAACCCTTTTTTGACCAGTTTAGGTGAAATGCTTCCAAAAAAATGGGTAGGGTGAAAGAAAAGGAAAATCTAGGATGCACGGGAGGGTTATTAATCTGTGTACTGTGAGGTATTATTTTCATTAAAAATAATATTTGCCACGTAAAAAGTGGTTCTTTTGACGTAAGGATAATATACGACATTATACATCGAGTCATACTCGTGCTCGATGGATGGTTGTATGGGTTTGTCTCATAATTTGTTGCTAAACACCATAAGGCAAAATAAGAGATAAGGCAAACGTGCACGGTAGAGTTGTGAGTTTGGGTACTGTTGGGTTTTTTTTTCGTAAAGAAAAATATAGGGATTGCCACATAAAAAGTTGGTTCTTTAGCAATAAAAAATTGTTTCTTCAATATAGGATAATATAGGACATCAAATAATCGAGTTGTAAAGTATTCATGGTAGTGCTAACCCTTATGCTAGGTGGATGGTTGCGTGGGCTTTATATTGGTGCACATAAGGGTGCACGGTAGAGTTATTAGTTCATATATGGTACGTGGGTTCTTTTTCTTTGAAAAAGCTAGGATTTTGCTCTAAAAGGCGGTTTCTTGATGTAGCACATTATACGATAGTATACGTGGAGTGATAGAATACTCATGACAATGCTAGTCCTCGTGCTAGGTGGATGACCGCTGGGTTCTATATTAATCATCACGACGTGTTGCTAAAAGTTAGTAGGGTGAAAGAAAAGAAAAATTAAGGGTGCACGATAGCGTTACGAATATAGCTATCGTGTACTCCTTTTATCTTATCCAAAATAAGGAGGATTTATTATGCAAAAACTGGTTTTTTTGATGTAGGATAATATAGGACAGCATACGTTAAGTGTTAAAAATACTTGTAGTCATGTTAGTCCTTGTGCTAGGTAGATGTTTGGTAATTAAAAACAAGTTGGTGAAATAAAAGAAAAAAAATGAAGGGTGCGCGACATAGTTATGATTACAGATATTACATTACTTATTTTTCATGAAAAAGTAAAATTTATCACGTAAAAAATTGTTTCTTCGGCGTAGGATAACACAGTACATCTTACGTTGAGTGCTAGAATACTCGTGACGATGGCAATTCTTGTGCATGGTCGATCGCTGTGTGGGCTCAGTGTTGGTGCCCATTTGATCTATTGCCAAAAAAATATTGAGTTAACGATGTAGTAGGAGCTCTCTCGTTACTCAGGATTACTTTATGTACCATAGGTAGGGATAATTGGGAACATTAATATACGAGTGGTGGCCTGCGAAATATATGTACTTAAACAAACTTTTGAGCAATCTGCCAATAGACCACTTCAACATTTCCAATGATTGCTAATTGTTGCTAAATTTTATGATTAGAAGAACCAAGGAGGGGGTTAATTAAGGTAAATATATATACGTCGCCTACCTATGGCATGACCTCCCTCCATTTGGTATAGTTGATGTGCCAGGAAAGTTGCAACCATATGCCATTTCTCCAACATTTTACACTGGCATGGCTATTTCTATCTCCCCAGTGAAAAAGGCAGCATGAATTCTACTCCAAAAACGAAAAGAACTACTCCTCCAGTAAAGAAACATGTTTTTTTTAATAGAACTATAAACACATCAATGTACTTTTTTGGGGGTGGACTTTCCTGCAAAAGTTTGGAAAAGGTAGAGGGGACCACATGCATGAGGTTGCTGTATGGGAGTAATACCTTTTCTTTTAGAGCAAGTTTAATAGTATAGCCAACTACTAGCTCCAATTCATCTATAGCTAATCTAATAGCTCATTCATACAATAGTTATATACTACACTATTAATATCTGGTCCCACCTGTCATACACACTGTGTCTTGGAGTCCGTGCTACAGCTGACTACAAATCTATAGCCCGCTGCCCTTCTCTCTTCTCATTTATCTGCTTAAAATATGTTTGCAGCTGGCTTATAGCCTGCTATTTTACCTGCTCTTAGCATTTTAATTCTCCATTAATCTCAGAGCCAATGCTGGGGCCTTGGGAGAACGAGACCAGGAGATGTGATGGTGATATGAGGTCATCCATTATCCTTATGATATTCTTTTCCTCCCCTAAGAAAATATCTCCACCTTTTCTTAATTAATCTCAACAGGCCATATATGCATCAAGAACAATTCTTCCATTCTGTGTAAAATAAATATTTATCCTGGTTGTTCTTTTCTCTAGGAATGCATTATATATATAATCAATTATATCATAGTATAGTATATAACATAAGACTATCCATTATCTTAAAAAAGTACTTACATGATTAGTTTCAAAACCGATAGAATTAGTATTAATTAAAACTGATCTGCTTCTTGTTCAGAAAGCAGGGTCAAGTCAACGAAGCAAATAAAGCAAGAAAAAGAAAAAGAAAGAAAAAAAAAGGAGATGTGGCAGCTGCTACGCCTTCTGGTGATACCGAGCAAATTAAGGCATCGACGGATCGATCGAGAAGACGCTCCACCCTACCTAACGCCACCGTATTGCCCCCACAAAATTTCCATGAAAGCTACCACTAATAGTACTATAACTAATATTAGTAGCCACACGCACATTAGACCTAATTGTTTCAGCAACAACTTGATGATTAGTTAAACAGTACTATAAAGGGCGGTATACCGTTTTAACGGAATAGGTAATATCAGTATGATACCTATATACTAAATCTGGAGTAATAGTTGCAGTGTATCATGTCTGATACCGGACGTATAAGTTCCGATAGCTATGGTGCTATGCTGATGTCAACTATTCCGTTGTTACGGTATATCGTTAGGTAGTCTTCCTCCTAAAACTAAAACATACTGTAACTAAATACTTAACCAGCAGATTAGAGCAGGTTTAATAGTAGAGCTCACTATTTACTATTAGTCAATGCTAAAGCTAACATGTATAGTAGGTTAGTTATAAGGTTATCTTTATTTTCTTCATACTCTCTCTTTCTCTCACTATGAATTTAATGCATATTTCTTGAAACTTGTGTGTAGTTAGCTCTTACATGAGAGCCAACACTCTCCATTTTTATTTATCTCTTTCTTCCACATAAGCCTATACTAGCTTGCTTATAGCCCATTATTACCCTTGCTCTTAATTAACCAACCTGACCAGCTAGCTATTCAAGCTTCTTTCACACACACTGGCTTCGTGCCTTGCCCGGTTGTGGTTGTCATGCTGGCTGCCACTGACAGCGCGGGCCCACCTGTCAGGGAAGCAGGGATAAGGCGCGCACGTATGGGGCGGGAAGGGACACGCGTGCGACGCAGGGCCAACCGATCGTGTCGAGTCCGCGTGGTGGACACGTCACCTTAGTACGTACTAGTACTATACTGTATACTTACATCGGCTGTCGATCGATCGGCCGCGTACTCCCTCCGTCCAAAAAAAATTAACAACCTAGGTTTCCATATCTAATGTTTGACCGTCCGTATTATTTAAAAAAAAATATAAAAAATTTAAAAGGACAAGTCACGTATAAAATATTAATCATGTTTTATCATCTAACAATAATAAAAATATTAATTGTAAAAAATTTTTATATAAGATGAAAAATCAAACGTTGAACGTAGAAATTCAAGGTTTGTCTTTCTTTTTTTTACAGAGGAAGGAAGTACGTATTCGCGTGAGTAGAAAATAATAAAATTTACTAATAAAATAGTCGCGCTTGACACGACACGGCAACCGAAAATCCGAAATATCCCGACACGTTTTGCTCGCTAGATTCTGCATGCAGGCATGCGTACGCTCACGTACTCCTATCCTAGTACCTACTGCTGCTGCAAATATACTGTATACGTACACAGATCACTCCATATGTCCCTTTTAAAAAAAAAACTTGGAATGAATCTGGAGTCTAAACACACGTGTGTTCAGATTTATCCCTATAAATTAATTTTTTTAGGACAGAGAGACTTTAGGGATAAATCTAGAGTTTGAATACACGTGTATTCTGATTTATTCCTAGAGTTTAATTCTTTTTAAGACAGAGGAAGTACGATTGAGGACAAATAAGAAGTGCCCCTCGACATGCTCTCTCCGTTTCATATTTCAAGTTTAACCAAATATAGAAAACATAGCAATATTTTTAATATCAAACAAATATACTAGTACTATATTAAAATATATTTAATGAAACTAATTTGATGTTGTAATAGTTGCTATATTTTTTCTATAAATTTCATCGAACTAATAGAAATTTGATTTAGAAAAAAAAACTGTGACAAATTCAGGGATCGAGTCTCGCATATCCTGCTGAATCACCATTAAAAAAAGGGAGAGATAGGAGGGGAAAGAAAAGAGAGAGGGAAGCGTAGAGGGGTTGGAAGAGGAAGAAAGAGATGAGTTGCCCTTATGGAAAAGAACTACCCATGTACAAGGGTTTTGCTTATGAAAATGATTGATCTTGTGTATAGTATAGTACGAACTTGATACTTTCTAATATATGACGTTGTTGATTTTTTAAGATACGTTTGACAATTCGTGTTATTTAAAAATATGCAATTATTATTTTATTTTATTTTATTGTGACTTGATTTATCATCGAATATTCTTTAATTATGACTTAGGCTCCGTTCGGTACTACAAGTTTCCAACTCCTACTCCTTGTTTTCCACGCACACGCTTTTCAAACTGCTAAACGGTGCGTTTTTTGCAAAAAGTTTTTATACGAAAGTTGCTTAAAAAAATCATATTAATCCATTTTTTTAAAAAATAGCTAAAACTTAATTAATCACGCACTAAAACGCTGCTTCGTTTTGTGTGCCGAGGACAGAGCCTTAAATATTTTTATATTTGTAAAGGAAATGAACAAAACGAATGATCAAATGTTTGTAAAAAAAATCAACGACGCTATATATTAAAAAATAAAATTAGTATAATAGTAGTTAATTCTAATTTAGTGCCTTCCGATCGATTAATTAGCTTGATTGCGCGCTCTATCACAGTACTGATATACCTAGCTTAATATATTGGAAAAACAAAAGAATAAACAGAGAGAGGCCCAACGAGAGCGAATCATACCTTATAAGAGTATTGCATCATTGAGAAAGGCGCATGTGTTACAGCCTCGACATTGGTATACAGTGGCAGATCTCGAGCCCTCCCCTCCATGACGGTGACCGCCATGTAAATTGCAAAGCTTGATCGAGTGTTATCGACCAAATTAAAAAATATACTTTCTTCGTTTAAAAAACCAAATCTAATATGTGATGTAATATATTCTAGCTAGTATTATAAATCAGATAGATGTATATCAAAATTTTTAGTAGTATAATATGTTACATCTCATTTCAAGTTTAAGTCTGTTTTTTAAGAAACGAGGAGAAGGAGAGTAGTTGATCATCACAGGATACCACTTAATTAGGTAGTGTCTTGCAAGTACGTTCGTCTTGGTCGTCGTTGCATACCTGCATCCTACTTGAGAAGTTGAGCTAGTGAAGCACTGTACTGCATATAGGCTAGCGGAACTAATTAACCATTACTACCATTAATTATTAGCATTAGTTAGTATTTTTATAAGACAAATTAGCATTAGTTATTTGAGTGACCACGTGATTGCCAAGTAGCTATACCTGTACACACAAAAGCACCGGTTGTCCGACAACTGTTTGCAGTGTACATACACACGTTTCAATTTCAAAGACACGCATATGCAAATTACCTTAACTTGTTGCTGAAGAAACTTTTATTCTACTCGTACTACCAGCCTTCGCTGACCTGAAGGCACTAGGAAAAGTGCATCATATTCATATCCTAGACAGCTATATATGCCGACTTTATAAAGGCAAATGCACTGCCAAATTCTCTAGTGACGCCGTGTTTAGTTTTAAAATATTTTTTCAAACTTCCAATTTTTCCATCACATCAAAACTTTCCTACACACATAAACTATCAACTTTTCCGTCACATCGTTTCAATTTCAACCAATCTTTCAATTTTAGCATGAACTAAACACAGTCTTAATGTAGTGGTACCAGTAGCAGGTCACTGCCTCCTCCTGTCTTTGTACACTATTCTCACAGTCAATTACTTTCATTATAGAAAAAAAAACCAAAATTATATTTTTAAAGTTTTTATTTCTTTAGGACAGAGGGAGTAGGCTCGAACAAACACCCAACGTTGCTGAATTAATTCAATCAAATTCCTTCAAACTTCTGCCTAATCTCTCTACAGGACACACAACCTCTGCACCAGCCAACTCAAACAGAAATAATCAAGAGAGAAGAGACAAAATAAAAAAAATTGCCGTGGAATATTGGCAGCCGACGCAGCTGGCGATCGATGCAGTCACAGCAAGAACCAATGATCAATCTGTCCATCTCGAATCATACGAGATGATGGGCTATAGTATTCCCAGCAATTCCGAGCAAAGGACGGCTCTTTCCTTTTTCAAAGGAATGAAGAACAGACAGGCCAAATTGCAGCCACACGCTGCAACGATCGATCGCTATTTTTCTTTACCTAATTTAATTAATTATAATTAACGTCTCCGAAGCAGATTCTCGTCAGCTGCACCTGTTCACACCAGCAGTCGTAATCGCCACAAAAGTGACAAAAAAAAAGAGAGGATAAAATCCAAGCCTCCAATTTGCAGACGGATTCTCCATTTCTCCACGCTACAATCGATCATCTGCCCATGCATGTATTGATCCATCCATCTCTCCTTGGCGATCAACATGCAGACCAAGATACAATAAAAACCATGGAATTAACAGTGAAGCTGACAAGTTCATGCACCTGTTTCTTTTTTTTCCCCAAATCATTTTTACCTGTTTCCTTTATACTCCTTTCAGACTTGTGGTTTTGGCCACTAGAACATCAATGACTAATCAATCAACTGGCTGCTGGGGCACTGGACAGATCTTTTACCACTAATCTGCAAGATTCATTCTCTTCTGAAAGATGCAAATGCAGACGATCCGGACAGTGAGCTGCAGGTGTTCGTAGTGCTTACGCAGCCTGTGTGTGCTTACACTGACAGACAGACAAAAGGAGATGAGAATTGGGCAATTGCCGTGTGGGCCCGGACCATGACACCAAACGCAACAAGCAAGAAGACGGCCAGATCTCTCTTCTCTGCTCCTCTCCTTGCAAAAGTTGGTGATAGCAATGGACGGACAGGACAGGGACATCATAAAATCAACTTAACAGAAAGAGTTAAAAGGACACAGTTTGGTTTAGAATAATAGAATTGATTATGTTTTTTTATTTTGCCTAGCTTCCTAGCTAGCTCACAAGTAATATGATGTGGATTATGATTCACCTAGCAACAATTCCCTGGTCGTTGGTGGATGAGACAAGAGATTTGTTTGTTTAGCTAATTAAGCTAGTGCTTGATTAGTGCAACTCTGACATCTTCTTCAGCATAAGTTATTATGCTCCAACCATGAGCATGCATATCATCACTCTGCCTCTTTTGATCGCTTCTTATATAGTTCTGGTAGGGTACCAGATATATAAATATATAATTCGATTTCTCTTGTTTCTTTTTGTCACTGCAGTGCTGCATCAACAGATTTTATGCCTGAACAATGATCAACCAAAATACTGTGCTCTGCATATAATGACATAATATAACTAAAGCTACACAAACTGATTAATTAAGCTGGGAATTTTTACTAATGTCTTTTGTACTGCTACTGCCTGTAGTACAGTCCTATAGCTTCATTCTAGATAAGATGAAACTTTTTTTTTCTTCAGATTATGATTGGAGGAATCCTCTTATCATGAGCAGAAGAAAGGACACTACATCCTTTTCACTGGAAAAACGAAGTGTTCTGCACTTCTGCTCCACCTAGCCACCCTTTGTGCTTCCTGATGTTTTTCTATCTGTTCTCACTTCTCAGTGCCAAGTTGCAATACTTTTTATTTTTATTTTATTTTCTTCTTCTCTCAGAATGAGAAAGAGGAAGTAATTGTTTCTCCAAAAGTAAATTTGAAAAAAAAAAAGCTACCATCAAGTGTAAGTAGAGCCCATATTGAGCTTCTCGGCCTATTTGGATGGGCTGGGATTCCGGCCCATCAGGGCAATTGGAGAGGGAAATACCCCTTGTGCTAGACAGCTAGAGAACGGAAATTTTTTTTCATTTTTATTTTTTAATATTTACAGAAAATATTGTACCGGTAATAATATTTACAGAAGTAGACCCTGCCGTTCTCGAGAAGGACGGCAGGGTGACGTGAGGGACAGATACGATGGAAAAAAACTAGAAAAATGCATTTTTGGCATGGCGAAAATTACATTTGCCCCATTGCAACCCTTACAGAGGGCGGCAAGGAACCTCATTATCTGAACGTTCGGTCTATTTTGGTAGCAGTGTCGCTAGCATTGGTAGAAGTCCTACTTCTTTCAATTTATCGTGCTTAGTCTGCTAGTATCACTATTTTGCAAAAGAAAAAAACGTTTAAAATATTGTGGTCGTCCGAATTAATTTTTGAGATATTCGTCTTGTTTAAGTAACTGAGGATGTTAAATGTTTGGTATTCGAATTACGGGGTAACTTTTGAGCACTTCTGTCCCATTTTTTTCAAAAAGGATCCTCTCTTGGACTGCTAATCTGCTAGTATCACTATTTTGCAAAAGGAAAAGATCTGAATTATCATCTCAAATTATCGTGGTTGTTAACTTTTAAGTTATTTGTCCGATTTAAATAACTGAAGGATACTAAATGTCTGGTATTCGAATTACGGAGTAAATCAAACTTTTTTTCCTTTGCAAAAAGATCCTTGTTTAGGTCGATCGTTTGCAAAATGCCCTTATTTTCGTCCTTATCGTTTGGTCCTGGATACATCATGCCGCCGTGGTGTTCATCGCTAGACGCCATGCGAGGCGAGGGTTTTAGCACTCGATCTCCTCCTCCGTGGCAGTAGAGGGCGGTGCTTCTCCGCCCAAAATCTTCGGTCTCCGCCGCCGTTTCTTGGGTGCTCTCCGCCTTCCGTTTGCGTTGAAGGATCAAGAACGACGCCTCTTTCTTTTTCTTGGATTTTCCTTCTCTGAAACCCCCAATCTTGAGGTCCTTGATTTCTCTAAGGTATCTATGATCCGGTCTCTAATTTTAGTTGTGTTTTCAGTCCCTTCCCCTGTTCTGATTGAGATTTTTTTTATTGAGATAATAAGGGCGAGAATAGTTTGAGGTTTTTCTTAATTGGGTTCGGAATAGTTTGCAATTCTTATGTTTCTTAGCCAACTAGACTACTAGAGATAAAGTTGGCGCTGTCTGTCCTAGGTACTGTTTATTGTGAAGGTAGTGAATTGTAGAAAATAATAATGAGTCACTGCACGTCTGCACCTTGTTATACGCGTGATTTTCATTCATGTTACTAGTAAAGTGCTTCCAAATATGTTAGTTCAGTTTCAGCAGATGAATGCTAGTATTTCTGGACTTGCACTGCTCATTTGCTTGTTAGAAACTTCCCTTTTTATTATCTGCTTCAGTAATTCAGTTGATCAGGTTGTTAGACTAATTGCATATTCTTTATTTGCTTAGTCATTTATAAATGCATAGGGAGGTTCCCTCATTTAAAGTTATTTGCTAATCTAAATCTACCTCTTAGTTGAATTGGAAACACTCCTGCCATCTTATCGAAAGTATTACCTCTAAATTAATATCATTAATTCCATCTGACTATCACATCTCATATGTTTCATTCTTATTACTTTTAGGCCAGTCCGTAGTGCCAGCTGAACATTGATATTGCTTAAGTAAGGCAACCGTATTGCCCAATGGACAACCTGTCAGAGCCACTGCTCGCAGAGATCATCAAGAGGATTGCCAAGACAAGTGATCGTAACTCTCTTTCCCTTGTGTCGAAGCAGCTCTACACTATCGACGCGGAGCAAAGGGATGCTATCCATGTTGGCTGTGGTCTTCACCCGGCAACTGAAGCTTTGGCATCACTATGCTCCCGGTTCCCTAATTTGTGGAAAGTAGTGATTGATTACTCTGGTTGGATATCTATCCACGGGAAGCAGTTGGACAACCAAGGGCTCCTTGTGCTTTCGTCTCACTGCTCTTCACTGACCGATCTCACATTAAACTTCTGCTCCTATATCGATGATTCTGGTATTGGCTATCTGGCTTATTGCAAGAAACTAAGGTCTTTCAGGCTGAACTTTGCACCAGCAATAAGTTCAAGAGGGCTTCTCTCGGTGGCAGTTGGTTGCAAGAGTCTTTGTACTTTCCACCTTGTTGATTGCATGAAAGTAGGAAGTGTGGAGTGGCTGGAGTACCTTGGCAGGGCCGGATCATTGGAAGAACTTGTGGTAAAGGATTGTAAGTGTAGGAATAAGTCTTGGCTGGTTGGTCTTGGTCTTGTGGTGCCTTTTTCCTGCTTTTCAGCTTTCTAGGACAGCATCTCTACTTTCAGTTTGGATGCTCTAGGACAGTTAGGACAGCAGTTTGTTGAGATGCTCTAGGACAGTTTGTTGGGATGCTCTGCTCTAGGACAGTTTGTTGGGATGCTGACAGCACCCTCTTAGACTAGCATGGCTGCATGGCTGCTACAAGCAGCTATAAATATGTATCCAATCCTCTTTGGGAGGACATGGCTTTTGTGTTTAGTGAATGAAGAAAACCAGAAAATTGCCCCATCTCGAGTGCCATCCTCTTCTCAATGAGAGTAACCATTGAAATTCTAACATCTGGTATCAGAGCCACACTTTCCTGTAGGCTAAACATCTCTTGTTCCACCCCTTCCCAAGCTCGGTTGAGCTCTCAGCCAGCAGCAGCAGCAGCAGCACCGGTTGCTCCTCCTTCCCCTTTCCCTTCCCCCTCTCCACACAGCAGCCCCCCGGAGGTGCGCCATGTCCGACGCTCGGTCTCGGCGTTCGGTCGCCTCGAGCACTCGGCGTCAGCAGGACGCCGAGCTCGCCGCAGCAGAAGAGCGCAGGCGAGCAACGGCTCAGACCGCTGCAGCAGCAGCGAGGGCGGCCAGACTGGCGGCAGCGGAGTTGGCAGCAGCCAGGGCGGAGGCGGAGGCGGAGGCGGCGGAAGATGCGGCACGTGCGGCGGAGGTAGAGGTTGAGACCTTGCGCAGCAGCATCAACGGCTCCATCGCCGGCGACATCACCGCTGACAGGGAGCTTGAGGAGCTGGCAAGAGGAAGGGCACGGGAGCGAGCAGAGCGGTGGGCAGCAGCCCACCTCCACGGCGGCGGCGGCGGCCCAAGGGACCGTGCGCCCGCCGACGGGAACCCAGACGGGCGCGGGCGTGCCGGCGGCAGCCCGGAGCCCGCACGCGGCCCTCGCAGGCGGCACGGCTCCCTCTCCCCTGACCGGCGCCATGGTCACCACGGCGTCCAGACGGTGGTCAGGGATTTTGGTCCCGGCGGTGGGTGGCCTACCCTCACCAAAACCAACTACATCGAGTGGGCCGCGGTGATGAGGGTGAGGCTCCAGGTGCGGCACATGTGGGAGGCAGTCCGGTACGGTGACGTCGACTACGACGAGGATCGGCGGGCACTGGATGCCCTCATCGCTGCAGTTCCGCCCGAGATGCAGTTCTCGCTTTCCCAGAAGCGGACTGCCAAGGAGGCCTGGGACGCCATCGCTGCGGCACGCATCGGCAGCGACCGCGCCCGCAAGTCCACACTGCAGGCACTCCGCAAGGAGTGGGAGAACCTGGCCTTCAAGCCAGGTGAGGATGTTGATGACTTTGCTCTCCGTCTCAACACTCTCTTGCAGAAAATGGTGCAGTACGGCGACGACACCTACGACGAGGAGAGAGCTGTCGAGAAGCTCTTCCGCTGCGTCCCTGAGAAGTACAGGCAGATCGCTCGCTCGATTGAATCTCTGCTGGACCTCTCCACGATGTCGATCGAGGAGGCGTTAGGTCGCCTCAAGGTCGTCGATGGTGATGAGCCACGGCCTCTCTCGGGGCCCATCACCATCGGCGGGAAGCTCCATCTCACTCGGGAGCAGTGGGAGGCCTCTCAGGGTGACGGGAGGAAGGGGGAGTCATCTTCCCCGACAGGCGGCCATAAGCCGCGCAAGGCGCGGGGAGGTGTCCAGCTACGGTGGGCGCGAAGACGTGCCGAGGGTGGCGCCCGCAGAGGCGCCCAGGGCGTTGCCACCGGCAACCACAAGCCGGCACGAGACGACACCTGCCGCAACTGTGGCAAGCTTGGCCATTGGGCCAAAGACTGTCGACAGCCACGACGCGGCCAGGCCCACGTCGCACGGGTGGAGGAGGAAGAGCCGGCTCTGCTCCTAGCTCACGCAAGCATCGAGCTACCTCCAGCGGCACCGGCCGCAGCGGCTTTCCTCCACCTTGATGAGCCGAAGGTACTCGTCTCCCTCTGCGACGGCTCCAGCAACGACAAGGCTGATGGGTGGTACCTCGACACCGGCGCCACCCATCACATGACCGGCCGACGGGAGTTCTTCACCGAGTTCGACTCCAGCGTCCGAGGCACCGTCAAGTTCGGGGACGCCTCCGGCGTGGAGATCAAGGGTGTTGGCTCCGTCACCTTCACCGCCAAGTCCGGTGAGCACAGGCTGCTCACCGGAGTCTACTACATCCCCGCGTTGAGGAATTCTATCATCAGCGTGGGACAGCTGGATGAGAACGGCTCACGCGTGTTGGTCGAGGACGGACTCATGAGGATTTGGGATCGCCGTCGTCGCCTTCTTGCCAAGGTAACCAGAGGCACTAATCGACTCTACATCCTCAGCGCGCAGGTCGCACATCCAGTTTGCCTCGCCGCTCGTCGGGACGACGAGGCGTGGCAGTGGCACGAGCGCTTCGAGCACCTCCACTTCGAGGCCCTGAAGCAGCTCAGTGCCAAGGAGATGGTGCGAGGCATGCCGTGCCTTGACCACGTGGAGCAGCTCTGCGACGTCTGCGTGGTGACAAAGCAGCGGCGGCTCCCCTTTCCCCAGCAGACGAGCTTCCGAGCCAAGGAGCGGCTCGGGCTCGTGCACGGGGACTTGTGTGGCCCAGTGACACCGGCCACACCAGGAGGACGACGTTATTTCCTGCTGCTCGTCGACGACCTCTCCCGCTACATGTGGGTGATGGTCCTCGGCAGCAAGGGAGAGGCTGCGGACGCCATCAGGCATGCGCAGGCTGCTGCAGAGGCGGAGTGCGGCCGCAAGCTGCGCGTGCTGCGCACCGACAACGGCGGCGAATTCACGGCGGCTGAATTCGCGTCGTACTGCGCTGATGAGGGCATTCAGCGCCACTACACCGCGCCGTACAGCCCACAGCAGAACGGCGTCGTCGAGCGGCGCAACCAGACGGTTGTGGGGATGGCTCGGGCCCTCCTCAAGCAGAGGGGGATGCCGGCCATCTTCTGGGGGGAGGCGGTGGTGACGGCCGCCTACATCCTCAACCGCTCGCCTACCAAGGCCCTCGATGGCAGGACACCGTACGAGGCTTGGCATGGGCGCAAGCCGGCGGTCTCCCACCTGCGGGTCTTCGGCTGCCTCGCGTTCGCCAAGGAGCTTGGCCACATCGGCAAGCTCGACGACAGGAGCACCCCAGGGGTGTTCATCGGCTACGCGGAGGGCTCGAAGGCCTACCGCATCCTCGACCCGGAGACACAGCGTGTGCGCATTACGCGCGATGTTGTGTTCGACGAAGGGCGAGGGTGGGTATGGGACAAGGCGGTGGATGATGGTTCGACTCCGACGTACGACGACTTCACCATCGAGTACGTCCACTTCGAGGGAGCTGGGGGAGTAGGCAGCTCTTCTTCACCGAGCGTGTCTACCCCAGTCCCCGAGCCTCCACCGACTCCAACACCAACACACCCTCGGGCCACGACTTCGACTACGACGAGCTCTTCGTCGACACCACCCCAGCCGGTGTCCCCACACGCTCCAGCACCAACAGCCACTCCTCCGGGCACGTCTACTCCGACGCCAGCTCGTGTTGAGCGCAGCCCGGTGGAGTTCGTTACTCCGCTCTCCCACGACGGGGAGCGCATCGACGCGTACCATGACGGCGAGCAGCTACGGTACCGTACGATGGAGGATCTTCTCGGCGACCAGCCGGTGCCGGGACTGGTGCCTCGCAACCTGGAGGCGCAGTTGCACCTTGCGTGCGACGACGGTGAGCCTCGGTCTTTTGCAGAGGCCGAGAAACACGCGGCATGGCGTGCCGCGATGCAGTCGGAGATGGACGCGGTTCAGGAGAACCGCACCTGGGAGCTTGCTGACCTCCCTCGTGGTCACCGCGCGATCACCCTTAAGTGGGTGTTCAAGCTGAAGAGGGATGAAGCCGGAGCCATCGTCAAGCACAAGGCTCGCTTGGTGGCACGCGGTTTCGTGCAGCAGGAGGGGATCGACTACGACGATGCCTTCGCTCCCGTGGCACGGATGGAGTCCGTGCGACTCCTTCTTGCGCTGGCTGCTCAGGAAGGCTGGGGCGTCCATCACATGGACGTCAAGTCGGCGTTTCTAAACGGCGACTTGAAGGAGGAGGTCTACGTGCACCAGCCGCCGGGATTTGTGATCCCCGGCAAGGAGGGCAAGGTGCTACGCCTGCACAAGGCCCTCTACGGCTTGCGGCAGGCACCGAGGGCGTGGAATGCCAAGTTGGATTCCACGCTCAAGGGGATGGGCTTCGAGCAAAGCCCGCACGAGGCGGCCATCTACCGGCGGGGCAATGGAGGAAATGCCTTGCTGGTGGGTGTCTACGTCGACGACTTAGTGATCACCGGCACCAAGGATGCAGAGGTCGCGGCGTTCAAGGAGGAGATGAAGGCCACCTTCCAGATGAGTGATCTGGGGCCTCTCTCCTTCTACCTGGGGATCGAAGTGCACCAGGACAACTCCGGGATCACGCTTCGACAGACCGCCTACGCCAAGCGCGTCGTTGAGCTGGCTGGGCTCACCGATTGCAACCCAGCTCTCACTCCGATGGAGGAGAGACTGAAGCTGAGCCGCGACAGCACAGCGGAGGAGGTGGATGCTACACAGTACCGACGTCTTGTGGGGAGCCTTCGCTACCTCACCCACACACGGCCGGACTTGGCCTTCTCCGTCGGCTACGTCAGTCGGTTCATGCAGCGACCGACGACGGAGCACCAGCAGGCTGTGAAGAGGATCATCCGCTACGTTGCGGGGACTCTCGACCACGGTCTCTACTACCCGAGGTGTCCTGGCAAGGCACACTTCGTCGGGTACAGCGACAGCGACCACGCCGGCGACATCGACACCAGCAAGAGCACGAGCGGGATTCTCTTTTTCCTCGGCGAGTGCCTCGTTAGCTGGCAGTCAATCAAGCAGCAGGTGGTGGCCCTGTCCAGCTGCGAGGCCGAGTACATGGCAGCATCCGCCGCTTCGACCCAGGCGCTCTGGCTTGCTCGACTGCTTAGTGATCTCCTCGGCAGAGATACTGGAGCGGTGGAGCTCAGGGTGGATAGCAAGTCCGCTCTGGCCCTGGCAAAAAACCCCGTTTTTCACGAACGGAGCAAGCACATCCGAGTGAGGTACCATTTCATCCGAAGCTACTTGGAGGAAGGGAGCATCAAGGCGAGCTACATCAACACCAAGGACCAGCTTGCGGATTTGCTCACCAAACCCCTTGGGAGGATCAAGTTCCTTGAGCTTTGCTCCCGGATCGGGATGGCTCAACTCTCCCACAAGACGGCGCACAAGACTTAGGGGGAGAATGTAGGAATAAGTCTTGGCTGGTTGGTCTTGGTCTTGTGGTGCCTTTTTCCTGCTTTTCAGCTTTCTAGGACAGCATCTCTACTTTCAGTTTGGATGCTCTAGGACAGTTAGGACAGCAGTTTGTTGAGATGCTCTAGGACAGTTTGTTGGGATGCTGACAGCACCCTCTTAGACTAGCATGGCTGCATGGCTGCTACAAGCAGCTATAAATATGTATCCAATCCTCTTTGGGAGGACATGGCTTTTGTGTTTAGTGAATGAAGAAAACCAGAAAATTGCCCCATCTCGAGTGCCATCCTCTTCTCAATGAGAGTAACCATTGAAATTCTAACAGTAAGGGAATCAGCCAGTATGACCTCCTTAAGTTTGGCCGAGGATTCATGAAACTGCAAAGGTTTGAGTATGAGATCAACAGAAATTACTGGTCATCGGCAGCCCGTGATCCTGCCTATGTTGCTCACTACCCATACAGGTACGATATCTGCTGTGAAAATATGAAGGAACTGAGGTTGGCGCATATTGTAACTAAGCCAGAGATAGGACTCCGTTTTCTCTTGGGGAAATGCAGAGCATTGGAGAAACTTTGGCTGGAGTATGTCATTGGTCTAACTGACAACGATGTGATTGCACTATTCCAGAACTGCGGCAACCTCAGAAGCCTCTCGTTAAGGCTCATTCCTCTGTTGTGTCATGCTATTTATTTTCGGACAGCATTGACCAATGACAGCCTTAAGGCCCTGGCTCTCTACTGCCCTATGCTTCAGGTTCTTGAGCTCACCTTTACATTTTGTTCCGAGGACTATCCGTCAGAAGTAGGCTTTTCACAGGAGGGTATTGTAAACCTCGTTCAGTCCTGTCCAATTCGTGTTCTCATGCTTAATGGTGCCAGCAATTTTGACGACGAGGGAATGAAGGGCCTGTCATCCTCAAGATCCCTGGAGACACTCGAGCTTGTGGATTGCATGTTTATAGGGGATTTAGGCATGCGTTCCATCGCGCGCACCCCGAACTTGCGGAATCTAACACTCCGGAAGTGTGTTTGTGTGACTGACAATGGAGTGTCTGAGCTGGTGCATGCACAGAACTTGGAATCCCTGACCATTATAGGTTGCCATCGGATCTCTCTGAAAGCTGTGCAGGGGGCTGCCAGATCAGTTTACTACTCAGCTGAGTCTGAAAAACATGAGAGTCTGAAAGGAATGAAGATGACAAGGTCTTCAAAGTGATGTTTGGCTGTCAATGTTTCTTGCTATATGTTACCTGATGTTAATTTCTGACTACTTTCTATAGGTAAAACCTCTTCAGATTATCTTTACATTGCTTGTCGAGACCCCCAAAAAGTCATAAAATGTATTTGCATGAAACTTGTGATTCTGACTTTTCGAATTATAACTATAATATTTTGGAAGTAATTCTGAAGACAGGTCTATCTATCATTTCACTATGGCCAATTTAGATACTTCATATGGCAAGTCTTGTTCAGATTATCGTTGCATCCCTTCTCAGGAAAAAAGAAAATGTTTTTGCTGAGACCTGCAACTCTGTCACTTGTAAGGATAGGTAGCTGGCCAGTATAAGGACAAAGTTTGATGATCAATTACCACCTCATCACTTGACGAGCAATTATCATTCTCCACAATAGTTTCAGGCGCAAATCTTCTATTGTGGTGACATGTGGTTCACCATTCTTTGCTCTTTCATTAGTTTATATGGGTTTATTTATATCTATTGTGCACTCTTGAAGCCATTTATAGAACTTTATGTTGTAGCAATAAAAATAGAACAAAAAACTGGGCACAATATTTTTTAGTTAGTTTTATTCTATTGACTTAAAGTTCTAACAAGGCTAAAATATTCGCTGACACAGATGACATGGTTTCTTAAACTGTCCAAATATTGCAGTTTATCCAATTGTGACTGGATCCAGCTAGCGGCAACATTGTTCCAGCTAATGGTAATGATTCAGTACTCAAGGTCTCACTGTCACAAATAACCAACATGGGCAGGTATTTGGAGACCTGCATTCTTCACTTACGTTTCACCTTTTTTGCCCGCTATTTGATTGGATGGTGTTTGCATTTTTCTCTTCGGTACAACATTCCCATACTTACAATGATCCATATTGTTTATACCGCTGTGGTGCTGCCCTTGTGTGTGCTTAATTTTTGTAGAGACCAGCTGACTGACGTTCCATCTATACTATTTTTACTGCTGCAGGATATGATATCCATGTATGTTTTTTTTTTCACCTTTAGTTTTTAGATAGCTTCTGATTAAATGTTACATCTACTGCTATTTCCCGGATACACAAATCCATCCTGCTTAGTTAATATATATATAGCGGGCAAATCTCCTGCATACTCTTTCATGAAAAAGAAATGCACAAATCCTCTCTATCCACATTTCTGCTGTCATTATGCGTGCTTAATTAAGGTGCCTTTGGATTTTGGGTTATTGGTATCATGAAAAAATAATTGAACTTCACAACAATTAGTTGCTGGCCTACTATTGCAGGACCTTCTGTATAGACAACCTTTTGATACGTGAACTCAATTTGTTGGGTGCTAGGGATCTTCAGAACATATGGTTTTCAGAATTCAGAGTATACGGGTTTCTTCCCCAGTTCTAGACTTATATTTTGGGAAGTTTTAGACTTATATTTTGGGATGGAGGGAGTATTTGCCTTAATCCTTATGCTTATAGATTTTTCTTTGCTGTTCTTTTTTTTTTTCTGAGCAGAAACCACTCGCAATGCGTATACGGGCGTTCTGAAATTTGCTGGGAATCTAATTAACTGGTGCATTCTGAGCCTGAATGTGTGAAACTCTACGTGTATGCTGTGCAATAAGCAAGTAAGATTATTTAAAGGTTGGCCTCCAATTATGGTTGGCCATAGTCGAGTTTGCATATACACGAAGGTGCCTTTGGTTTGGATTGGCTGAGACATGCCACACGTCTTTGTATTATATTATACTCGTAGTCATGGATAGCAAAAGTCAAAAGACAAGACAAAAACAACTCAAGAAACACACACACAAAAGCTTAATAATCTGCAAAATACAAGATTAGGGATTGTGTTTAGGCAAAATACAAACGCTGCTTTCACAAGGCTCGCTGTAATAATCTGCAAAATGCCTCCTTCCGCAAAGTATCAGGGAGCTGTCTCCATCTCTGCACGACTCAAAAAGGCAACACACGCAGTTTATTGCTTTGCTGCATAAACAGTTCAGAACACTTCACACCGTCTTAATCTTTCGAAAATGCACAAATACTCATCAACTATTAGTTGCATATTAAGTGCGCACAAGCGAAACAAATTCAAGCGAGTTATTTGCACTACATTAAAGCCTTCCATTACAAAAAATACTCGTCGATACAACAGACAAAAGGTGAATATGTACATTTTCCCTTCGCATCTACTCCTTCCAATATGGTGCACTGCCAAGCAACGCGACACTGTATACAATGGCATCTTGCTCATCCGTTTAGGTGTAGTACTATCTAGCTGTTACATGGAGGAACTACCGTAACCTATAATTGCTTGCACCCACAAAGAATGCATTGGCATTTGGCAAACCCCTAAACAAATAAGGGCACATCAGCAGCATCTCACATGCAAATAATGTGCGAGAATGGCTAGTTTGTGAATCGAAAGGACCCACCTTAAGATTGAAGAATATCAGGCACGGGTATACTTTAACTTAAGGTTTGTATCTGGGGGGGTGGGTTCTCTTTTGACAAGAGATTGACGGCAATCATAAGCAGAAAATCACACAGAAACATGCTGCTGCAGGATGTTTTTAACACGTGGATATCTATCAGACCACCTCCTGTAACCTGCAAACCAGTACGGCAAATAATGAAGTTAGATAATACTAATATCTAAGTTCACACCGATAGCAAATCAAATGAGAGCTCTTCTTTTCTTTTTTCCAGTTTATGTTAAAAAGAGTATAGTATTTGCCTGATAGTATGATTTGCTTTTGGTTGGATTGTTCTATGTCGTCGTCAGGAATGCCCTGCAGCAGAATATAAAAAACCATCGTCAGGACTGGCAAGAGGTTGCATCATAGAGAAAATAATTCCATAAAAAGGATGTTCTCATTAGTTACCTGATGCAAACTTCTGGCAATGAGCTTTGACAACTTCTCAAGTGTCTTGGAATCAAAATCAGAGCTGCTCAATAAAAACTCTTCTGTTGTTAAGTCCAACACCAACGTGCATAAGCAGGAGGCTGTTATGATAACTGATGAATCATCGGCGGTTCCTATGATCAATAACAAAAGCGGTAGCTATTGATCAGAGCATGACATGCATCAATTAGCATGTAATCTGTTTGTTGGTTCCAGAGATATCATACTATACAAGTGGTATAGAAAAACAATAATTCCATATCTAAGCATGGGGAACATGCAGTCATTATTATTTTCCAACAAGCAACTAGGATTCTAGAGAGAACACTGCATATATGATGCTGATATCTAGGTCAATTGGTTCATATAAATAAGGAGCAGAACATACCAGTCCATGAAACAAGTGCTTTTAGAAGGCCGACAAAACAAGACCCCATTTGAATATGAGCATTTTTCATCTACAGAAGTACCAGAAAACCATTAATGTTTCTCATGATAATCAAACTAGTCTGTTTCAAGAACAGAACCACTTACATTTGACAAAAAGTTTATGATGGTATCACATGCTAAAAACATGTTACCAGTGTCAATCATCATTCCATTCTGTTCGATCATTTTAATAAGGCAGTCTATAACCTGTAAAACATCATAGCAAGATCAGTCCATAACTAAGGGGAAAAATAGGCTTGTATACTACCGCAAAATCTCTTCTAGTAGTTGACAAGATTAAGCAATACCATGGATTCATTTCAAAAGTAAACCTATGTCAAAACTGATTGGAACCTACAGGCAGCTAAAGTATTTATGCCATGGAATTCTACATTTAGAACCTTTCTGAAGTGTAATGCAAAATAAGCTTACTTACCATTTTATAGCCTCCAAATGATGCCAAAATTCTACATCCATCAGCCTCCATTGTTATTTGTGATAGCATGGGAAGCATAAAACAAATAGAATGGAATGAGCTGTACACAAGAATAGAACTTTATATCAACATTGTCACATTACGGAAAGATCTCTACACATGAGCACAAAATAGAGGACAAGCTACCTTGATTCATCTTGCCCTTCAACAGAGAAGATAAATTCCAGCAGATGTCTAATCTTCTCCTTGCAGGCATATGGTGCCTCTGCCAGATAACTGCAATAGATATTTTCAAATTAAGGAAAACGAATATTCTACAGGAGTTTGTTCTTGAAATTTCACTATTAAAGATCCATTTGGGGTTAACAGCATATGTACAAGATGTGCATAAAAGCATATGGAGTGGCCAAATTGCGAATGAATTTGTTTCACGGTGTCAAAATTCAATTAACTGTCATGTAAAGTAAGTAAAATCATCAAAAGTGGAAGCTAAGGGCCATTATAATACTAACCATGTTCAATTGTTATCTCAGTGTTGAATAGCATAGGAAGAGAGGTGTACTGCGTATTGTTGGTAGGATCACTTCTGAACTACACACACTAGTCAAGCTAAAACTCTGATTTTGTGTTGCTGAAAAGCTTGCGAACTTAGGAGGTGTACATGTCCTTTTATAAGACTCTTAATTCAGTGCAACAGTACTGCTATAGTATGTGGCCAATTGTATTGAGCCTCAAGGGCCGGTATATATATGTTGACACGTATGTGGTCAATTGTATTGAGCCTCAAGGGCCGGTAGATATAGAGTTACATGGATAGAGATAAGGACGGACTCTAAACAAATAAATCCTATCCTAATATTCCTATTAACTACTCCCTCCGTTTCACAATGTAAGTCATTCTAGCATTCTCCACATTCATATTAATGTTAATGAATCTAGACATATATATCTATCTAGATTCATTAACACTAATATGAATGTGGGAAATGCTAAAATGACTTACATTGTGAAACGGAGGAAGTACCATATATCTCTAACACTAAGGAGCAATTCTTAAGATTTAAGAAAATAGAATGCAGAGATGGATCCACATGGTCAGTCTAACAATTACTAATAAGCAAAGAAGCGCACCTTCCTACTATTCTCACAGCCGCCAAAAGATCATCGCCTTTCCTTTGCCCATGATCCTGCAATGCTTCATCATGTAAGAGATCTTACGATACTATCATAAGTTCATAACTGGCTGATCATATATGTACCTTTGCGTCCTGCAGAAAGTCTAAAACTAAGCCAACTGTCTCATTTAATCCTGTAATTGCTTTCATGATGGTGCTCTCACGGATGGTCTGACATACAGCACCTGCATGCAGTGCCAATTTGTTTTATTTAAAATATTTGTTATAATTACTAGATGAATACCACACCGCATTGCTGCGGGAAATTAAGTTGCATAATATGTACAAATAAGATGCAATATGATTATTAAACTAAAACAAATTGATACTTATGAATTTTGAGCCTAAAAATAATTGAGATTGCCTGGTGTTATGAGAGAAGAAAGAAGAGACAATTTGCACCATAGATCTATATCATCCAAAGGCTAGAAATAATTGGGGTGATGTGGCTTAATGACAGAAGAAAGAAATAGCATTAACTACACTTAGTGAGGATGAACTATGTAAGTATATAGGATTAGGAGCTCTGCTATTAGTCATGGCTTAAACTGTAGGATAGGCGAAATGGACAGAAAGGTAGAAATTAGAGAATAAGAAATGTCAACATATTACAACAGCAGTGTTGGTTGAGCCTAAATATTCAAAGTTCAGATGTTACCATCCAAAACTGTCAATGTCAGTACAGTTCAGGAGAAACATTACAACAGAACAAAACACTGGAATTTAATAAAAAGAAGGAATTAAGGAACATACAACCACGTTGCTATTGAAGTTGTTCAAGCTATCTAACTTAATCATGCCTGGATCCAACAGTATTTGGCCATTAACATGTGGCAACACATGCATATCAGCATGCTCACTAAGTTAAGGCATAGAAACACAGAATACTCGTTTAAGAAATTAAGGGTGCATAAATAGAGGGTAGGATCAGAAGACTGCATCACTAACTACAATACATCACCTACGATCTAGATATTTGCAAACAAAAAAGAGTCAATAATAAGGTAGACATACCTTCCCCACTACTGGCATTTGATATCATTTTTATTATTCTTTCTATTAGTGAAAATAATATAGCCAGGTTTCTCTCTTTCTGACTGATGGCATCATCTCTCTGGGAATTTTTTGAAGATTCATACTTCAAATAAGCAAGCTCATTTAGAAGGACAGAAACTTCGATTCTTGCAGATTCTAGGACAAGCAATACAAATCTGCACAAATCACAAATTGTTATGCGTATAAGAATGTATATCAAACAGGATACAGGTGATAATGTCAAACTCACTTATCAACAGGCATCATATTCTGGTCATCAGGGACTTTGTATTCTTCTGACAGCCAATTCTCACCAAGTATAGACATCATGCACTCCGCCAAAAGAAGAGCTTGCAACTTTTCAGAAGATACTGATCAGTGCAAATAAATCAGTGTCATGAACCATATCAAAAGGGAAAGTAAATACTAACACTGGTAAAGTGCCGTTCTTATATCCTCTGAAAGGAATCCTTTCAGAGTATGATCAATAACTCCATCGAATTACCATATACTACAGTACTGTTGCTCAAAGAAATCTACATAAACTTTCTTGCAAGTTTAGAAAAATATCGAGCTAAATACAAGAAACGAAATGATACTCTCCTATAATAAAGGTAGCAACTGAAACTAAAGAAACAATTTTAAGAAAAGAGAAAGGCCTAAAATTATCTGAAGTTATAGACTAGTACTGCAAATAGGGACAGAATAGCTAGTGTAAAGTGGCACATTAAGCACTTTCAGCCTTGCTGAATGCAGCAGATTCTTAAATTGATAGTGTAGACCAACGAATTACAACTTCACAGTACACAGGAAACAAATATTGTTAAAAACATGAAGCAGACATACCAACACGGTTTTGGAGAACGGCCGTTATCCCAACTCGAATTTGACATTTCCAAATCATGGAAGGTACTGATCTCAAAGCGTCATGAAGCGGCTTGTTGGACAACAAAAATAAAGGAAGGAGTTAAACAAAAGCCACTAGAAAGGAATCATTAAACATCATTCAGAAGGGAACACAATCCCACACTTTAGATGAAACAGAAAGGGAGGAGGTAATTCTTACAGATTCCTTTTGGGATAGAAGGGCGGTAAGCATATGCAGCGCTTCAAATTTAACTGTAGTATGAAGAACAGCAAAAAGCCTAGCAAGTGAGGTCACCTGAATTGAAATGAAATTGCAGGCCAAGCCATCACGTTAGGACTGCTAAACATGTGAAGCATAGGAAGATTCACGCAAAAGATTCCAGTATGTAATTCATACCATGCTTGTCATGCCTTGCAGTTTCTCCACGGTCATGTTGTCTATTCTGATTTTATGAACAAGTAGCTGCATTAGATGAATGGCAAGCTCTAAGCACCTTGAACCTATGAACAGATACAATCAAATAACTGTATAAAATTCAATTCAACTCAGTAAAATACAATATCATTCAAAACTACTACTACCTAAAAGCACACACCAATTAACTTCAGGACTAAAAGATAGTTTTTTGCCTGTCCATGGACTAACTCATGTAACCACGGTGTGAGTACCAAATGTGAACTAGGTTACATATTCAATAATAATTCTTAAAAGGTAAAAGTACCCAGCAGCCATCCAAGTGCGCATTTGAAATGTGAGTGCTGGAACTTGAATCTATTCCCATTTCTCAAAGGAAACTGGCAAGTTAAAACTAATACCATCTGGGAAGTTTGAGATTTGGAGGAAGAGCATATCCATCACTCCAGGTTCACAAAACGTATGCGCCCCACCATCTGAAGCTATTGCAATAAGAGACAGGAGCTCAAAACATTCTTCAGTAATTGCCAGATCAGACCTGCACACGAGTTGGGTAGAGTCATAAGCAAATGAGTTATGCAGAGCAAGCATCCCAACTGAAATACAGAATCGGAGGACTACTCAAGCAAGCATACTCAGTTAGGTAGCATTGTTCACTTGCACAATTGCAAAATGTTGCAACGTCTGCTGCTTCAACTACACTGGTTTTACCTAGCCTGAGTATCAATCAGAACGTGGTAGATAGCGAATTTACTTACGATTTGGAGACGATCTCGGCGATGAGGGGCACAGTGGAGACGACCCCCTCGTCGGCGGCAACCTCTGGGAATCGAGCAAGCCCGGAAAGCACCGTCACCGAGAGACGCAGGTACGCCTCCCTGTCCTCCTCCTTGCCGCCCTCCACTTTCCCCAGCCCTGCATCCAACAACGCGAACAAAAACCCAGTGACGAAGAGGAACCATGCCTACACTGGAGACAAGCGCTCCCACGAGGCGCGGCAATTCTACCGGTGTTGAGGAGGCGGCGGAGGAACCGGGGCCCGACGGCGCGGTACACCTCGACGACGGAGGCGGCGTCGCCGGCGCGGCAGAGGTTGGCGGCGACGAGGAGGCCCGCCAGCTTCTGCTCGTCGCGCTCCCCGCGGAGGAGGCGGAGGCATTCCTCGAACGCCGGGGCGGTGGTCGGCGTCTCCGCGGCGGCGGCGGCAGGAGCCGGGGTGGAATCCTGCAGGGATTGAATGCAGAGGCGAGGTGAGAAGGCGAGGAAACGGGAGGGTTAGGGTTTGGAGGAGGAGGCGCAGGTGAGCACCATGGATGTGAGGCGGCGAACGGAGCAGCGATTGCGAGCGGGTGAGGAGAGCGGCTCCGCCGCCGCCGCCGCGTCGGGACTCGCAGCGAGCACTGGTCTTGAATGGAAACCTCCCAAGAGTTCGAATGAAAGGCGGCGTGGAGGTGGAGGAGGAGGTGGTGGTTTGGCGAGGGTATTCTTGTCATTGTGCAGTATTTGACTCGTTGACTTCCGGCCCAGCTACTAAAATGGGCCTCACGTACACACTCTTTCGGCCTAAATACTTTCGGAAAAAGTACACCGAAGGTCCCTCAACTTGTCATCAAGTTACAAAATCATCCCCCAACCGCAAAACCAGATATCCGGCATCCCTTAACTAGTCAAAACCGGTCACAATAGATCATTCGGTGGTTTTGACCCCGGTTTTATCATACATGGTGGCTTAGCCATCTCTCTCTACCTCTTCTCTTCCTCGATTCCTCCTCTCTCTCTTTGTGTCTGTAGGCTAGTCAGTAGGGTGAGGCGGGAGAGGAGGAGGGCGGCGCCACGGCGGCGGCGGCGGCGGCTGCAGTGGGGAAGCACGACGGTAGCCCGGCGGAGTTCCGCGGCAGCCAAAGATGGGCCCAGGGAGGTGTCGATGCTACCAATTTTGGTCGTTAACAGGAGGTGACAGGTGGCAGCGAGGCGGGAACAGCGCGAGCGTTGATGGGGAGGTGTGGGCGTGCGTGGGCGTCAATGGGGTGAGGCGGGAGAGGAGGAGGGCGGTGACGGCGGCCGTAGTGGGGAAGCACGGCGATAGCCCGGCGGAGTTCCGCGGCGGCAAAGATGGGCCCGGGGAGACGGCAGGCGGCAGCGAGGCAGGAACGGCGCGGACCCGTTTGACATCCAAGTTCCAACCACTTCATCCCCGTTCCGGCCCAACTAATATAAGCCGCATGTACTTAGGTACTAACATGGGCCGCACGTACTTGGATTCCCGTTCGGGCCCAACCAACGGGCGCTGTACGCGCGTCCTCTGTGAGAGAACAGCAGCTGCCGCCGTCATGCTGCCGCTGCGGCGCTGTCCTCGCCGACGCGCCAGCGAATTCATCCTCTTGCTCGCCGTCGCCGGTAACAAAAGGATCTGATTAATTTGTGCCATATATAATCGAAGATTACAAGACCATATATAACACTACAGTAGTACTATTATATAGCAGTACTAACAAATCAACAATGCTGACTTTCAGGACTGATTTTGTCTGCTTAGTATTAATTAATCATCACTAATCTTCCACTTTAATAATGTGTAAACTATCAGTTACTAGTATACTCTTCTCTTATTTGCTTTATTACAAGCTGCAGCGATCGCTTTAATTTCCAGTGATCCGTCAGCATCAGGAAGGAAGGAGCTGGCACGAGTCGCCACATGCCATTCTGAAGTGAATTTGCTGAACCGGTAAGCCAAGCCCAAGCCAAGCTAAGAAAAGATTAGGCAGCCGTTGCTTGCTAGTTACCCCGCACGCAACGTTGCATAACGTAGAAAAATTAACATTATACAAAGTATAGTATGTACCTACCCTGCATTAGGTACTAAGAAAAAAAACCATGAAAAATTCAGGGGCAGAACGAATCATTATTTTGCTCCTTGATTCACGGGACGCAAGATGTGCTTCATTCTTCTTCTCTATCACTGGAATTCCCGTGCTAATTTATGTACAAATCAAGTTAATCAACGCTAATTTAACATGAAAAAGAAATCCTTTTTGGCAGGAGATACAAAGAAATCTTGTGGTACTGGACAATTATTTGTTCCAGCAGTTTGTTCCCACTTCAACATAAAACTTTGCCGGAATTTTCGCCTGCATAGAACATTACGCACTGTTCGAAAGCCGGACTGATGAGTTCATGTCTGGCTGTCTGAATTTGATGAACGCTACCGGACATTCGGCATGAAAATAGTTCCAACACGTTGATGGATCAAGCGTACCGGTTCATGTATACCCAAAAACCTTGAAACATTTTTAATATAATTTTCGTTATTAAGTAACCAATGAGACCAGGTTGGTTATCCGTCAATTTTAATTTCTTCAGAGCTGTTCCGCCGTTGTCGCTGTCTTTTCACTAAGAAAATTCTGGCAAACTGGACGTTTTGGACATATTAAAAGTGTTCCATAGGTATGTTTTGGTACTTGGTACATACTTTCTAGACAAAAAATAAAGGGAGGGAATAGTTTTCAGTTAGTTGCGATGTATCTTTTATGGTTGATACCTTATTTATGTGTTTTTGGATGCCCTGTTTCTGCTCATCTCTGAAAACGACCTGAAAGCCTCATTTTTCTGAGTTTTTGAGGGTTAATTGCATAAAGCAAGAACTGTGGCTTTATTAAGAACCCATTTGCATGAAACTGGCACACTGAATGTTCCATTGTCAGGAGGGCATAATCATTGTCATCACTGAATATTCCATTAACCTTTTTTTTTGTCATCACTGAATATGCAGAGCAGAACATAAATACTGTTCTCATGCAAGCAACTGATCACCAATTACCTAATTAACAACTACAAAACTACAATAGGCTCAATGTTTCAGTGCTATAATATCCAATGCCAGGTTGTATGTGTCTTGAGGTATACCTTTTCTGTTATTCTGTTGTTTGTCTGAAACTCTGAATCATCCTAGTTCAGTAGTACTTCCTGCCTGAACTAAAGAAATCAAATGGAGTAATTCATTATAGAACTTTATATCATGAGAAGCAGCCAAGCCGTGCCAAAAGAGAAGGTGTGCATGCTCTGGCGTTGTTGCACCAAATGATGAGTGATTAAGTACTGTTGTTAGTGTTGTGTGTGTAGGGGCAAAACCAGCTGGGCCATGGGATGTCGCCAAGATTCGTGCGTGAGATGCAGAAAGGAGTCATGAACAAAATGATGCCGGGCTTTTTCACAGTACTGACAGAGCCCGCCGACCAATGGAATCCTTGGCAAAGGGCAGAGCTGAAAACTCTTTGCACTTTTGCAGGCATGTGTTCAAAGTCTGAAGTTTTACAGAAATTTTCAGATTAAACAGATGCATCTTGATAGGAATATGTGGAAGTTTCTTCAAAATCAGATGTCATCCTGCTAACTTGTTTCCAATGCTTTGGAGTTTGGATAGGGGAAGAGGCAGGTAGCAATCTCCATTGTACTGAAAAATTCGGATAAATTTTGATGCCAGCCTATATGTGCTACAAAAATAATCAAAGCTACGTTTTGATGCTCCATGATACATACATGTTGCTTGCACGCATAAAAATGATGTGCTATGCACCTGTTATTGGGTGGAGGCTGCATGGGCGTACATGCTACGGTTGCAAAGGCCCATATTTTCAGACAAATTCCAGTAAAAAAAAATCCTTTCTCATGGCCTAACTTTTACGATTTCTCTTGGACACATGAATTTTGTAGGAAAACCTGTTCCATTCCCACAAATATCAGTAACATTTTTATGGTGCCAAAAAGGGACCAAACTCTTCATGCCTCTGTTAGAAAAAAAAACATTACAGTTAGCATTCCTAACCTGGGTCAAAAGAGAGAAAAAAAAGAAAAAAAAAACAGGTTGAGTACACGATATCTAACTACGGTTGTGTCACATTTTTGCCATAACTCGATCATTTGTTATTGACTCAACTAACCTAAGTACTACAAAAAGTCAATGATTTGAGATGATAATTAAAACCATCAAAATCTTCTCATCCAAAAAATGCAATTAATCATCTAATCCACAACTAGTAGTAGTAGCAGGCTGGAATTTACAGCAATTAAAAGCGAATTTATGAAGGCGTGCAAAAATATAAAGCGACACAAACCCCACATCCACGGCACTTTCCGAGCTAGTTCCTCGCTACTTCTTCTTCTCTCTCTCGTTCTCCGACAAGAGGAGAAAGGAAAAAAAAAGGGAGAGAGAGAAAAAAAAACCCAGAAAAGCGCGAGCCAGATGGGCGCCGGGAGCAGCCGCGCCGATGCGCCGCCGCGGCGGCGGGCGGCGGCGCGCGGCCTCGGGCTCGGGCTCGCGGGGTGCTTCGGCGGCGGATCCTCTGGGGCGGCCACCGGAGGCGGCGGCGGCGGCGGCGCGACCGCCGCGTCCTCCTCGCGAGCTCACGAGGTATCGGCTGAGTTGGGATACCGGAGGGTGTCGCCGTTCGGGCACGCGTGGATTAGCCTCTGCGGAGGGGGGGGGGGGGGGGAGTGGATGGATTTGTGGTTCCGGAACCTATAGGGTGTGGGATTCGGGGGTGGTGGTGATTTCATGGCATATATTTTGGTTTGGAAAAATCACGGTGACTGTGAATCGGAAAGTAGATAAGCTTTTAGAGGTTTTAGTTCCCATTTTTTTTGAACTGCTTTGCTTGTTCAATGATGATAGGTATGGGTTTGACTGAAAATAATTGTGGTCCTTGCTTTGCATATATGGGGCATGCAAACATGAATATTTGAGTCTGAACTTGATAGTCTACTTGCCTAGTGAATGCTTTGCAATTTTGCAGCAAATGCAAATGAATGGAGGTTCAACGGGTCACTCACTGAATTTATCGTTCTGCACTTAAAAGGGCTGCTTCTGAGTGGCAAGTTGAAAAAAAAAACTTTACTAATTTTACAAACGTTGAACACTCTCTATGCTTAATTGCCAGTGGATTCATAATTTCAGTCAATTAGATAGTTGCATTCTTGTCCTTCTTTTGTTTGCTGGTTGTTTTCTGATTCCAAAAAGGTACTACCTACAGGTGGAATCTTGGCAAGCAGCTCGAGCGGTTGCTGAGATGGACTTTCGGGCTTCTGTCGCTGCTAAGGATATCCGCATATCAAGTGAGTCAGATCCAAGAGTGCATCCATCTTCAAGCACAATAAGTCATCATCTCAGGTTCAATCACTTAAACAGTCACGAAAACAAGGAAGATGCCCTGGGAACAGAAATCGCTGAAACAAGTGTTCGTCAGAGTTCATCAGGAAAGGAAGTCATGCCTAGGGGAAATTTCAGTAATGAAGTTGCTTATGCTGAGATAACGTCTAGAGAAGGAATCAGTCATATTGGACGAGATATTTTAGAACCTGCAGCAAACAATGCTGAGACTGACACAGTTTGCATTCCAGAAGTTGGTGGCCCCGTTTCTGAATCTGGTTTCTCCTCCTCACAGAGGGCATCTGAAAGGATCATGGCTGACTTGGAGGCTGGAGAGATTGCTCATGGGACTTCATCCACAACTATTATGTCAAGTGAAAGATCAGATACTTCTCAATCTAGCTTAACATCTGTGTTGCCTGCTACTTCAACTGCACCATCTACAATTGGAGAATCACTTCCAGATACAGTCCCTAGCAGAGAAGATGTCCCCATATTTAGTGGGACACAAGGTGAGATTGGTGGAAATACATTACATGATGACATGATGAGCATTTTCTCAAACGATGGTCCAGCGCGTGTTAGAGATTCAAGCAGCAATGAAATGAGGAGGAGCCATAGAAGGGTTCTGTGGGACACATTTTCCAGACGTAGTTCAAGAGGATATTTAGATTCTGATACCGATGATCTGGGATTTTACAGCAGATGGCTAGACCTTGGTGATGAACTTTTTGCGGATGAGATTGAGGAGGCACGGTTCTTTCATCGGAGACGCCATGGTTCAATCAGAGTAAGCCAGTATTCAAGATCTCGGGTAATTGTCATGCCTATTGTGTTTGTGCCACAATTACACATTTGGAATAATGTTGTTGGTGCTATCATAACCAAAAGGTGGTCATGAAATGTAAACGTAGGGTTACACTGGTTTGAATTGTCACCTAATATAATATTAGTAGTACACAAATCTGCAACAATAATAACTTCCTCTCTTATCTGATCAGTATATTTATAATTATGTGAAGTAAAATACTTTTTCTCTGTCTGCATATCCCGTCTCATGCAATTTCACACTGTCCGATGTGGTCTTACTCCTGGTTCATTGATGTGCTGAAATTGCTGTTACGGTCTAGTGTCAGCATTATCTGCCGCTTGATCTCTCATGCAAACATATCATTAACTTGGTAATGTTTTCTGTTACAGATTAGGGAGCATCGGCGTGCTGTTTTTGATAGCGGTACTGACCAAAGTACCGTTGCTTGTCCTTTGGGGATCCACCAAATTGGCAGATGCACCTGTGATTCCTTCTTGATTGCTGAAGAATCTAGTGCCCGTGCAAGTATATCAAGAATTGTCATGTTAACCGAGGCATTATTTGAGGTTTGTTCGTTCCCTATCTTTCTAAAATGTAGCTCCTTTTGTATCAGTATTCTGATGATACTGTTTCTTCTGCATGGCTTACCTATTGTTTGCGTGTGTGTTCTTTTTTATGTTTCTTTCTTTTTTTTTGTGTGTGTATAGGCTTGGCCAGCCCAAATCATTGAAGTATTGAGAAGTTTTTTTTGTTCTGTATATTCAGGTCTTATTCGTTAAATAATAATTCCCAGCATTCGAACTATGCACACTTAATAAGATAGTGATACAACTGAAACTATCTATGTGACGAAGTCCCTTAGCTGCCATTATACTTTTGCGGATGATTGACCTCCAGTTCCATCCTTCAAGTTCAACCTAGCAATGCTGTAGTCACTTATACTCAAATTTGAAAGCATTAAGTTAGGCTGCATGAACTCCAAGTATGTTCATGATTTAAATTTGATGTTGAATACATTGGTCATATCAACATGTTTAAATTTGTATCACCTGGCAACAACACAATACAGTTTGTCATAGATGTAGTATCAGGACAACAATATTTTGAAGGCAGTGTTTCATGGCTATATTGTGAAGCCAAGACTGAGCGAGAAAAGCAAGAATCAAACTCTGGATTTCCAGGCTTGTTATGGAACATATGGGGAAATTAGTTAAACTAGGAAAGGCTTACTAGGGAGAGATCAACTTTACTGCTTGTTGTTGCATTTACATATCCTTCTGTCTACCTATTTATTATTTGACTTTGTAATTCTTCACAGGTATTGGATGAAATTCACCGGCAACCTGCATCACTTTCGCTTTCCATGGTCTCTGCCCAGGCTCCAGAATCTGTGGTTAATTCATTACCATGTAAGAGCTACAAAAAGCAGACAGCCCAATGCAGTGATGACATGGAACAGTGAGATTCTTACCATTCAAATTTTATCATTTACCTATTGTCACCTAGGGCCAAAAATAGTTCTGAGTGTCATTGAAGAAAGTCAAGTTCGCCGCTACAAATGCATCACAGTATCTTACGCGTTTGAAATAACTATGCTGTTCATGTCCATTATCCATCAGAAAATAAATTGAGACCCTGACAAAATCCCTATTATTTTATTTGCCTTACATCAGCCTTTTAATATGGTTGTTGTAGTAATTTTAGAGATCTTATCAAATAAGCATTTTGTCATGGGCATTGGGCCAAGGGCCAAGGTGTTTAGCGTTTTGGACCATGACTCATTTGGGGGCTAATTCTGCCTTCACGATATTATATCTATCATAGCGAGCTATCCTAAAAGTTGAAAATCACAGTGAGATTCTATTACTATATAACAAGTTATTTGTTATTCTTACTGAAACTTGACACTATTTTTTGGACTGCATATCATGATGGCACCTGAATATGCGGACAAGTTAACAACATTGGTGATAAACTATTAGAAGTTGAGGGTGCCTTGTGTTGCTCAGCAGGAGCTTTGAGGCTCTGAGTTACTTAGTAGGTCGCTAACCCTTAATGGTTTAGGTGGTCGTTTTTTTCTCTGTTGATGTTCGTTTATAATTTAATTTATGGGTCTTTTTAAGGGGTGGTGGGTTTCTTCTGCCCTCCCCCTTGTACTCTGTTCTCTTGCTTAATGAAATGATATAAACAACTCACCTACCTGGCCGAGGAAAAAATATTGGCAGTTTAAATGGTTCAGTGACCGTCAATTTTGTGGTTGATCCATTTCTAGTTTTACTTCCATGCTTGACAAGATGTTCGTTGCCTTCCATCTTCATTTCAGTCCAATATATCGGTTCTGCTTAGCACCCAGAAATTGAAAAATGTGATTCTTGTATTTCATTTTAACCAATCAAGCAGTGGTTCTGTATTCTATGCCCTAGGATCATCTTAGAGCTACAAATGCGGAGTTATATTTTGGTATAACTGTAGGTCTACCTTGGGAAGGGAATTCTGCCAAGTAGTAGTTATTTTCTTTGGCCTCTTTTCCTTATTTAAGATTCTGAAACTTCCATTGCTGAAATGTTTTTCAGGTGTCACATCTGCTTAACTGAATATGAGGATGGAGATCAGATAAGAAGCCTCCCGTGCAAACACGAGTTTCACTTGCTGTGTGTTGACAAGTGGCTCAAAGAAGTACACAGGTGGGTAGCAAACATGCCATCCTAGCTTAAAAAAAGAGAGTATTTCATACAATCCCGAGTATTATGGTTCCAGTTGCTCAAAACCACAGTAGTGGTATTATGGTATTAATCATTCACAAAACCAGACTGTTAACTAAACTTAATATTTTATCACAGTAAAAAACAATTAACTTAGACGATGGATTAAATGAACTCATGAATTTTGAATATAAATTTAGAATTTATATGTTAGTACATGAAAGAAAAAGGGAGTAGCTATATTTATGGCATCATATTTTTCACCAAAAAATAGTCAGCATGTATTTACATGGTAAGTTCTTAAATTACATATGTAATTTTAGTGTATTTACGGTGTAAGTTCTAAAATTGCACACGTAAGTTCCAAAATTACATATGTAAGTAGAGTGTAAGTAGGATGTAATTTCATTTTAAATCAATGAATATAAACATAAACATACTACAAGTCTATGAGACGTAAATTAATTCATTATATTAACTAAATTAAGTAGGTGGTCCCACAGCTAATGACCGTACATATTGATCAGATGAGGTGTACGTGCACAAACACGAATCTCACTGAACATCTAGTGGCCAAAAATATTCGACTGTGATGAGCAACAAAATGTGACGCCATAAATTTAGGAAATCCGAAGAAAAAAAATAAATATATGTATATAGCAGTATAGTTTTGTGAAACAATATGACCATAATAACTGTGGTTAAGTGTAACACGTAGAAACTCCTATTGTTTTGTGCAACTTGAACAAAAATATGTGTTTTTCTTAAAAAAATACTAAAAAAAAGGGAAAAGCAAATTCATTTTTTGCTTGGTTATGCTACTACTATATATCCCAGGCAGAGCTGCTTAATAATCACTGAATAATTGTTTCAGGGTCTGCCCGTTGTGCCGTGGGGACGTGTGCGAAGGTGCCGCCTGAAGACCTTTCAACAGCAAGCATTGTCTTCGTCTCTGCTCCACGGGCCCACGGCACGCGCGAAGCAGCTGTGTTCATCCAGGCAATCGCCGATTGCCTTGCCCTTGCCGAAGCCGAAGAAGAGAGCCATACGATTCTGTTTCTGCCTGCTCCACGCGGTCGATTCCTTGCATTTAATTTAACGACCTGAACGATACTATACCGAGACATGTATATACCTTTTGTAGTCGTCGAGTGAGCCTGCCTCGCTCCTCTGTATTTCAGCCAGCTTGTACATATATGTAGATCCCCAGTTAATCCTCTGCTACCTGAAGAAATTTCTCCATTCAGCGCAGTCCAATGCATACCATACCCCTTTCTGTCGTGCTCTGGTGCAGCTGTGCAGGGACCAAAGATGAGGCTCACTGAATGATCCAGCTCCCATGCCTCCCGATGAATATGCGGCCGCACCAGCAGCAGCGCTAGAGATGCACTTCCGCCTCTTGCACGAAGAAAATTACAAGGGAATCAGTAGGAGGCAGCATGGATAAACCAAATGATCATGGCCTATTTCCCTTGTTTCTACTCACTCCGTCCTCCGTCCTAGATTAAGATGCCCTCCCTGTTTTTCCCAAAATAAATTTATTTTTGAACAATCATTTCATCCGAGTTTGTGAAAATAGAAGATAAATGTATTAGGAGTATATAAAGTAGAAAATAATTGCATTGAGATTTCACAAAGTGAGTGTATTCTGGTCCTTTTATATATATCTATGTGGGATGGGTGAAAAGTAAAATTATTTTAGAAGAAAGACAGTAGCATTGACAAAATATACACTTTATTAATTGCATTGGTTGGAGCTAAGAAAAATTGAGGAGCTAAGCTTCTTGCGTTGAGGTCAAGAGGTTCCTCGTGTTATTGGATACTCCCTCCGTCCTAAAATATTGTAACTTAGGATAGGATTAGAGCCATCTTAATAAAGTGAATTCGGACAGATATTCTGTTTAGTTTTATTATGCTACAATTCCGACCTCTCTGGAGTAAATCAGTCTTTCATAACTCTTCTCCCGAAAACATCAGCACCAGCTCAAATCAAAGATTTTAGACCAATTTCTCTGCTGCACAGCGTACCAAAGCTAATAAGCAAGGCCCTGACCAACAGATTGCAGCTCATCATCGACTATCTCATTGACCCTATGCAATCAAGTTTTATCAAAAACAGGTCAATCTCAGAAAATTTCATTCTAGCATCAAAGATGGTTCAATCTGCGCTCAAGAGAAAGGAGCCAATGATAGTGCTGAAGCTCAATTTCCACAAGGCGTTCGACACAGTAAGCTGGGATGCCCTGTTCAAAACATTGGAAGCAAGAGGATTTCCTGAATTATGGATAAGATGGATGAAATGTCTCCTTTGCACAGGGAAGGCCCAGGTAATCATCAACGGTGAAAAAGGATAATCAATCCAATATATAAGAGAGGGGTCCGACAAGGTGACCCTTTTATCACCATATCTATTCATTCTAATAGCAGATGTACTACAAAAGTTGATCCAGCAAGCATACAATACCGGGGTGCTATCACATCCTCTAGACATAGAAGGAGCACCACCAACACTGCAGTACGCCGATGATACACTAATCCTGATCAGAGAAGCTAGCCAAGCCTCGGCACTCAAGGAAATTTTAGATTCATTCGCTGAATTCTCGGAGCTCAAAATCAACTTCCACAAGAGCACCCTAGTACCAATACACCTGAATGCAGCAGCAGAAGAATTGGTAACCCAGATCCTACAATACCCTGCAAGCTGCCTGCCGTGCAACTACCTTGGCCTACCTCTTTCCACAACCAAGATTTCCCACAATATGTTGTTGCCGGTTATCTCAAAAATTGACAAATGTCTGGCCGGGTGGCTGCCACTGTCTACAGCGGGAAGGTTAACAATGATTAATTCAGTAATCTTGGCAATCCCCACATATTATATGACCTGCTGTCAGTGGCCAGAGAAATCCATAGAAGCGGTTGACAGAATAAGAAGGGCTTTCCTTTGGAAAGGAGAGAAAACTGTCAAGGGGGGCCACTGCTTTTTTTTAAAAAAAAAGTTTAGAGAAGGGTATTTTTTACCCGGCCTCTATATCCAACCGGATATATGCAGCCATTTTTAAAAAAGAAACTTAGCTCTCAAATAACCCAATCTAAAATTCGCTCATATGAAGATTTGAACTCAGTATCTTTGGGTGCCCCCTTTGGGGGTGGGGGGGGGGGGCACTGCTTGGTTGCATGGAAGACAATACTCCTCCAAAAGCAGATCGGAGGTCTAGGGATCAAGGACCTAAGGGCGCACAACACTGCGATGATCATGAAGCTCGGTAATAAGATCTTAACAAGCTCAGCCGACCCGCTCTCCAATTGGTCCAGACATAAGTACATACACAATTCCTTACAGTTGCTTCCTAGAACCAATGACACGCCAACCTGGAAGCTAATTCTATCCAAAATTGAGCTCCTCATTCAGACAATCAAGGTTTCCTTGGGCCTCTTTTGGAAAGACAATTGGGCACAGGAAAGATTAGAACAAACTTACCCAACCCTCTTCTCCTTTGCCCTGGAAAAGGACTGCACAGTAGCCTCGCAATTCCAGCACAATACTTGGGATCTACAATTGCACCCCAACTTGTCTTCTCAAGCAACTACAGAACTACAACTCCAACCCAATCCGGATGCTGTCGACACAAGGCAGTTCCTGCACCCAGCGCCAAAAATCTCAACAGCAAATGCATACCACATTTTGACGAATCATGGGCTACTTTGGAAACCGGCTGAATTCATCTGGATCTCAGCTATCCCTCAAAACTGTCGTCTATTTCTTTGGTTGGCATTCAGAGACAGATTAAACACCAGGGCAAACAACAACCCACAGACTTCATCAATCTTAAGACATACCGGCTCAGTCTTTGGGAGGTGCTCATAGGGGTAGGGTGTGCGTGTGTGCGTTCATAGGGGTGAGTGTGCGCACGTTGTAAGCGTCTGCGTTTGTACTGTGTTTCTAAAAAAAAAAAAAAACAACCCACAATGCGACCTCTGCCCAGCCTTGGAGACCGCCAAGCCACATCATCTTAAGATGCCAAGCAACCTCTTGCATGTGGGAAAGGCTAGGAATTCTACACTTCTCTAACAGAGCAGAAACAATTACAGCATTCCTAGAGGATATAATCAAGAACAACATGGCACTACGAGGCATTGAACCAATCTGGTTCGCGGCCTGCCCACAGACCCTATGGAAAGCACGCAACGCCAGGATCTTTGATGGGTAGCAAAATTCTCTCTCTCTCGTGTCAAGTCAAGTCAGGAAATCCATTGAACTCTGGAGTCATCGAGGCCAAGAAACAACCAGGGCTAAGCTCTTGTCCTGGTGTGAAAGGCTAGTAGCAACCAATTAAATTGTAAATTCCTTTGTTGTACAGAACTCCGCCCCCACCCCCTCTTTCCTCTCTTTCTTTCTTTCTTTTCTTTTGTTAAGATAAAAATCATGTAACCCCTCATTTATATTAATGAAATGGTTATAATGTAGAACCTGCTCTACCTTCTTACGTCAAAAATTATGCCTATAATTAGCACCATTGGTGGCCCACGAAGCTCTCTCCGCCACATATTTATATAGCTCCTTTACTCTCATCCATGCACTATATAATAGGGACATCAGGGCAAGGGAAGTCATCTTTGTTCCACACCAATTACACTCAAGAAAAACAGCGCTAATGGCCCAGAACAAGACCATTGCGGTGGCCCTGCTCCTTGCCACCCTTGTGGCGGTCATGGGAAAGGAGCCAGAGACGCTAGAGGAGGCAGTGAGAGCTGGGTGCAAAGAGGAATGCAGTGAGCAGAAAAAGAAAGCCCCCATCGACGAGAAACAATGTGAAGACTTCTGCTTCATCAAGACCAAGTCTATATTTGAGGCCCATAAGGGAGTGAAGGATCTAAAGGCGGATAGATTCATAGATTTTTGCAACAATGAGTGTAATGCAGTATATAAGGAGGATCCCGCCACAAGCAAGAAGTGTGCAGAAAGTTGCGAAGCTGATGCTAAGGAGGCCGAGGTATTCCTTGATAAAGTCGTCGCTTATATTCAAACAACGAAACAAGCATGATTATATTATGTAGTACCTCCCCATCTGTTCCTTCATCATGACCGAGCGACGACATTATTAATGGTTCTCACCCAACGGCCAGCCCTGCATTACATTGTCATGTTTATTCCTTTTACCTTTTAAGTTGTTTCCTTTTGTTGAAGTTTATAACTTCCGAGTGATTGATTTGGTATGTCGTTCTTCCCAATATTACGGGAGACATATGTAATAATATTTCAATTGATGATTAAATAAATCCAGAGGTGTTTGGGCTTTTAGCACTGATTAATGGCTGATTCCACTATTGACGAGGCGGCTTCGACGATGTCGTGGTGGCAGGAAGCCGGGACCATTTATAAGTCGTTTATGTTTTTTCTGTGTCGTAGGCTCTCCGGACCTCCCATTATATTTGAGAGATGAAGTGAATAATTCAAGTCATCAAACAAAAATAATGAAATATCCGACGCCTCGAGAGAAGAATATTGGAGACATTGCTGGACCTTTAGCCCGCCAGTCAACTTTAGCCCGAGATGTGCCCATCAAACCACTCGAAGGCGGCGACCAGATGTGTTACACATTCAGGAGACTTGACAAAATGGCTAAAGATCTACAACATCTCAAATATTCTTTAACTCATACTCACGTGAATCTAGTTCCCAGGATGTGCACTAGATTCACACTTTCATCTTAAGCATGAATATACATAGCAAAATACATCTAAAGCAAATAAAATTCAGATTAAACTACTTAATAGATACATGGGCCGACCAGCCAAATATAGCTATATCAGAGAACAACGGAAGCTTGACTACCCAATCCTCAAGCACACCGACTAGGGGTTTACCCCATTAAGTTCAAATCCTAGAAGAAGCAGTCGAAACCCGCATCACTCAAAATAAACTAAGTCTATTCCCGCAAAACATAAATTAGACAACAAATGGCAAGAGTCAGTACATTAATCAAATTAATGTACTGGCAAGAGCACTATCAAACCTACATACATGAAAGCTCTAAGTCAAAGGAAGGCTATTTGTAGTCCCAATTTTCAGCATAAGGCCAATTTTAGTTCACAAACCATTTGCAACGTAATTTAAGCAATGTGAAAGCATATTAATTATGGCATGATATCAACACAAATAGATAGACATCATTCCCTTACAACTCAACGGGAAGTAAGGCAATCATATCACACATACCAATCTCATCATCATCTCAAAACATTCAGTTTCAAAAGCATTTAGAAATCACAAGATTATACCCATAGCACATCATCATGTCGCTCATGATCATGAGCACAGCTAATCGATTAGTTTTTAGGACTCTGCAGAGTTTGTATAGCTTTACCCACATGATGTGAATCGCTCTAGTTTGTTCGGTACCTGTCGGTACCACCATACTCTACACATTGAGTACGGTCTAGAGATCACAACGAAGCCTTTAACCTACTTAGAGTCTAGCCTTGCACCAGCACGATACGTGTTCCTCCATCCTAGGCATACTTGGAATATGTCTAGAACCGTTAAGTGGCGGACCCACGCCTTAAACTTAACGCCGTGGTGGCGGACACTACGGGAACCCACCACGTGGCACAATACCGTTGTATTGGACACGCTTAGTCACCTAAACTACCACATTGGGGTAAATAGGAAGCTCCTCTGAATTATTCGAACTCATACACACCGGCCTACCAGAATGCAAGGATAGTTCTAAATAGTTTAATTAGCTAAGGCCATCCCATACTAGCACATGTGGATGTATGGTAAACATAATGGGTGATATGATGTTCGGTCCTTAATCGACTCAGGCGAACACTCCCCCTATCGGTATGCAACTACTACCATATGCATACCACTTGCCGCCCAAGTCTAAAATCACATTTTATTTCATAAATAATCAGGGAATCACCTCTGCCCATAATGTTCAAAAAGGTTTGCAAAAAGTATAGTTGGTGAACCATAACCATGTTTTTATTTATCACTAAGCAAGGCTAAGCATTTGCACTTTATAAAAGCATAGTATTGTCATATGAGCACAACTAAAGTACTCTAATTAATCCTAAGGTTCAAAACAACAAGGAAGTGATTTTCAAAAGGGGAGTTATGCATCTTTTTACGGGATAACTACAATCTATAGTTTGGAAGTACCGATAGTTAGAAATACGCGTGCAAAATTACAATCAAAACATTTAGCCCGAAAACATAGGATTCGATATGTTCAAAGGAAGGGCAACACTTGCCTTGGTTGATATAAGACCTCCCTGAGATCAGCTATAAGATCAATCACCTCACTGATAAAGATTTTGCCGTCTAAAAGAAATAAAGGTAACGAATAAAATACCAAAATATGTAAAAATCTATAATGCTCTAAAATGCATGAGTTTACTTGTGTGGTTAGGTTCTGGTCTAAGATGAATTTAGGTGTAAGAATTTATGTTTTATCACTTTGCATTAAAAGGTTATAGATTTTCAAAGTTTAATACTAGCACTAGATTAATTAAGCTCTAATAGTCCTTAGATGCATTTTAGGGTCAAATTTTCGTGAAATGTTGGCTTGCTGCAGTGAAGGGGATGTTCACAGGAGTTCGACAAGGTTGGTTTCACAATTTTTAAAGTTAGCATGATTTTATTATGAATTTTACAAGCTAGGTCATATGCTATAGTCTTTATTAGTTATTTCGAATTTTAGATATGTTTTGGGTACTGTAAGTGTCATATTTTATTTTATAGTAACTAAGTTGATGAATTTTCCAACCTAATAAATCTGATATTACTTCATTTGGAGTTATATTCTATTTTATATGAATTTTAGAAGTTTCTATACCGTTCTTTAATATTAACTCTTTATTCAAATTTTAGTGATGTTTCTGGATATGTTTTCTTCTAAGACTTGTTTATACAGAACTAATGTACATGCTTCTATTAAACTAACAAATTTTAGTTTTGCCCATTTAGAGTTAAAATGAATTACTTATGGATTTTATAGTCTCTAGTTTGCACTATAGTAGTAAATTTTACTAAATAAACATTTGGTGACATTTTTATTACAGAGAGTATTAAGTTTTAGTTCATGAAAAACGTGAGTATTATTTTTTGAACATGCTGGAACTTAATTCACTTCAAAAAGAGTCAAGGTGAATTTTCTATAAATTTTATAAGTTGGAGGTTGCTCTATGTTCATTGTTTTCTTATATGAATTATTAGAGCTATTTCTTCTACTGTAAGTGCCAAGTTTCATGTTTCTAAATTAAAGTGCATAATTCGGTGAGTTTACAGAAATTTGATTCATCTAAAAATGAGATAAAATGGATTTTATATGTATTTTAAAAGTTTGGGCAAGTTTTCAATTGTAAAATATCTTCTCTAGTCATTTTCCTTATAATTTTTTTTCCAGATTTTAAACACATAGGGCCCACTGGTCAGTGAGAGCAAGTATGTAAAAAAGGTGGTCAATGGTACCAACGGACAACATTGCTATTTTCCGATATTATTTGAACGCATGGATGCCATGAGAACCGCATCACTCCCTGTCATAAGGAAGGAATGGTTCTCCAGCAATCAATAGAATATTCATGCCTATAATTAGCATCATTGGTGGCCCATGAAGCTCTCTCCGCCACATATTTATATAGCTCCTTTACTCTCATCCATGCACTATATAATAGGGACATCAGGGCAAGGGAAGTCATCTTTGTTCCACACCAATTACACTCAAGAAAAACAGCGCTAATGGCCCAGAACAAGACCATTGCGGTGGCCCTGCTCCTTGCCACCCTTGTGGCGGTCATGGGAAAGGAGCCAGAGACGCTAGAGGAGGCAGTGAGAGCTGGGTGCAAAGAGGAATGCAGTGAGCAGAAAAAGAAAGCCCCCATCGACGAGAAACAATGTGAAGACTTCTGCTTCATCAAGACCAAGTCTATATTTGAGGCCCATAAGGGAGTGAAGGATCTAAAGGCGGATAGATTCATAGATTTTTGCAACAATGAGTGTAATGCAGTATATAAGGAGGATCCCGCCACAAGCAAGAAGTGTGCAGAAAGTTGCGAAGCTGATGCTAAGGAGGCCGAGGTATTCCTTGATAAAGTCGTCGCTTATATTCAAACAACGAAACAAGCATGATTATATTATGTAGTACCTCCCCATCTGTTCCTTCATCATGACCGAGCGACGACATTATTAATGGTTCTCACCCAACGGCCAGCCCTGCATTACATTGTCATGTTTATTCCTTTTACCTTTTAAGTTGTTTCCTTTTGTTGAAGTTTATAACTTCCGAGTGATTGATTTGGTATGTCGTTCTTCCCAATATTACGGGAGACATATGTAATAATATTTCAATTGATGATTAAATAAATCTAGAGGTGTTTGGGCTTTTAGCACTGATTAATGGCTGATTCCACTATTGACGAGGCGGCTTCGACGATGTCGTGGTGGCAGGAAGCCGGGACCATTTATAAGTTGTTTATGTTTTTTCTGTGTCGTAGGCTCTCCGGACCTCCCATTATATTTGAGAGATGAAGTGAATAATTCAAGTCATCAAACAAAAATAATGAAATATCCGACGCCTCGAGAGAAGAATATTGGAGACATTGCTGGGCCTTTAGCCTGCCAGTCAACTTCAGCCCGAGATGTGACCATCAAACCACTCGAAGGCGGCGACCAGATGTGTTACACATTCAGGAGACTTGACAAAATGGCTAAAGATCTACAACATCTCAAATATTCTTTAACTCATACTCACATGAATCTAGCTCCCAGGATGTGCACTAGATTCACACTTTCATCTTAAGCATGAATATACATAGCAAAATACATCTAAAGCAAATAAAATTCAGATTAAACTACTTAATAGATACATGGGCCGACCAGCCAAATATAGCTATATCAGAGAACAACGGAAGCTTGACTACCCAATCCTCAAGCACACGACTAGGGGTTTACCCTATTAAGTTGCGAAGCTGATGCTATGGAGGCCGAGGTATTCTTTGATAAAGTCGTCGCTTATATTCAAACAATGAAACAAGCATGATTATGTAGTACCTCCCCATCTATTCCTTCATCCATGACTGAGCGACGACATTATTAATGGTTCTCACCCAATGGCCAACCCTGCATTACATTGTCCTATTTATTCCTTTCAATTTTTAAGTTGTTTCCTTTTGTTGAAGTTTATAACTTACGAGTGATTGATTTGGTCTGTCGTTCTTCCCAATATTACGGGAGACATGTAATAATATTTTAATTGATGATTAAATAAATTCAGAGGTGTCTTGGCTTTTAGCACCGATTAATGGCTGATTCCACTATTGACGGCGCGGCTTCGACGATCTCGTGGTGGCAGGAAGCCGGGACTACAATACGTGATCAGGGAGGAGAGGCTGCCGATTGTGATCTCTCCTGCACCATCCATAGCCACACTCAAGTCCCCTTTCCCACCTCTCAGCATCAGTGCCGGCGTGGCGTCAGCCACTTCAACAACTTTAGTTTTTAGAAGCACATCGTTGTTGAACAGCTTGCTTTTGTAGTTTGGGGGAAACAGTGTGATGAGAAACGACCAAGGATCTTCTAGCTAGCTCCACAAGGTGGTGGGCTAGACGACCTGGGTTCGAAGCCTCACCCATTCCAAATATTAGGTTCTTCCCTAATATTCGCGTCTTTTTGGAAACTTGATCAAAAACTCACCATTATCTGTATCTGAAGAATAAGCAGTGCAACCTAATTAGTGCTTCTTGAGGTATCGATTTATTAGGGGCAACCTAATTAACTCAAGAAAATTAACATAATTTATTAATGTAGAGATATTGTTGGTCTCATTAGTTCTCATGATACCATTCCAGAATAGTGGTGTGGTTTCCATTTTTTTATTATTCTTTGTGCTTTCTCAGTACATGAGGAAGATAAACATGTTATATGAATCAATGTAAGTTTGAGGTAAAATAAACAGTAACATATTTTAAGTTAATTTGAGAATTTTGAGATCATACTATTATGACTTAAATTGTGAACTCAGGTCAGGTAATATTTGGTAAACAAATCAAAGAAGACTGGGACCTGTACAAACTGTAGCTGGCACTTACATCATTGATGGTTACTGAAAGAATTGCCAAAGCCTGAAGAATCATCGTGTTGCACATGATAAAAAGAATCTCCATCTGAGCCATGGCTTCACTGAAACATGCTTACAGGGCTGACTAAAGGATCACCAAACTTTTGATAAGTTGGGAATTATCTACAGTTATATTTCATCTTATCATTTAGTACCCCAAGTATGCAAGATACATATAAAATCATTGAATCACTAAATGTCATTTGAATCACTAAATGTCATTCAGTGATAGGAATTATTGATTCACTAAACATTGTTCAGTGATAGGAATTATCTGTAGGGATTCAGTGCAGCAAGTGTACTACTAAACTTTCCATGTAACATAATAGAATACTAAAACCTTAAAATACAAAGGTGCTTGATAGATGCAAGGTAACCAGAATAATCACAATATGACAAATAAATATGGAAAACAAAGGAGCATAATAATAGAAATTGTATAGTTAGGGGAAAAAGGATTGTATTGTTACGTATTACCGTCGAAGAAATTTCCCCATAATAGTTCAACAACCTGGGTAAAATGGTCGTGGATTACTTAATCTAGTAATAAACCCAAGACGAAATCAAAGTAGTTAATCCTGTGAAGAAATTGAAGGGAATAATTAAACTGTTAGCGCAAATACAGTTATACAGGGAAAAAAGAAGGGAATAATTTGGGATACTGAAATCGGTTGGAAATTGATAATTGAATCACGAAGAAATTAGTGTGACTACACAATTAGCATCAAACAATATGTATTATAAAAAAAATTAGCTGAATGGGGAAAGAAGCTATGCTGGAACATGTGAGATCGGCAAGCAGTGGACAACCTAGAGCAGATCAATCTAGGGATGTGCTTGTATGGAGGAGAAGCTACTTGCTGGCCGAGCAGATTGATCCAGCTGCTGTATACCACTTTTCTTCAGCTGTTGTGTGTATCAGTATCATCATACGTAGTAAATAGGACGGGAAAGAAGGCCAGTATAAAGCAAGCGACGTACTGTTTCAAAAAACTGAAGATGAATAGATGGGACTCGAGGATCGAACGCCGAGGAGGCGAAGAGGCTGGGAGGCGGCTGCTGGGGGCGTGAGGGTGCGACGTCGCAGGGCGACTGCAGCTGGGTGGGGGGGGGGGGGGGGGGGCGGGGGAGGGAGGCGATGCAGCCATGGGGCGGAGGGTCCACCTGCTGCGCTGGGGGCATGACTCCAGCCTCCGGATGGTGGGGAAGCGACTGCATCTAGCGGCGGCAGCTGCGAGCGTCCAGATTACATCGAATGGCTGTGATTTAACAGGTGACGTGGCTCAACCAGCTTTGGGTCTTGAGTATAATATATAGAAAGAAGGGATAAATTGTTTTTCTCATGCTTTGGTACAAGTCCAAGATAGCTCTTACACTTATAGTGACAATGTATGCCCCTGATGGGGATATGAATAACTATTTCCCATTTTGATTTTCAGATTAGTGTCAGTCAGTACCGATAATGGTGAAGAAATTCCTTTACAAATTTTCGGCGATTGAGATCTACAATGAAGCTTTGAGGAACATTCTGGGCGATGATACCATAGCTCTCAGATTCCTTGATGATTCAGAGGAACACTGGGCGATTGTTCTGCTTTTACTCGAGCCTACTGCATACTACTCCCTTCGTCCCATTTCAAGTGTAATCATAATTTTTCGCATCTAACTTTAATCGTTCATCTTATTTAAAAAAAATTATAATTGATATTTTTTAATGTGATGATAAAACATGAATAGTACTTTACTCGTGACTTATGTTTTTAATTTTTTTCAAAATTTTTTTAACTAAGACAGACGGTCAAAGTTGAGTGTGGAAAATCATGGCTGCACTTATAATGAGACAGGGGGAGTACTTTTTTTTTTAGTAATTTATATCACCGGCACACGAACTTGTCAGGTGGGTGCGATCTAGTGCACGAACTTGTAAAATGCTCGTTTAAGTGCATAAACTTGTCTGATGCGTGCAGAGGAAGGTGAAAATGACACTACATCGCTAATCTTATTGATTTAGGGCATAGAGAAGGTTGCTATTAGACATACATCTCTTCAATAAAAATAGAATAGAATATAGTGATAGTAGAAAAAGATTAAAAAAACGAGCAATGGTATAAAGGTTAGAAATATATGAAATTCATCATTTCCATGGTGAAGAATAAAGTAGAGACCAAATTTATAAATATTGAATGTCCTATGCATACTCACTACACATATGCACGCCACATCCTAATCAACATCACTTCATAAAATTAACATTGTCAAGTTATTTTGGTCCTCGTTCGCATGAACTAGACAAGTTCGTGTACTGAAATAAACATTTTACAAGTTTATGTACTAAATTGCACCCATGTAATAAGTTGTGTATCACCAATACAATTTACTCTTTTTTTTCTCTTATCTTTAATTTTTTAGGCATATAAGGGAGAGAGACACACATCTGAACATGGACAAATTTAGAGATTTTTGCAACATCCGACGTAACCATCGCGACGATAATATAGGGTAAACACGTAGCAAGAGAATGGTTACGAGACCATAGGCTTGTAGCGGCTAAGACGCTACGTGGACTGTGGAGAAGTGTTTATAATCGGAGACATATAAGCTTGGATTTAACTTCGTTAACAAATATACTAATATCGTATACGTTTCCGTATCGTCATCTAGTATATATGAGTTGATTAATCATCCATGCCTACCACGATTAAGAAGAAAATTAGTCGTCGTTCCATAGTAACTTTCGTAATTCCGCGTGTCTAATTTTCGTAACACCACGGCGTACGACGTACTCATTTCGTTTCATAACGTAAGTCATTCTAACATTTTTCACATTTATATTAATATTAATGAATCTAAATATATAAATGTGAGAAATACTATAACAACTTACATTGTTAAACGGAGGAAGTACACTATTACAGAGAGTTTGATCGAGACATAATACTGTAGCATAGGCAGGCGACATGTGCATGGTAGAGAGAGACCAGGAGATGCGAGAGGAAACGACGATATATAATTAAGTTGATGGAATCAATCAAAATTAAAGGATGCGGGTAGTAGTGACCAGTGACAGTTAGCAGCGGCGAACTGGCGATCCGTTTAATAAGCTGTCTAGTTGGGATTAGGAAGTCAAAGGAACATGTGACTGACATATAGATCCCATCGTTCACGGGTCCACATATCAGTAACCGCGTCAGGAGAAAGTTTACGTTGGAGGATCCGCTTCCGTCTAGCTAGTTGTAGTTGTTGCTGGCCGCCGGCGCCGGTGAGGTGAGGTAGACGGCGGCGCGACAGACGGGGCAGCGGGAGGCGGTCTGGACCCATGGCACGGCGCAGCCCCAGTGGAAGCGGTGCGTGCAGGGGAGGTGCGCCACCGCCTCCCCGGCACGCAGCTCCTCTAGACACACCGCGCACTCCTCCTCCTCCTCCGGCGTCGGCCTCCGCCCCAACCTCCTGAACCACATCCGCCGCCGCCCTTCTTTCCTCGTGTACACCTCCCACTGCGGCGCCGCCGTAGTTGCCGTTGACTGCTCGCCGCCGTCACTGCTCGTTCCTGCCACCTGCGCTTTGTTATGCCTGCATGCATGCAAAATTAATTATTAGTAAACAGTCAAACTCAAGGAGATTAGATTATACTCCCTCTATTTCTAAATAATTGACGCCATTGATTTTTTTAAACATGTTTGACCATTTGTTTTATTAAAAAAATTAAGTAATTATTAATTCTTTTTTATGTATGTATATAGTTTTACATATTTCATAAAATTTTTTAAATAAGACGAACGGTTAAATATGTGCTAAAAAGTTAACGGTGTCAAACATTTAAAAACGGAGGGAGTATTAGAGGAGCACCTCTTGACGACGACGACGGCGGATTCCCTCTGGCTCCGCAGCTTCTGGTCCAGCCTCTCCTTCGCCTCCCGCACGTTGCTGTCCAGCGTCCACCACCCGGGCTGCTGCTCCTCGCACGCGCTCCTCTGCTGCTGCAACATAATTCCAATTCCAAATACCGCGATTTCAAATTCAATATCTGATCTATGATTGTCCTGTATTTGTGTTTAAAAAAGATGTAACATTAGTTCATGATCTCGAAATCTCTACCTTACAAGCGGAGGAGCCAAGGAGGGCGTGGTCGTGGCCGCCGGCGTACAGGCACAATGACGGCCGCCGCGTCCCGCACGGCGCCTCCCCGCCGCCCTGCCGGAGACGTCGCCGCCGCGCGCACTCCACTCCGGGAAGCATCCCGGCCATCAGTACCATCTACCGAGCGATCAACCTCTAACCTTATCTACGTATGCGAGCGATCACAGCAGAAGCAACAACACACCATCTGCCTGACTGCCTAGCTAAGCTACCAGCTACCTACCTACCTAGCTAGCTGCAAGATTCAGAAGCTGGAATCCATTGGAAACCTTCCATTTTAGAGCAAGAAGATGATCAGGAACTCATCCATCTCCTACCAACCATAATCTTTGGAGGGGAGATTAGAGAGAGGAGCGGCATAGCTAATTAAGTTTATGTCTAAATTAAGGAGAGGGAGAAGGAGAGCTCATCATGCTCATGCACTCTCTCTCTCTCTCTCTCTCTAACGCATGGCCATGCCAATTGCTCAGCTACCTCTATACATAGCTGCCTGTAGGCTGATGGATATAGGATATATCAGTATGTTTTTATGTGATTCCTGTGGCCCCACGTGAGAGGAATTTCTACCGAATTTTAACTTTTGTTATGACCAACCTGACGTGACAAATATCACCACATTTCTCATTATTATTCCTACTATTTTTTTAAAAAAAGATAATGTTTATTTGTGCATTAATTTTTAAGGCGATAACAGAGCTGTCTCGATGTACTTTCCATGCATATTGGAATAGAACAAGAGATTAAAAAAAATGAATCCATTAATCGTACTCGCATATCTTTTTCCACAAACAAGACCACACTGAGTGCCTGCAGCAAATCAAAATCTGGCAAATGTGCATGAAAGTAACAAGGTTTGACTTAGTGCAAAGAAGGAAAATAATACCTCTCAATCGCTTTTGATCCTCCATTATGTGTTTGTGTGCTGTTTCTATCAACAGAGCTTTCCTCCAATGCATTTCATGTTCATGGCGAACAAGACAGGGACCAGCCACTTTGGAGCATCCTGGTTGTGGCTGCCATTCTGCATTATTTGTGGCACCCACCCACACCAACTGGCTGCCTTGCTGTATTAGCTGCGTAATCCCAGCACCATTCATTGACTAGACAGATGATAACAACACTGCGAAAACAAAAATACGTGATCAAAAATCTTACACGACGAACAATCCAATTCTGAGTTGTCGCAGAAACCAGGATAGAGGGGGAGGAAAATCTTGGGTTCATACCACGGACCGAATTTAAGATGGAGAAAGGACACCTCATTTTTTACCGGTCACCCTTAGTGGGTGGGCAAATGTGACTGGAATCCAAAGAGAGATTTGGTGAATAAGAATATGATGTGAAGCCCTGTTGCTGTTGCTCTTCTTTCACCATTTACAGTGTGATCCTGATCTTGTCATTGCAATCCTTCTGTCATTAAAATCCTTCTCAAACAAGAGTAGGTATTTAACCCTTTTTTCTTTTTTCCTTTTTTTTTTTGCAGTATATCATCCTGCTGAAGCTAAATCCAATGCAAGATCCTGTTTGGAGCTGCTTTCTGAAAATGTACGTATTGTAAACTGGCCCTGCAAGGAGTAAATAAATAAATAAGAGATCAAGGGTCTCAACTCAGATGGAGACTTCTTTAGGTGATGATTTAATATTGGAGCAACTGGATTGACGCTAAATAGGATATGGTTAATGTTAGGTGTTCCAGATACCTAAAGGGCGCCTGTATGGCTAGACATGGAATCCAATCACCCATGCATATAAGCCTGCCCCAAGTATCTTTACACAAGGCAAGATGATATATCCTTGGAAATGTTTATTCCCCCTTTAGTACACCACTAGGATGTTAAAGCAAATGCGCTATAATCAAAGCCATCTTGGATAGGAACATTCACACAGTTGGATTCACGTACTGCAGCAGATCAACTACCTTTTAATTCGCTTTTTCTGTAGCAGCGAATTATCTTTTGGTGACTCATTTCCTTGTCTTCATGCTTCCCAGTGGCAATGAGATGTTGCATCACTGATCACTCCAGATCTAGTACGTCTAATAACAGCTAAGAATTTAAACAAGAAATCTACCATTTCACAGAAATATATTCAGTACCTTTCAGCATACTGCCAATGAATGCATACACGGTTGGCCTGATGTTGGGGGCCTGACAGACTTGCATAATTGATCTACCGTGATGGTGACATAACTGAAGCTGTTTCAGCTGCAAAATCAGGAGCACTATTCATCTTGATAGGATGCAGGGATCTTGTCAGGCAAGACTCAAGATGCTTGCAGAATGTGTTGTTCAACTGTTGTCCAAGCTTGTGTGCCTCCTACTTGATGGAGCCTAATGCAAATAAAGGACGCCAGCACTAATAAAATTATATGTTCCATGAAAAAAACAAACAAGCAAAAACCAAAATAAGCCTCATGGTACGAAAAACTAGCATTGTTTTGCTTATTCATAAGCTTATTCGAATCACTTATTAACAAATAAAAAATCATTTGTGAGTAAAACTTTTATATATGTGTCCTTAGCGACTCAAAAGCAAATGATGTAAAATAAACTATGATGAAAAAACCAAAAAATCAAGTTCTAAAATTCAAATTTTGGATTATAAGCATAAGCATAAGCCAAACAATGAGGGCCATAAAAAATGTAAAGGCAAATTGTGAGCCAGTGACCTGTCTTTTGCATACTCTGTCTTGGTCTATCCACAACCTACAACCTAAAATTATGCAACTGAAGCAATCCAGCATTAAAACCAAAGATTGAAAATACAGCACCATTATTTACTTATCTGCACCCTTACTTTGTCTGGAATTTTCTTTCTGGTGCTAAGCATAACAGCATCCTGAGACCTAACATAAACCAAAGCAGCACAGGAGTAGAAGAATAGCAGAGCAAAGTTAATAATAAACTTACTTTGGATTCGTGTCACTTCATCTTGTTCATGAACAGAGCAAGCAGTTCTACAGATCTGAAAAGGTTTGAGTACTAACAAAGCAGATAAAATTGGCAAACCCCCATCAGGGACGGTATGCTGGAAAAAATATGTATACGTAAAACTGATTTTAAGATCCATCATCAGAATTTGGTATAGATTAGGTTAGTTCTTAATACATCAAAAAAACAGCAAGATGTTTATTCCACTTTAGAATAAAATAAATGCTGTAAACTCTGTAAAGACTAAATACCATGCATATATAAACAATCAACGCCAAAAAATGTAGTCTGACAACCTGGGAATGATCAGGCTCTGTGGAGCAAGCCCAAAAGAGGCTTAGCCCAGCCAGCCCAAATTGCATCAGCCTATCACTTTTATAACTATTAAGCAGCTTATTTTTGTGAAAACATGTTCCCATCCTATGCAAAGACAATTGGGCTGGTCTAACCCAATTAAGAAACACTGGTCAGGCTAGTCAAGAGAGCTTAAATAACTTTTTCTTTTCTTCTGTTTATATGTGATCATTTACTGCAGGAATGAGCTATTTCCTGATTAGTAGGCTATCTTCTTGTTTACTTTACTATTTCTATCTACTCACAGCAATTAATAACAGCACATAAAGTATGCTAAAAACCTTAAAGTTTCAGCTTCATCATAAGTTGATATTAGTAAATGCTAACAATAACTAATTAATACGGTTATCCACTCGCAGCAAACTGCAACAAAAGAAACCCCCCAATTTCTCTTATTCAGAAAAAAAAAAACAATTTTGTTGCCTGGTGGTCATCATTGTATATATCTAAACTTCACTACCTAAAAAAGACTATGGAAAGTAAATGAATTACCAATGAATAAAAGGTAATTGACAACGATCATATCACCAACAAGGATTATATGAATGGTTAATAGAATCCAGGAGTGCTGAGATTTTTCTCAAACTGTATAATGGAAATATAAATCAGTACACTTCAAATGGTAAGATGAACTGGTCAACGACCAGTAAGCACGCCTAAAAATAAACATGTACACAAATTAGCACTTCACACAAATATAACACGTCAGTTTTTGTCATAATAAATGACACAGATATGATAGTAATTTCTATTCATAGTAGTACAATGAATATGAGAGTAAGAACACTTGAACATTAATGATGTAGACAGAAGGAAACATGGCAAGATCTCAAGTAGCAAATAAATGCTAACTCATGTGCTTAAAAGAGTAAACTTTATCCACATCTGTGAGCTTAACTACTTAAGTCATACAGTTTGGGATATTGATCCAACTCTAACAGCAATGTCTTTCAACTGGGAAGAAAGAGCTATTCTACAAAATTGGGAAAGGGAAGACTGCTATTTATATCGAACCGTGTGTAAGAATGAATGATACCGAACAATAATACAACAAGGCGGCAGCTATGCCAAAATCCGTGTGCCTATACCCTGCATCAAGGAGATGATGGGTCTTTAAAATGGTGCATGTATGCAAAACTGAGACAGAGCTCCTGATCACGCTTATCACCCCAGCCACCCCATCCTTTGAAGCCAGCCTGATACCCCTCCTGCCTCTTGATGATATGTACTGGCCAGTTAGCTTTGATGTTAGGGACCTTATCGATGGCATCTAATTGTACTGTCGCGTCGCCATTATCCACACAGACATTGCTCAAGCCTTGGCCTTGGTGCAGGCCACACTTGCCGAAATGTGCAGCGCTCCTCCTAGGTCCCCTCAGGCTGTAAACAGGAGATCCGAACGACGGATACACGGTTGCCCACATCGTTATATCCCAATTGTACTCGTCGAATGTGCAGAACTGCTTAGCTTTGGCATGAATCTTCCTCCAAACTGTCCTGTTGAAGGCATAGCCAATGTTACCCATCTTCTCGGCAACCAAGCTCTCCCAACCTTCCCCTTTCGCCTTGACATCCGATGGCGCCAAGTTTATAGCATAGCACTGGGGACACTTGCTAGGCTTCAAGTCGACAAGCAGCTGCGCATTGCGGTACGCATTGGGGAAGATGTAATGATCCTCCTCGATGAAGAGGATGTGGCCATCGAAGTCCCTGGTCTCATCCAGCCCATCCCACACGGTGTTCATCATCCACCACCAGTGGTGCTTGAGCGAGACGATTCTCGGGGAGCGATGGTTGCCGTACTGGTCCGGGTCGCCCTGGCAGTGCTTCTCGGCCGCCTTGTCCTTGCCCTGGCAGTCACCGGAGGAGACGCCGGGGAAGGCCTCCGGGAAGAGGTGCGGCGAGTAGGGCGCGAAGATCTGCTTGACCTGGCAGAAGGTGATGGTCTGCACGATCTTGTCCATCTCCGGGAAGTAGCCGTCGTGGCTGACGATGAGCAGCGCCTCCCCGATGCCGTGGGCGCGGGAGAGGCTGTCGACGACGAGGCGGAGGTAGCGGGGGCGGTTGTGGACGTAGAGGACGATGTTGAGGTGGCCGTCGGGGAGGCGGGGGAAGCGGTCGGCGTTGCGGGGCGGGAGCGCGTTCCGCTGGGAGAGGGAGAGGGAGAGCGCGCTCTGGCGCGGGAGCCGCGGGGTGAAGTCCGGGTCGAGCAGGATCTTGCGCTGCGCGATGGTGTGGTTGTTGCCGCCGCCGCCGACTCCGGCGGCGGCGCGCGCCGCGCCCGGGACGAAGTCGTGGCGGCTGGCGCGGAGGATGGCGGTCAGCGCAAGGACCGCGAGCACGACGACGGCGAGGAGCGGCGCGGCGCGGGACCGGAGGCGCGCGCGGTGGTGCGAGGACGCGGTGGCCATGGCGGCAGCGGCGGCGGCGGCGGCGGCGGCGGCGGATCTCGAGCCGTGCGGTTGTTGGCTTGGCTGCTGCTTGGCTACTACTTTTCGCTTCTTCTTTTCCTTGGTTTTGCCTTCTTGCCTTTGCCGTGTTTTTACCGTCTCCTCGTTGGGGTCCAAATTCAAACCTTCTTTTCTTACCTCAACTTCAAATTCAGACTGCTCTAAGTTCAAACTTATTTTGAAATTGAGGTGTACTACTAATCAGTTGCTTTCTTTCATGCCGTGCAGGCCGGGGGGGGGGGGGGGGGGTGTAATTGGGAAAACCGGAGGGGCTGAAAGTGACGCGATGACAATTTCCACCCACTAAACTATTTACCAAATTGGCCTGTTTAGCAGCCGGGTATAGCAGCAGCAGCAGTCTTTCGTTGACTAGGTTGCCGTTCCAATCCAGATCAGTCTTGACTAATCCTCATTGACATGATTGGTTAGTGAACTTCTCTCTACTGGTAATCCACCCGTGCTAACGCTACGGCTATATTTGTCAACAATCAATCAGTCAAAAGAGGCATATGCTGGCAACATAGGTATTTAAATATATAAATTTTGAATCGCCAACCAAAGATTCATGTTTTTTTATGTACATTTGGCTTGAATAATGATTTCATATTATTCATATTCTCGTCAGAATTTCACTTAACAAATTTGCTTATCTCTGTCAACGCCTATACCTTAATATACTATCATAAGATCCAAGGCATCCTACATAACCATCAACCCATTTTCCTTACAGGAGCTGGACTCTTCACAAGTCCGCAATCCATCACCACATTTTTCTTGGAGGAGCTGGACTCCTCACAAGTCCGCAATTCATCACCCGTGCAGTGCAAATGTGCCACATGCTAGTACTGGTGAGCCAATGGAAATGAAATGCTGAGAGAAGCCATATGAAACATAGCTCTTACCAATAGGAAGAAAATTCTTCAGTTGTATATGTAGTAATAACTTACTCCTCACTCCGTCTCAAAATATAGGTACCTCTAAGATTCAAATTTGTCTCAAAATACAACTACTTGTACCTATTTTCTCATATCAACGAATAACAACCATCTCACGCCCCAACCTTAATCTCTTTTTTAGAAAATAGCATAGGTACTTGTAATTTGAGGCAGATGGAGTACATATGTTCTATTTAGTTGAAACATACGGAGGATCTGAGAAAGGGTGACAAATTACGTAGGAATGTTGAATTAAGATGTGCTAGCAGCAAGCTTAAGTTAACAATAGAAACATGTATCCTTTTCAATCCAAAAGTTTGTAAGACTGTAGCACTAAAAGTCCACTAACCTTTAAATCAGTGGAACATTTAAATTTTGGACATAACCTTTAAAATCACTGGAAAATTTAAATTATGAACATATGAAGTTAAAAACAAACATATTGGTTACAGGTTCACTGGACTCATGGTACAAGTCAAATAAGATATGTTTACCATAATTCACAACTGTAGAATTCTCAGCTGCTCAAGATATAAGCAAGCTCAACCACAACCCATATTGATTCTGTGTAAAAAAAAGGTACATGTGCCAACCACATACTTCAGATTTGTTGAACTGCACAGCTTATACTTTTCTTATTCCATTTTGAATGCCTTGCTTCAATTGTGTGGCACTGAGGTGAAACAAATTCTCCTATGGTTTTTTTTTCCACAGTTGATTATAAGCTGTAACACTTATTGGTGACCATATAATTATTTGTGGGCAAAACATCCTTACTGGAAAATAAACTATGATGACAGAACCCAAAATCAACTAAAAAAACCCAACAAAGCATGCTCACATATTTATCTATTAACCAAAAGAAAAATCAATTTACCTGGTAAATGCTCCAAAGGGTGCAGAAGAGAAAGAAAATCTGGAATCAAAATAAAAAAATTATCTACTGCTGCTACTAACACGTGAAATTAATTCAGTCAAACGCGAAAGGTTAGCTAGATATTAAGTGGTAATGGAATTTTATACTATAAAGTTAAACAATGATTGTTTGACAGCACATTGCTTGTAAGCACCTTTGGTATCATCATTTTTTCTATCCTCTGCGGCTTGTGCTACGGTATTCTAGCAAAGTTTCTCTAAATCAAGAGCTTCAGTCTGGTAAAACCATATACATGAATCGATTCAGAAAATAAAAATTTAGTACTAAAATTATGAAATGCTGACAATAGGATTTCATTTTTTTTTTGACCTGATAGCTTGATAAAACAATCTCTGTTGCTTCAATATCACACTGAGGTGAAACCAATATCATAGTGTATTAATATATCATACAGTATGATATAGTGCTTCCCGATTAGATTTTGCTCACATCACCCTGGTGTTTTCCCTCGCTCTTCTCCTTCTCCTTGGGAGTGTTTCTCCTTTCAATCCCTCTCTGTCAAAACACACACATACTGACATTACATCCAAGCTAATACATCAGGTATGACTGTATGACCAAGTTTAAATTTCAGTGCACACGCATTAGCATAATTTGGATATACTACCAAACTAATTTACATGATTTCGAGTAGGAATTTAAAAAAAATCAGTTATAGGCAAGAAATCAACCGAAAGGATAAACTGCAAAACCGTGAATGCAAAAGAGGGACCCTACCCCATTGTCATTGCCCATGTAGTGTGCTTTTTCCTCCAGAAGCAGCCCTCTCAATCTTATAGAAAAGCAAGGATAAATTTTCAGAACTATTCAAACACTTTCATACATTTAAATTCCAGAGGTTGTGAGTTCGAACACCTTACAGGCAGCAGCCTTTTCAATCTTCCCGTTGTTGCATCTATTAAAAAATAGAAAGCAAACACAAATTAGCTGGAGTGACTGATAGTGGGAAACCAAGAACAAGAGACATGGTGCTAGTAGTATGAAGGCAAAAGGTATAAGAGGCACAGCATCAAAACTCTTACTGTAATTTAGACTGAAGAGCTTGACCTACTTTGTCAGAGATATCATTGCAATAGTTAATGGAGAATATTGCCAGTAATCAACAGCTTATCGTAAAATTTAAGTCTTGTACGGAAACAGCCATCTACATTCTCTCGAGCATTATTATAATTTTTAACATCTTTTGAGCAGAAGATTCATCAAAAATTAGAATTCAGAACAATTGTTGAGCATTGCATTTGTTACTGGTTTTACAATACCTTGATAAAACCCCACAATACTTTCATTGTACAAACATGCAGTCCTCATGTGCAGGAGAGGAACTGAAGTGATTTCTGCTGTAAGATAAATAATGCAAGTATCACAAAAACAGCTAATTAGGCAGTGTGCATCCAAAACTGCAATGACATAGATGAATGAGTGATGCTAGAGCTCACGGTGCCAAAAAAGTGTGGAGTCGGCAAACTGATAAAAGTCCCCAATATCTTGAAAACTTCCTTGCAACTTTGTTAAACTTAAAACTGAGTGGCGATGGATTCATGTCGGTCAGCCGGTCACCAACAATGGTGCAACATCTAATTTGGAGGACTGAATACTGTTGTTCTCTAGCCTCCGCAGCACTGTAGCATTCAAAAATTGGATTTAGTTCAAATATGCCAACAACCTGATTACCTGAATAATGTTGCTTTCTAGCCTCTTGTAGCATTAAAAGAAATTGGATTTAGTAGAAATATACCCCTTCACTCTAGGGTAGTGCAGAATATTCCATTGATTATTGATCTGTACTGGAGACCAGGCGTTTAGTACATTTAGTAAATTCGGACAAAAGTTAGATGAACAACTTATGTTTCAGGGGAAAATAACACGCTAACATCTCATAATTCAGGTTTAGAAAATAAAATACACCCATATTAAAGTACAGTTACAATATATTTGCTTAGGCTAGGAATTTAGTCACAACACCTTTCAGAATCATCGTCCCAAGGCCGATCGCGATCATCAGAATATTCAGAATCACGATGCTATCTTCTTTTGCTTCTATCACGGTGATCCCTGTGGCGATCATGGTCCCTATCATTATCACCATTTTTTAAAAAACCATGAGAACATCATTCTGCAACACAGAAGGTAATGGGCCGTAATTTTGTAAACGTGCGAGGAAAGGGACCAATAAATATAATGAGAATAAGTGAATAGACATTTTGGCCCCAAGGTTTGCACATAAGGAAGTTGCAGCATTTTTCCAAAAAAAATATTTCAAGCAATGTAAATCTAGAGGATATTTTTGCCAGCCTAACGATGAGGCCCTCAGCTAACATATCCCCAGTGCAGGGTTGTCATTTTAAACATATCAGAATATGCTACTGCTCAATGAGCAAGTTGATTGTAAAGTGTGACCTATTGGAAAACAAAACAACTTTACAATGAGCAAGTAGATTGTAAAGTGTGACCTATTGAGAAATTATTGGCTGAGGAGGATGAAAACAATTACTTTAACTCGTCTGAATTGCTAGAATTGACAATTAAACCCATTCTTAATCCCTTTGGGCATTTCATCAAACATATGTCATGCACGTCCAAATTTGCAAAATCGACAGAAGCAAGATCAGAAACCACCTTTCCACCCATATGTGGCAGCAATGATCTTCACGTTACCCATCTCGTATAGGGAGGATCTGCACAAATAAAGCAGTAAAATCAGGAGCCAAACCCACCATTAAAACCCAAAGACATATAATCAGTAGATTTACCTCTTTTGTGGAGGAATGATTCTCAGTATCTCACCTGTTGTTGACTGGTTGGTAGCCCGATCCGACAGCCAAGGACTGAAGAAGTAGAAGCTGGTGGATGCGGTGGAATGAAGAGGCAGAAAGAGGTAGCAGCCAGGCAGCACCGCGGTAGTAATCACTGAACCCTCCCTCGAGCTCTTCACTGCTCGCCGTTCTGCTTCTCCGTAGCACGGTTCGGGGTGGACACGGAAATAAGCACCAGTCAATCGTGACACCACTCGAACCGGAACCCTAGCCACCCAATCCCCGCACCGCGACACTCGAATCGGAGCCCAAACGACGCCGTACAGAACTTCACCTTAGAGGGGAGAAACTTCGAGGGACCCTCACCTTCGATGATCATCGCCATCTCCACGAGCAAGTGGCGGCGGCAGGCGGCATGACGATCCGACGACGACGGAGGGGCAGCACGTGAGGGATGCGACGACAGCGGAGGGGCGGCGCGGGAGAGGAGAGAAATCGAGCAGCGGTGGACGGGGGATCAACCGCGCGCGGGTGGGGCGTCGGCGTCGCCGGGTGAGTGCGAGAGAGAGAGGAGGGAAGAGCCGAGCGAGACGCGGGAGGGTGAATGCGGCGTGATTTCCGGCGTGAGGAGGATGGGTGCGAGGAGGGGAGGGGATGAGAGGGAGACGTGGGGTAATCTGAGGTGTTGGATTGGATGATTTTGGGCCGTTGGATGTGTGATATGATGAGTGATGAATGAGTGAAACCATTTGTTAAACTATAGGATAGAATAATAATAACTTAACTAATCACGGTCACGGCATATACCGTTGGAATAACTGCAATCGGAGAAGTTGGTTGGGTCGGTTTTGTGATGGGCCGAGCACGAGTTGCCAATGGGCTTTGTGCCACTACTACTTCCGTGCCGTGACCGCCCGGGCCCAGCACCCACACACCGTGTCGCCGTCGCACGCGCAGCCAAAGCCAAAGCCCAGCGCGATCGCACGCTGCGTGTGCGTGTGGCGAGCGAGTGCGATGTGATGTTCTCCCGAATTTTTTTCATTTTTGAATTTTTTTCTTTTAATATTTACAGAAATAATCCATCGGCGCAAAAAAATTACAAAAAGAAACCCTGCCGCCCTCTACTAGAGCGGCAAGCTGACGTGGCAAACAGGGGAGGGACGGACGGTGACGGCAGACAGGAAAGGAGGGTTTTTTTTTTTGCACGAAAACCCTTGCCGCCAGGGCCTCCATGCAAAAAAACCAGCCCGAGCCGGGTACTTTTTGGCTGGTACTTTTTGCATCTGGGCCCCTTGCCACCCTCGCCCAGATGCAAAAAGTACCAGCCAAATGCTTTTTAGGGCTGCAAAGGGCGGCAAGAGGCTAAATGCAATTTTCGCAGACGGCGGCAGATGGTGCCGTCGAGCCGCCGTCTGCCATGTTAGCTTGTCGCCATCCACTAGGGCGGCAGGGTCTATTTTTATAATTTTTTGCGCCGATAGATTATTTCTGTAAATATTAAAAGAAAAAAATTAAAAATGAAAAAAATTCATGTTCTCCCCCTCGCGACTGCGATGCCGGACCTGCATATGGCCGGTGTCATCGGCTCATCGCTCCCATCAGAGTTTGTTGCCGCCTTGAAATCTGCAGTAAAAGCTCCCCACCCCCCACCCCCCATCCATCCAATTGATAGATGCACCTATATAGTCCGTATTTCATTCGTCCCATATAAAACGAACATATAACTTAATGTGATATATTCTAACACAATAAATCTAAACGGATATATATCTAAATTGATAACAATATAATGTGTCATATCTATTATTATATTAGATTTTTATGAAACGGATGAATTATTTGTGAGTAGTGGTACTAAGGGCAAGTACTATAAACATTTTATTACTAATTGCAAGATACCATGTAGACTCGTATAATGATGTGGAGGAGAGAAAAGAAGATAAGAGAGAGGAGCAGCCACCCATCATGTAAGGGACAACCTCTACACAAAAATCAAGAAATATGAGAGAAAGAGAGAAGTGTATTGGGTGTAGTGTAAGTAGATGCAATCTATTCAGAGTATGTATTACCTCTAAATTAATATGTAAATGATTTAAACAAAATTAGATGTGATCAAACTTGTCTAAGGAACTTCAGATCACGCGCAATTCAGATCACGCGCAAATCAGGTTACAACAATCCTATGACGCACGAACTAACGCATACAATGATTGGTGAAGGGCAGCTGGACCGTCTACAGGATAGTTTCAGACTTGTTTCCTCCCTAACAGTGTGACCACACTTGTGACTTATTTTATTATTATCGTTATGAGATTATCGTGGGGACTTTTCCTAAGTCGTAAACAGCGCCATGTTTATGAAAACTTTCTTCACCGATATTTTTCAAACTCTTTTAGATTTACTTATCAACTTTCTAATATTAATGCATTCGTGTATGTCCTCGAATAATTATTACTGTCGACGTTTGATGTCGTCATTCTGGTATTTGCATAGTATGGGGATCATCAATGCTAGGATATACGCGAGACTGAGGTAAAAGAGATGGAGACATGGATTTTTATACAGGTTCGGGCCCCTGAGTTATCAGATAATAACCCTACATCCTGTTGGCCGAAGCCGGTATTGCTCTTATTCACCATAATCACACCAGTACAATATGTGGATAGCCTATCTAACTGTTGTCGACATGTCGGTCTGAAGGTCTGACTCGTAGTCGACAACAGGGTAGCCTTCCTCCTCGAATCCGTGCCCGGCGAGATCAGAGATAGCGCTTTCGTATCTCCTGACGGTATCCGGAGACACCGTAGGGGAATAGCCATGCCTATCCCTGAAGTCGATATCCGGCGGTGTGTCTTGGCGTATGTAGGCTTGTATGTTGTGGCTTCTGGTGGACGTGTGTTGATTGTCATGAGTGTCTTCCATGGTCCTTTCATGGTGGTTGTCGATGAGGTGGTCGTCCCGATCGTGGTGATCGTGTTGATCGTCTCATGGTGAGTCTGTGTGTCCCTGTCCTCCTAGGGGGGCTTGTATTTATACCCATAGGTGTCCCCTTGTCCAAGTAGAACTAGGGAAACCAATATGGATACAATCCGAGTAGTCCTTGTCGTTTCCATGTAGAACTCTGGCTGTCTTTTCTTATCCGGAACTCCCTCCTATATCCGTAGGTTGTTTCCGTATAGGACATGGTATGTGGTGGGTCCTGCCGAGATTTAGTCAACTACTATTAGGTATGTGGTATCCATAACCATGACAATTACAAACTCAATTTCAACTATGTTTCATCCATTAAAACTTTAGAATGCAGGCTTTACGTTTAGATTGTGGGTTATACTCCATCCGTTTCAAAATGTTTGACACCGCTGACTTTTTAGCACATGTTTGATTGTTCGTCTTATTAAAAAAATTGTGAAATATGTAAAACTATATGTATAGATGAAAGTATATTTAACAATATATCAAATGATATGAAAAGAATAAATAATTACTTAAATTTTTTGAATAAAACGAATGGTCAAACACGTACTTAAAAAGTCAACGATATCAAACATTTTAAAACGGAGGGAGTACTTCACTACCGTCAGAAGTGATGGATGCTGTAGAACTTGACAGAGCGTTGAAGGGGATTATGGTTTTTCAAGTCCATCGGTCATAGAACTTGTGACAGGAGAGTAAAAATGACTTGAGTTTATTTTACTCCCTATTGTTACAGAAAAACGTTGTTTTAAATATGTGTAGCTATCGTTAGCTAACTTTGATCGTAGTTTATGGTGTAGGATATAACTAGGTTCGATATAAAACTACATAGCCAATTGTCTTGTTATAAAAGTTTATATGCCACTCCCTCCATTTTATATTATAAGTCATTTACCTTTTTTCCTGATCAAAATTATTTAGGTTTAACCAAATTGATAGAAAAATTAGCAAATATTTATAACATCAAATTAGTTTCATTTAATTTAACATTGAGTATATTTTAATAATATGTTTGTTTTGTATTGTAAATGTTTCTATACTTTTCTGCAAACTTAGTTTGACTACGTACAAAATCGAACGACTTATAACATGAAATGGGGGAATATTACATTTATGTAACTGTTCTTTATTCATGCAAAAGAATTGAATTGCTAAAGTCATGTCTTATTGCCTTTGGAAATGTTTAAACGATGTTAATTTTTCTAACTGAAAGGAGTCCAATGAAATACCAGTGTCCTCCTCGTTTACCAGCTATAAAAGACAGTAACCATGTGCGTGTCCTCGTGCGTCGATTCAAAATACGGGCATACGGGCAAACCATTGACCTTGACCGTGCACCATATACTAACATCCAATGACGACAGTGACATTTAAGATGTGAGAAGTAAAAACATTTTAAATTTCAAACGAACTCCCGGTTGCAGGAGAAGTATAGGATGCCTAACTCCCATGGAAAAAAATCAACACAAACTAAAAAATCTTGATAGTACCTGCATAATGTAAATCCAAGAGTTTCTAGCCATGTTTAATTTTTGCCTCATCTTATCTACTTAATTATAGATATAATTAAACAATTTAAAATATATATAATAATAAATAACTTGGTCTAACAAATGTAGTCGAAGAAAGTTTATTAAGGAGATATAGAATCTTAAGCATCGAACAAATAACATATTTCAATAACCCGATGAATATTAACCTTTATCTTTTAGAAGTACCACAGTACGTGTCGGAGATATGGGCCCGAGGGTATGCGAAGTGTGGAGAATCTACCTTCCTATCCTGCCGTGTGTCCCTACAGCTTGGTCCTGCCCCCGCAGTCCGCGAACTGCTGGAGCGGCCGGGGAGGGGGGGTCGCGGCCTCGGGGTGCCACGTCATGCCCCTCGGGCCCTTGCATCGCTTTGCCCCGAGGCCCTCGCCCAGCCGCCATTTGGCGGGGGCAGCGAGCGAGGAGGGGGCCCAGGCTGAGCCTCCTTTAATACGCGCAACGCCCCAACTGCCCCCTGTCTCATTTAATACAGTGAGGCAGACATGCGGAGTGCTAAACTGACACGCCATAATCAAGAATGACCGGTCTGTAACCGGCCTGACGCTGGTCACATCTGACTGGACCGACAACCGTGCTCCCACGTCGCGTCTGCTTCCGGTGGAGTGGAGGTAGGTATGACACGTCCCATCAGAGGGTCATTCGGACGGCGGCACCACAAGTCTTCACCCATTAATGAGGGAATGACAGGGCTGTCCCCCGTGTCAGGCGAGGGACGGCGCTAGGCCCCACTCAAGGACAAGCTGTGGCTTAGCTTCCAGGCGAAGGCACGGGTCGAGTTCCGGTCAAGATAGGGTGGGTCCCCACCCGAAAGAAGAATAGGTAAAGGCGGTGCATGTGGTATCCCCTTGAGATATAAAAGGAGGACCTTGCCCACCGAGAAGAGGGAGGGGGACTTTGGAGGCTTGAACTCTAGGAAAAGAAGAGTGAGAGTGCTGTCCAGAGTTGAGGAACCCTTGTAATACTCAACTATAATCTCAAACACAGTAGTAGGGTATTACGCTTCTCAGCGGCCCGAATCTGTATAATTTAATTACGTGCAAGCTAGCTAGTAACCCCAGGGACGGATTCGTGATTTCTAGAGGCGAGCTTCTTCTCCCGGCCGAACTCACGAAAGGGGGGGGGGGGTCTCACGACCTCCCGCTATTGAGGGTCTTCCCTCGACAGTACGAATTTCCAACAAGTTTGAAAAAAAAAGAGCATAGTTCAACTGGATTCAAATGAGGAAATTACTGTACAAACGACCTAACCATCTGACTCACCCACGGATGAATCTAATCAACGGTTGCAAATGAACATGCTTTATTTTGATTGGTCTATGATCACATATCTTTAGTTATATATGAGTTATACAAGTAAATCGTATCTGTAGCAACAATATTCAAACAAAATAACTAGTTTTAGAAAAAAGAAATGGTTTCAAACATGTTCCGAGTACACAACAATACTTCTCCAATCTCATAATATAGTAATCTAATACTAAATGAGTGGCACCTGGTACTACGTAATGGTATTAGGTTTTAAGGGCCTCTTCGGTTCACATGATTTCCAAATCACAGAAAAGAAAAAATACATAAATAATATAGGAACATACGCACAATATAAAAGATTGGAACACATGAATTTTTCCTCCAACGAGCTGAATAAAAGAGAATGAAGCAGATTTTTCATTCATATGGAATCAGTGCATTTCGAAGGAGTTTTGGAGGATTGGCTTAGTATTTCTATGAAAAACTTTCCTCTGAATTCTATGAATCAAGTACATAAATAGTGTTTGTTTCAAAAGAATCGAGAAATCCTTCGAACCTAGTAATAATGCCTACTCTTTCCGTCTAAAAAAACGAATCTAAAACTGCATGTGACATATTCTAATACAATAAATCTAAACATAGGTATGTCCAGATTTATAGTATTAGGATGTGTTCTGATAATTTTTTATGGGATAAAGGGAGTAAGGTTTTAGAGTAAGAAATTGGCCGAGTTCAGTTCCAAACATTTTTTTTCAAACTTCCAACTTTTCTATCACATCAAAACTTTTCTGCACACATAAACTTTCAATTTTTTCGTCACATCGTTCCAATTTTAACCAAACATCCAATTTTAGCGTGAACAACACACCCATGATTTCAAACATGGGCCGAGTTTAGTTCTAAAATTTTTCATCAAACTTTCAACTTTTACATCACATCAAAACTTTCCTACACACACAAACTTCTAACTTTTTCGTCGCATCGTTCCAATTTCAATCAAACTTTCAATTTTGGCGTGAAAACACACCCATGTTCCACTGGGCGCACGTTTTCGCCGAAACGCCGAGTCGCCGCCGACACGGCAAATTAGCCACGCATCCATTCGTTCGTTCATCGCAAAACCAAGGGGGGATGATCATCTCCAGCCACGTATAAACCCAACCAAACACCCTCCCCCCTCTCGCCCACCCCCCCATTCCGCCGCCCCCACCCCCAGATCTACTCCACCGCCACCGCCACCGACACCCCCGTCTCCGGCGAGTCCCCCCGCCGCCTCCTCGCCGGAGAACCCGCCTCCCCTCCCCCAACCCTAAAGCCTCCCCGTCTCATTCGCCCCCCCACCGGATCCAGATCAAAACCACACGCCGATCCAGATCCCGCCGGGCGCCCAGCCATGGCGCGCCTCCTCCCCTTCCTCGTCGCGGCGGCGGCGGCGTTGGTGGCGGTGTCCCTCTCCGCGCCAGGCGCCGACGGGTTCTACCTCCCGGGGAGCTACCCGCACAAGTACAACCCCGGCGAGCCGCTGAGCGTGAAGGTGAACTCCCTCACCTCCATCGACACCGAGATCCCCTACAGCTACTACAGCCTCCCGTTCTGCACCCCTCCCGACGGCGTCAAGGACAGCGCCGAGAACCTCGGCGAGCTCCTCATGGGCGACCGCATCGAGAACTCCCCCTACCGCTTCCGGATGCACGCCAACGACTCCGACCTCTTCCTCTGCCGCTCCCCGCCGCTCGCCGCCGACGCCTTCAACCTCCTTAAGAAGCGGATCGACGAGATGTACCAGGTTAACCTCATCCTCGACAACCTCCCCGCCATCCGCTACACCAAGAAGGACGACTACTTCCTCCGATGGACCGGCTACCCCGTCGGCATCCGCGTCGGCGTCGACTACTACGTCTTCAACCACCTCCAGTTCACCGTCCTCGTGCACAAGTACGAGGAGGCCAATGTCGCCCGTGTCATGGGCACCGGCGACGCCACCGACGGCTTCCCTTCCACCGGCAAGGACGGCAGCGGCGGCGCCGCCGGGTCATCCGGCTGGATGGTTGTCGGCTTCGAGGTCGTGCCTTGTAGCATCAAGCACAACCCCGACGACGTCAAGTCGCTCAAGATGTATGGCAAGTACCCGAGGAGCATCAAGTGCGACCCGACCACCGTGTCCATGAGCATCAAGGAGAACGAGCCCATCGTGTACACCTACGAGGTGTCGTTCGTCGAGAGCGATATCAAGTGGCCCTCGAGGTGGGACGCATACCTCAAGATGGAGGGTGCCAAGGTGCACTGGTTCTCGATCCTCAACTCGCTCATGGTGATTGCTTTCCTTGCTGGTATCGTGTTTGTCATATTACTGAGGACCGTGAGGCGTGATCTGACGAGGTATGAGGAGCTTGACAGTGAAGCGCAGGCGCAGATGAACGAGGAGCTGTCTGGGTGGAAGCTTGTTGTCAGTGATGTTTTCCGCGCGCCAAGCAACCCAATGTTGCTCTGCGTTATGGTCGGGGATGGTGTTCAGATCCTTGGGATGGCAGTGGTGACCATTCTGTTTGCGGCGCTTGGGTTCATGTCACCAGCTTCCCGCGGTACTCTGATCACGGGCATGCTGTTCTTCTATCTGGTTCTTGGAATTTTGGCAGGATATGTGGGTGTTCGTGTGTGGAAGACAATCAAGTGCGGTGATCATACAGGGTGGATGGCTGTTTCATGGAGGGTAGCTTGCTTCTTCCCCGGCATTGCATTCCTGATCCTTACCACTCTGAACTTCCTGTTGTGGGGAAGCCAAAGCACAGGAGCCATCCCCTTCTCGTTGTTTGTCATATTGATTCTGCTCTGGTTCTGTATCTCTGTGCCGCTTACACTTGTAGGTGGACTCCTCGGTGCCAAGGCACCGCACATTGAGTACCCCGTGCGCACTAACCAGATCCCTCGTGAAATCCCACCTCAGAAGTACCCATCCTGGTTGCTGGTTCTCGGCGCTGGCACACTGCCCTTTGGTACCCTGTTCATCGAGCTCTTCTTCATCATGTCTAGCATATGGATGGGGCGTGTGTACTATGTCTTTGGATTCCTCTTCATCGTCCTGTTGCTCCTTGTTATTGTCTGCGCTGAGGTTTCCCTTGTTCTGACCTACATGCATCTCTGTGTCGAGGATTGGAAATGGTGGTGGAAATCATTCTTCTCATCTGGATCTGTGGCGATCTACATTTTCTTGTACTCGATCAACTATCTTGTTTTTGACCTAAAGAGCTTGAGTGGACCTGTGTCGGCGACCCTCTATCTCGGCTACTCACTCTTCATGGTTATTGCTATTATGCTGGCTACTGGAACAGTGGGATTCATTTCATCATTCTGCTTCGTCCACTATCTTTTCTCATCCGTGAAAGCAGATTAAGCTCATCCCGATGCAGAGTGTATTACTCAAATGAGAGGTGAGAATAGTGGACATCAAAAAGTTTGTAGTCACAAAATCTTAGCTCATGTCATCTTTTGGTATACAAAGACTGAATAACTATTGTAAGCTTTACTAGGATTTATCAATGGGTTTTATGGAGAGATGTGCTAGCAGCTTGCACGATGTAATAGAATGAATTGGTTTATTCACATTTTGAGTCATTTTAGTTGCTCTTTCTGCTGCCATTTAGCTGTTAAGATGTAAGCTTAGTACTGCTGTCTGTTGCAATCGTGTTTGGTATCATTTTCCTAAAATGTTAGATCAATTTTTTGACTTATCAGAATTGTGATGGTTTGATGCAGTTGCTACACAATATAGTGATTATACTTATTTTTCTTTGCACCAGAACTCCAACTCCTACCTTGGTTCATATAAGAAACTCTCCTTATTTTGTATGGAGTAATAATTAATAGTCTTCATGTTTTGCATCTGACAGCTATACTTTGGATGTCTTTTAACATTGCTAAGTAGCTTAAATACGACCCTTATGCTATAAATTACTAGATGATTGATCTATGATATATGACATCTCAACATAATATTTCATTGATTGTGTGGCTTTCTTTTTCCAGTTGTTTTTTACAATCATTGCTGGGTGGTTGCATCTGACTCATTCCAGCGTGCTATTCCATATGTATAATGTGTAGTTGAACAACTAATCTCAAAGCCTTGGTGATTCACTTACTAAAAAGAACTATAAAAGGTAGCCTCGGCTTCAAACAGCTGAGTGAGCTTACTGTTTCTTCAACTTGAAAGAATGTGTCTGATAATCACGGTAATCTATTGCTGTTAATCCTGGTAACCTTGGGTTATCTCTTGCCGTTGCCGGTTCATGGTTGCAGAGATCTAGTTTGTACTACTTGTTTGCTGGCTGTTGCTGTTTATTGTATTTGTAAATTGTAATGGTTTGTTCTTTGCTTGCTTTCAGTTTTCTCGTCATATTTCTACTGGGACAGTTTGTTTCCTCTATATGGTTATTGTTAAATCACAGGTGGTCCAAATTTGATGATTTGCATTCGAGATTATGTAACGGCATACTCCAAGACTGACGCATTTCTGGCGTCCTTGGTGTCCTGCCCTGTCATTTGGTTGTTGGCTTATCCATGCGATCCAAAACTCCAGGACTGCAATTGCTGATACTGCGACGAGGTGCCCTCGTCTCATGATTTTTACTGAGTATCGCTTGCTTATAACAAAGCTTGGAATGATCTGCTCCGTGCTTGACCTGTTGAAATTCAAAAACTGCACTACTTGCAATGATCGCAGTATTTTTACTACAGTACTAGTGATCAAGTGATGAGGATTACTAGTAAGCTTGCTTTGTCTTGGGCGTTGACTCGGCTTTTTGACCAAAGCACGGATCCATGCCGTGCCGTGTGCCGTCAGTCGTGGTTGGACTAGTAGTTGGCTGGTACACGTCCAAGGCTTGAAGCCACCGTATTTTACCGTGTGCAGAAGAACTCCGTCAAAGTAGACCCAACTTTAGGTAAAGGGCCGGTTTAGATTGGTTTCATTTTAAATCATATCATTGTTTGATAAAATTTAAATATATAGATACATTTAGTTTGTTACTTAAATACTAGTATTGGTAACATATAAAATTTTTTGGCACAACATAATTCCATCCTACTAAATTTGGTAATTCTGCCAACTTAATTAAAATTTGACATTCACAAATTTTTGGTAAGGTTGTTTTTGGCAGTAATAGGAACGGAGTCAAATTTAACTCATCAGCTCTCACATGCTCATCGGCTCATCGCTTGTGTGGCTCCGAAACTCAAGAGGCTGTGGCTGCATCGCGTGCGAGGGCGAGTGCCACGTCGAAACGACGTAGGCTATGCAGCTTCCTGGCCATGCCTCGGGCGAGTCTGCCACCACACGCTGCCAGGAGAGAGATTGACCTCAGCTATCTCAACTACCAGCGGCTTCCGGTGGGTCGCCGACCTGACCCTATCAAGTTGAGCGATCAATTTCGTATTGAACTCTCAGAAATTATCAGCACCAACTTTCCGTTTATGATTAGCAGCCAAAATTTAAATTTTAGGTTAAAAGTTGATTTTAAGTTTATGGTTAAAGTTGATTTTAAGGTTTTTTTTATCTAAATTTATTTTCTATTTTTAGATCGCTAAAACTAAGACGACGTATATAAATTTTTAATTACAAATTATTTAGAAGTTTTAATTACAAATTATTTATCGTTTGCAAATACGCAATGAGAACCTATATCGCCCCAACCCATCTGAAACGTACCCAAAACATCAGGTGGGGATAATCACCTCTACTACTGGGATCGATCATACTGAGCAAATTGTTCAGCAAGAGGACTTGGATTAAAGCAAGATGCACCTCAATTTGCAAGTTGAAATATTAGATTAGACGCCAGCAATCCGCCTACCCGGTTGCGTACACAAACTAATTTAAGCAATTTGGCGATTACCACATCAACAAGCAAAGTTTATCATCCGAATAAGAACAAATACACAGCGGAACTTAAGCGGAAACTGCGGGTATAACAAGTGGCAGTTCTTAATTAAATCTTGGTATGCATATGATGATTGTGAAGCAACCTCGTTGAGAATCCAAGGGTAGTCTACTTATTACTTGCACAAAGTAAGAACACAAATCCACAGCTAATCAGCATGAGAAAAAAAAGAAGATAACCAAACATCCACTGATGTGTTGAATGAAATTCACCACTGCGAGGATCTGATACATAGTTGATTTGATTACCCGATAAGATCTATATATATCTTACAGACGAACAGAAAGATAACACCTAACATAACTTAATTACTGATAATAAGAACTATATATGTCTTGCCTTTGACACTGGACATAATACCTAACACGAATTTAGTGCTACTATTCTTCACCTGACATTGAACTCACGCTCACCAAACCACAAATCACAATCACTACCGACGAATTATTCATCTAACCAAACCTCTACTATTATTACCACTACTGCTGTACTAACAGATCAGCAACACCAAGCCAGCCTAAATTTCCACCAAACTAACCCCAATTTTTCCCAACCAAGACACCACCTAAAAACCAAACTCAAAAGACAAAGAACTAATCAACCTAGTGTTGTTCTTCGTAGAAGCAAACCCCCAACATAATTCCACCACGAAACTTTTGAAAACCTAACCACTACCAAATCCAACCACCGGCAGATGCGTTCCCCCAAACTCGTCCTCTGAAAAAATACCGGGAGAGTTTGATCGGAACGCAGCCGGGATCTGATCCGGACAAGCTTTCGATCGGATCGAAACCACCAAGCAATCCATCCATCAGAGAAGAGGAGGAGAAACGAGGAGAGGAGCGTGCACGGCTCACGGCTCCGGGGAAGACGGCGGTGAGAGAGGCCGTCAAGGGAGCTCGCCGATGCGGAGGAGGCAGCGGAGGCCGCGGGTCGCCTCGGCCTCGGCGCGACGGATGAAGGCCGGGAAGGGGAGGGAGCTCGGCTCAGGCGAAGCCGAGGAGAAGGCCGGGCCGGCGTAGACTGGCGCGTCGGCGACGGACTTGATCTTCGTCGGCACAGCGGCCGTGTGCTGCTGCTGCTTCGATCTGGCGGGGCGAGGCGCCTTCTGGTCAGTCGGCGCGGCTTGCGCCACAGCCGGAACACGGGGCGCCCGCTGGTCAACCGCCGCGGCCTGCGCCGCAACCGGAGCAGGCGACGGCGAGGAAACCGGCGGCTCCTCGCCGCGCTTGAGGATCCGGATCTCCCCCATCACGAGCCTCTGCTTCGGCAACTCCTTCGTCGGCGACCCTTGCTTCCTCGCCACCGGCGAGCGACGCCCCTGAGGCACCGCCGCCGCCGCCGCAGCCTTGGGAGGAGGCGACGCCACCCTCGCCGCCGACTTAACCACCGGCGGCGAGCTCACCGCCGCCACCTTGGGGGGCGGCGACGCCGCCTTGCTGTGCCGCCTCCGCCTCGGCTTCGACGCCGGGGACACGGCGAAGGCCCCCAGATGCATCCGGTTGTCGAGGGCGTCGTGGGATCCGAGCACCGCCGCCGTCGCCATGGCCGAACGCCACGAGGTTTGACTCGAGAATTTTGGGAAGTGGAAGCGAAGAGAGAAATCGAGAGAGAGAAAATAAAAACCTAACCCTAACGAGAGGGGAAGAGAAGAGATTGGGATTGGAAGGGTGGGGGGAGAGAACACAATGGGGGAGAAACGCTTGGCTAAGAGGCGTCTTTTATAATCGGAGATGGATGAGTACGAGTGCCACACGACGTGGTTCAGTTTCCTTTTTATTAAAATAAAATAAAATAATTTGTTTTATTTTTATGAAAGAAAGGAAAAACACTGGGCTTGTCGGGTGTTGGGGGAGGAGATCTTTTTGTTGTGCGTGGCCGCACGAGCGCCGTCGGATGCAGGAATTGCTTTACACGGACGGATGGATGTTGTTGTGGGGTCTACTCGGAGGGGAGGTGGGCCCCGCGCTGCACCGCTGAGTGGCCCGGTTTGGGTGATGACCGACATGGGCGGCTCAATTATTGTCAATATTAGGCTCCTGCCCTCCTTTTTTGGTATAATTTCACGCCCTTGCCATCGCAGAGTATACCTTCTTTTTCTTTTGAGTTATTTGGAAAAATAGGGGCATAAATTATTTTGAAGGAGCAAATAAAATAATTATATAAAATTCGAGAGAAAAAAAAGAAAAAAATAGGTGCCGTGGGAGCCGCGTAAGTGGGGTGGGTGGTGGGCCTAAACGACAGCTGTGTGTTGCCGTTCCGGCGGCCTGCAACACAAGGCGGTTTCCCCAGCGTGGGCCCCACCCCCCGGGCGCGTCCTTATCATTAATCACTCCACCCACCAAATTAATTCCGCCCTTACCCCTAAAGCACTCGCATAATCCGGGGTCGATGCCAAAAAAAATAATTTCCAATATTCGTGATCTCTCTTCTCGGATGCTGCACAACAACCCGTCGGTATACGCGGGCCGTAGGGCCCACCTGTCAGTACCCTCCCCCGAGGCGACAGAAGGTGGAGAGGCTTTTTTTTTTCCTCTCTCACCTTTGGCCCCCAACCTTTGCAGCGTGGTGGGACCCGGCGTTAACTCCATGGCCCACATGTCATTGGGGTGTATGGTGGTGGTGATGGGTGCGAAAGGAGAGGACAGGAGGGAGGGGAGAGGTATCGTTTCATCATCAGCTTTTGGTGAGAAAAAAAATAAAGAAAAGGCAGCGACACGTAAGGGTGTGATAATTGAAAGGGCGATGCCGACTTGAGAGCGGCCCTGCCTCCTCTCCTCACGTGCACCGCATGATGTACGTACGCGATTCTACGAACCCAGTGGTTGTACTGCTTTGCTACGCTGACCCACCAAACGTGTTTGAGATGGAGGACGACTTTTTTTTGAAGTTTTTTGGCAGCCAATTTTCTCTGGAAGCTTCACCTTCTCTGTATTGCTATCCTTATTTACATATACATGACTAGATGGGCCCTCTAGCAGATGGGCCAGCACATAAAACACACACATACTGTTGTATTTACAGCCCAACACTCCCTCTCAAGATGGGTGATAGATATCTATCATACCCATCTTGTCACATGAACTATTACACTTTTTAACACCTAAACCCTTTGTGAAACAATCAGCAACTTGTCCACCAGACATTACAAATTCTAATTCCAAAACTCCCTCATCCAGTTTTTCCTTGATAAAGAAACGATCCAACTCCACATGCTTTGTTCGATCATGTTGAACTGGGTTGTTAGCAATGCTGATTGCTGACTTGTTGTCACACCACAATTTCATTGGAGTATCCACCGGCAACATCAACTCAGAAAGAAGATTCCTTAGCCATAACAACTCACTTAAACTCACTGACATTGCCCGATATTCTGCCTCAGCGGTTGAGCGAGACACCACCGGTTGCTTCTTGCTCCTCCAAGATACTAGATTACCACCAACAAACACACAATAGCCTGAAGTTGATCTTCTATCATCAGGACAACTTGCCCAATCTGCATCACAATAGCCTTCAACCTCCAAGTGTCCATTTTTCTTAAACCATAGGCCTTTACCTGGGCTTCCTTTCAAATATCTCAAGATCCTATAGACAGCATCCATATGCCCACTCCTTGGATCATGCATATATCGACTCACCATACTGACAGCATAAGTTATGTCAGGTCGTGTATGACATAAATATATCAGTCTCCCAACCAGCCTTTGGTATCTTTCCTTATTCACTGGATTTCCAGACTCTGCACATAACTTATGATTTTGATCAACTGGTGTAGAGGCTGGGCGACATCCAAGCATACCTGTGTCACTGAGCAAGTCCAATGCATATTTCCGCTGTGAAAGAACTATCCCTCTAGGAGATCTTGCAATTTCAATACCCAGAAAATATTTCAACTGGCCTAGGTCCTTAACTTCAAATTCTTTGCTTAGATTTTGTTTCAGCCTAGTTATCTCCGAGCAATCATTTCCAGTGATAATCATATCATCAACATAAACAGCAAGAATGGTTATATGATCTCCACTATGATGATAGAAAACTGTGTGATCTCCATTACATTGTTTATAGCCCATAGCACACATTGCACGCCTAAATCGATCAAACCATGCTCTTGGCGACTGTTTGAGACCATATAAGGATTTCTTCAATCTCAATACTTTACCTTTAGTTTGCAAAGTAGCAAATCCAGGTGGAATTTCCATATATACCTCCTCTTGAAGATCGCCATGTAGAAAAGCATTCTTGACATCCAATTGATGTAATGGCCAATCAAAGTTAACTGCACAAGATATTATAGTTCTTACCGTACTCATTTTTGCAACCGGTGCAAACGTTTCATCATAATCAATTCCATATGTCTGGCTATATCCCTTAGCCACAAGTCTTGCTTTGTACCTCTCCACTTTTCCATCCGGATTTTGTTTCACTGCATATACCCACTTACAGTTTACCACTTTCTTTCCATTGGGATAGGATACAAGATCCCATGTTTTGTTCTTCTCAAGAGCTTCTAGTTCATCTAGCATTGCTTGATGCCACCTTGGGTCTTGCTTTGCCTCTTTCCAATCCTTAGGAATTATAGCTGAATTTAGAGATGCCACAAAGGCCTTGTATGTCGATGACAAGGAAGTGTAAGATACATAATTGGCTATATCATTCTCATCACCACTTTCATCTCCAATTTCAAAACCATATCTTTGTGGAGGTTTGCCTGCATTGCTTCTCATCCCCTTTCTTATGGCAATTGGCAAGTTTGATTCTTCTTCTCTAATTTCTATTTGTTCTCCCCCTGACTCCGAAGACACTTGCACATGAGTAAGATCATCTGATACTTGATCATCAACTTCAACTTGTTGAGTTGTTGGAAGTCTCATTCTCCTTGTGTAAACTTGAAGATTTTCCTCTTCATGTGGCTTTCTCCATTCTTGTTCTTGTACAGGATCACCTATAGCACATGGAATTTCACCAACCATAATCTTTCCCTTTGATTGTTCATTCTCCTTGAGACCCAAGATTTCACCTTCCTTTTGTTGATCATGGTCACCTCTAGTTAAATCATCAAGATCAACAAATAAAGAGCTTATATCTGTTTTCTCACCATAGAATGGAACAGATTCCCTAAACGTAACATCCATACTTACAAATGTCCGCCGTTCTGATGGACTCCAACACTTATACCCCTTCTGGTTGGATGAATAGCCTATAAAGATGCATTTAACAGCTCGAGGATCAAGTTTTCCAATAGATGGTCTATGATCTCTAACAAAACAAGTGCAGCCAAACACCCTCGGTGGAACCACAAATTCATTCTTCCCAAATATCATCTCATATGGTGTCTTCATTCCAAGTATTCTTGATGGTGTGCGGTTGATGAGATAAGCTGCCGTCATTACTGCCTCACTCCATAGAAATTTAGGTACATTCATAGTATACATTAGTGACCGAGCTATCTCCAAAAGATGGCGATTTTTTCTTTCAGCCACTCCATTCTGTGGAGGAGTATCAGGACAAGAAGTCTGATGTAATATTCCTTCTAAAGAAAGAAAGTGACCGAATTCACTATTCATATACTCCCCTCCATTATCAGTTCTAATAAACTGAACCCGAGCATTAAAATGATTTTTAATATATGCATAAAAGTTTTGGAAGCATTTAAGCACTTCATCCTTATGTCTCATGAGATATAACCATGTCATGCGGGAATAGCAATCAATAAAGGTGACAAAATATTTCATTCCACTCATAGAAACCACAGGCGACGTCCACACATCTGAGTGGATTAGCATAAAGGGCAAAATACTGCGAAGTCCTCTACTCACATATGATGTTCTAGTATGCTTCCCATACTCACATGCATCACATATCAGCATATGTTTATCCACTTTACTAAACTCTACCGGGAACATTTTACTCATAATTTCAAAAGATATATGTCCTAGTCGACAATGCAAAAGTAATACCTCAGTCACTTCTTTACTTGTTGAAGCCATTAGTGCACACACATCCTCATTTGTCCCTCTTCTGTCCAAGTACCAAAGTCCATCACGCCTGATACTAATCCCAAGTTTCTTCCCTGTTCTTCTCTCCTGAATTAAACAATTCTCACGATCAAGGGAAACCCGACAATCCATATTATCAACAAGAGAACTTATTGAAATTAAATTCACTGGAAAAGAAGGGACATATAACACTGATGACAAAGTAATGGATGGAGTACATTGCACTATGCCCTCCCCCTTAACCTGACATGATGTGCCATCAGCAGTTTGAATGGTCTCTTTGTGTGCAAATGAATATGGTTTATATGATGTAAATTCTCCACTCATGCCAGTGACATGCCTGGATGCACCTGAGTCTAATATCCAACTTGAATGAGAAGTGTTCATAGACATAAATGCTTGATTAAAACTACCTGAAGTAGAATGAGCAAAGTTGGCAACATTGTCAGGTGTAGTCCCGGAAGAACCCTCTTCTAGAGTAACTGCATTAGCCTTGTAATCACCTCTATATCCATAACCTCTTCCTCTATTGCTCCTACCAGCATAGCCTCTTCCACCTCTTGTTCCACCTCTATCAACACCTCTTCCTCTCCCATAAGTAGGCTTGCGTGGAGCATGACAATCACGCATAAGGTGTCCCATTTCACCACAATTGAAGCACTCTCTAGTCTCTTTACCTTGTACAATTGCATAGGTGGGACTTGGTGAACATGGTGCGGCACTAGGCAATACTTTCTTCTTAAGCTCCTCCTGTGCCATAGCTGCAATGGCCTCATCTAAGGTAGGAAGAGTGGTTTGGTGAAACATTGCATCTCTTCTTCCTTCGAACTCTGGATTTAGACCCTTCAAGAACTCAATAACCCTTCTACGCTCAACCCATTTCTTCATTTTTGCTATGCAATCAGAGTGCTCTAATCCAAGAGGATCATAATGATCTAAATCGGACCACAAACTCTTCAACTCTACGACATATTCTGCCACAGAGCGCTCCCCCTGTCTCAAAGCACTTATCTTCTCTTGTGCCTCCACCATTAGCATCACATTACCTTCTCCTGAGTATAGTTTAGTAAGAGTTTTCCACATCTCCCTCGCACTAGAGATAGTCTCAACAGTTGTAGCAATAGCTGGGATTAATGAAGTCAACAACCATGCCACCACTAAAGAGTTGGTAGTGCTCCAAGTCTTCCATTCTACACTTGATGTGTTCTCAGGCTCCTTCACTTCTCCTGTGACATATCCTTCTAACCCCTTTGTTTTTAGTATTAGTAATGCCCTCCTTGACCAACTCAAATAATTTTTGACACCCTCCAACTTGATTTCGTTTTGCATTAACTCAATCTTCAGTATTGATTCAGTATGAGGGATAATTGCATTGCTTGTAGTTGAGGCCTCACTAAATTTTTTCGCTAGCATGTCCACCAATTTACCCATCACTTGTTCTATTCCTTGATTTTCTGCCATAATGCAAATTCTGAAACTGCAAACCAGTAGAAACCCAACTAGCAGATCTGAGCCCCCTGTTCTACCTTTCCCTTCCTATAGATTGCTCAAATAGTCAATATCACAAAAGCAGTAGCTGTGCTTTTACCTCGGTTTCCTTGCCAATCACACACCCACAAGAGATGCAAAGTCTTCACTGTGCTGTGACCCCGCCACTACAGAGCAAGAGCCACTTCTTCCTGAGGAGCACCAACACCAGCTGTTTACCAGCACTTTCTTTCTTGCCTCAGCCCAAAGCAGCTATGCACCTGCGAGCTCAGCCCCAAGCAGCAGCAGCAGCTCCGCACCTGCAGCTGCTCGGCTTCTTCCTCCTCGACGCGCCGCGCTGGCCCCGCTCTTCCGCGCCGCTGCTGATGCGCACTCTCTACCCTGCTCAAGCCTCCACGCCTCCGGCCAGCTAGGGTTCAACCGTCGCCTGCCGCCGGCCGGTCGGCTCTGATACCATGAAGTTTTTTGGCAGCCAATTTTCTCTGGAAGCTTCACCTTCTCTGTATTGCTATCCTTATTTACATATACATGACTAGATGGGCCCTCTAGCAGATGGGCCAGCACATAAAACACACACATACTGTTGTATTTACAGCCCAACATTTTTTCCCTGTTTCCTCGATTTTTCCCTTCAGTTTATTTTTTGTCAAGTGAAATCCTCGCATGTCACATGGAAGAGAAGAATGGAACGGGTCAAAGTCGTGTTGACTAGGACAGCACGTCGCGGCTGGGCCAGCTTTGGGCTTCCCATGCGCTTGTGTACTGCTTGAGTGCTTGGTAGGCTGGTCAGTGATATTGGGTTTACTTACTTTGCTTAAAATTAATTTCGAGAAGCAGCTAGCTTATGAGAATATTATGAGTTTTTCGGCTTCTGACTTCTTAATTCATTTACAGCAATTTAGATTCTATAACTATAACTTCTTAAAATCTGAAGTTATAATCTGAATGGAAAACTAAACTATATAGGAGAGCTTTTAATTCTGGAAAAACTGTTTAGGGAGCTTTTAATTCTGTAAGAAACTGCAGCTGACAAAGCTCCCTAACCAGACCCATTATATGGCACGGCTTGGGCCAGTTTTGTTTGTCAGCAATGAGCATAAAAGAATGAACCATGCAGACCAGGTAAAATTGGAATTAGTTTGGCTTATTGCTAGTCTCATTATTATTCAATTCGATATTTCAAGCTTCTAACATAGTGCCAGTGTACATTCGACAAAGCATATGCAAAGTTTGTTGCACAGACAAAATTCATTATTATCTCCAAATTACGTAGCGCCGGATATACAATCCTGGCTAAGAACTCAAGCTGGAAGGAACCAAAAATCCCAGCATATTGAAGGATTAACCACAATAGCAGTGACCTGAATCCTCGTCTAGCTAACGTTATGGAAGGAGTCGATGATGGCGTCAGCTAGGTACTCGCATTTAGCCAGGGACAATCCAGCCAACGAAATTCTCCCATCCTTTGTCATGTATATGTGCCATTTGTCGGTCATATTATCACTCTGCAAATACAAACGAATCAAATTAAGAATACTTAGTGTATTGTGTGAATTGCAGTGTTTGCAGTCACATTATATATGGAGAAATCACCAGTCGATAGAAGAATGGAAGTGTTATCTGTGAAAATTTAAAGCATATGTCACCTGAGTTTTGTTCAAGCCCGTGTAGGAGAACATGCCTATCTGCCTCAGAATGAAAGACCAGTCCTTGCCACTGTCGTCCTTTGCAGACAAACTATCATAAAGCTTCTGTCTTACATTCTTGATACGCCCTGCCATTTCTTCCATCTCCTGTTTCCATTCACCAAACATGGTTGGATCCCCAACAACGTTGGCAACTATCCTAGCACCATGAATAGGGGGATTCGAATACATGGGCCGTGCCAATCGTTTCAGCTGGCTCTTCACCCTGCAAGGAAAGGAATTTCAGTTAAAAATAAGCTTTGCAGTGTCACAGTAAGAGTACTATTTTGTATTGATTCATACAAAGCAACTGTTGCAAACATTAGGATGGCATTTTTGCACATGGCATGTACTTTGCATGGAAGCTGTGTATGCCTGTATGGTATGCACGATAAGCAAGAGAGGATCAAGGAGGGAAGTTACCAACCAGGAAAATCAACTATGATGAGTTGGTTTGGTGTCTTTGTCCAAACTGGAGTTATATAGTTTAATTTTCTTACCGAGTTTGTAAAATCACACGGGCTAGATGAACTAGCGCTAGTCAAATCTGAGCTCACGTTACAAATCTTAAGTTGTCCTTGTGTGGTCCTAGGACTCTCGTGTGTGTGCAGGCTTATATAAAAAGCAAAGTAAATGCCATGTACCAGTATTCATGAGATTTTCCACACTGGATATGTTGTATACCACTGAAGTGGATCAAGAACTGTGGTTCTTATGCCACATGTTGATTTAAGAGAAAATTTGAAGTATACATCTTGTCTGTGGAGTTTTGTTTATGGTTAACATCAAATTCAGTGCTTTGCTTGTTTGGGTTGAGACCAATTATTGTTGCTGGTGGTTTCTTTTCTGGAGTAAAAACTAGTGTCTATTAATCTGTACATAACACTAATTTCCAAGAATTTACAACATTTTTTGCCTGGATGAAATTTGCTTAGAAGTCTTGTTAACCTACCATGAAAAATCAAGTTGCTTTGCACATCAATAAGAGGTTGGTCCATATTACCCACTAAACAGAATAATCTATTATTAACATTCGCTGCAATAACTGGATAGAAACGAACAATTTGACTACGAAGGCAATCATTCAGATTAAAGTATCACCTGTTTGCGACTTCAGGTGTTGAGCAGACAACATTTATTGCTCCAATTCTTTCTGCATATAAACCAAGGTTTTTGCTATAAGACTGCGCAACAAACACTTCCAGTCCCCGTTGAACAAAAAGCCTGACAGAAGATGCATCTTCATCAAGGCTTCCACTGGCAAAACCCTGCAGAGAAATATTTGCTAGTCAGTAAGATATTTGTTTTCATGCAGAGAAAAACGAAATAATAAAGTGAGAACATTTCACCTGATATGCAACATCAAAGAAAGGCATGTGTTTCTTCTCTTGAATGACATCTGCAATTTTCTCCCATTGTTCCGGAGTTGGGTCTATTCCAGTTGGGTTGTGAGCGCAACCATGCAGCAGAACAAAAGATCCATCTGGGGCAGCCTATTGGACACACAAATCAATATCACAAACCAATACTCAACACATAGAAATTAACAATAGTAAACAGAAAATTGACAATTAACAATAGTAAACAGACAAGTGACAGGTGTAAATTTCTATGATGGATACATGCCAATTTGAACGACAAAGTTATGCTAAACAATGCTCATCAAGTTTAAAATAGAAAACACAGATAGTAGTATTGAATATAAATGAGTTAGAAAACACGACCTGTATGTCAGCTATCATTCCCTCAAAATCCAAGCCAACAGTCTTGGGGTCGTAATAACGGTACTCTGACCAAGGTACCTTTGCATCATTGAAAATGTTCTTGTGATTGCCTGTAAGAATATAGATTGGAGTTCAAAGTTTGCCAATGAGACACTCTGCTATGAAAAATGAAGTTGAATGCTCAAAGATTAAGCACATTAATTCACATACATACCCCAAGTGGGAGATGATATCAGTACTTTTGCTTCAGGGAAATATCTTTGTATAAATGCTGCAGCAAGGCGCAGCGACCCGGTTCCTGAGAGAGACTGAAGAGTAGCAACCTACAGAAGGAATTATCATTAAATAATGTTTACTAAATATAAGGACATGCTTCGCTGTAGCAGCATTCCAGAAAATCTTAGTATTTACAAAATAAGTACAGCAAGAGCTGCATAGGCCACAGCACATACACGTCCTTGCTTGAGTACTGGATTATCAGCTCCAAACAATAGTTCTGCAGTTGCTTTGTTAAATGCAGCTAAGCCTTCAATTGGCAGATACTGCACCAAAAAAAACATAATTTTGTCATCAACCTTCAGAAACAGAAATACAGAAAACTCCAGAAATAATTCCTTATAATCCAGCTACTTGAATTTGAAGGAAAATACACCATACCTCCTTGTTTTCTCCTTTCTCCAACATAAGAGTTTCAGCCTACCACGTGTAAGAATAGTGTGTCACAACAAGAACTGAGTTATATTAAGGAAATGATAGGTATTATTAGACTTACCTTCTTGACCACATTGAGGACATAAGGCTGTAACTCTTCTGTTCTATAGGCACCAACACCAAGGTTGAGCTTCAGATCATTTTGATCTGCCTTAAATGCTTCTGAAACCCCGAGAATTGGGTCTGGAGGGGCCATCGGCACTCCTTCAAAACGAGAGACATCTACTGCAAGGGCCATCATGACACGTCCAAAATTCTGCAACAGAATAGCAATGAAAGGATGTTAATCCAAAGCACAACCATATGCTGAAGCTTGACATGGAATAAATCTCGATACAGTCAATTTTATATTTCTCAAGAGTTGAGAGTTCCTAACAAACATAAAATATCAGAATTCCGTTACAGGATCAAAACACCATGCCTTTCCAATGAAGGCCATCGCCAAATTTTATTAGCAGCTTGATAATTAGTCATGCTTCAGCAGCTGCGTGTTCTCAAGTCTCAACCGATTTCTATATATCATTTCGATTTTATTTTCTACATCAAAGAGCTTTTAGGTGTCAACATATGACAGTATGGATTCAAAACCTTAATTAAGAGCCACCCATCCCTGATTAGAAGAGCTCCAGGAGCATTAAATTAGCAGAGATATCATACCCAAAAAGCAGATAAACTCCTGAATCGTGAATTACTATTATTGTCGTAAAAGAGATCACAGTGCCAACTGACAGGTAGTCATTCATAGTGAAACCAAACAAACCATAATTTCTAATCGAGGGAGGAAGCAATCAGTATCACTATTAAATCACAGATAAGATAGACGATAGAACCCATGTCCATCCAAAACAAACCATCAACTAAACAAGCTAGAGGCAGAAATCATAATCCAAACAGGCGACCACCTTCCTCGTGATCCCCAGGCGGCATCCAGTCCTCGCCTCGCTCCTCCCTCCTCGCAACACCTGCGAGCACCAACGAACCGCGGCATGAGTTAATTAAAAAAAAAATCCAAATCCAAATCAAGGAAACCAAACACAGAAGATGAGTAAGACGAGTGTCCCGTGCCTTGGAGCGCGCGGCCACGGCGGAAGCCGCCGGTGAGGAGGAGACGGCGAAGGGGGCGGAAGCCATCTCCGGTGCAGCCGTGGAGAGGGATCAGGGGGGGGCGTTGCTGGTGCAGTGCGCAGTGGAGTGTGGAGATCGATCGAGGAGATGGAGGGATCAAGCGGAGGAGGAGGAGGAGGAGAGCGGGTGGATGGTGATGGCCTTGGAGTCTCCGTCACAACTGCGGCTGCAGAGGATGGAGTGGAGTTGGGTTGGACGGGTTTCGCGTGACGCCTTGCGGCCGCTCAGATTCCTGGGAAAATTCAGAATCGGTGGGATGTGGGGGCTTGTTGGTTTTTTTACCAGAACAAAAAAAACTTTACACCCATCACGTGGTTTAATAAAAAATCAATTACATGTGTAAATTACAAGATAATTTTTTAAACCTAATAATTGTACCATGATTTAATAATATGGTGCTATAGTAAACATTCACTAATGATGGATTAGTTAGACTTAATAAATTTATCTCGCAGTTTCCATGCGGAATCTATAATTTGGTTTGTTATTAGACAACGTTTTAGTACTTCGAATGTGTGTTCGTATATTCGATGTGACACCCCAAAATAAAAAATTTTGCCATCTAAACCAGCCCTTACGCACGTTATATAAAAATTGGCTAATATCAACCGACTCTTTTTTTTTACAAACCAAGATCTAATGTTTTCACGAAAACCATTTGGTTTTGAGGATGGCAGCCTCCCTCGCAGATGCGACCGGTGGCCTTCTTCCCCTTCTCCCCTCTCCTTCTCTAGATGCAGCGGGGTGGCCGTCGTTGTCGTTGATCTTGGCACCGAAGCCGGTGGCATGCGTCGTCTGAGCAAGCGGTGAGACAGCTTCGAGATTGCCCTCAACATCAGAGTTGCCATCTTGCTTCTCTCCTGTGCTTGGTGGCAGCGACGACTGTGGTGGAGGTGGTGTCGTCGACGGCATATTTAGACTTGGAGGAGCTCGTTGGCCTCCCTGCCTTCTCCCTCTCCATGCAGTTGAGGTGATGTTGGCAACGGCGAATTTGGACTTGCCACTCTTCATTGGAGGAGCCTCCTCGCCGCCTCCATATCCGTGTGGTGGATGTAGTGTTGGGCGACGATGGATTTGAATTTTGCCCCCTCACCGGCCTCTTTGCTTCCTCTCTCTCCGTGCACACTCACTGGGCTCTCCGTCCCCTTGGCAGGCCTCCGCACTAACTCCGGATAGCTTTGGCTCGTCGGCGAAGAGAGGAGATAGAGGTGGAGGAAGTGGGTTAGTGGGTCCCACTATTTTTTATCTTTTTTGTTTGACTGATATATGGCTCCGCATATTATGTTTTATTTTTTTTCAAGTCATATCTTTTTATTTTTTTTTCGGGATCAAATTATCATATAAGCGTCACGTCAATATCACGTGAGACAAAAACCTAGTTAAAGGAGCAACGTAGGCATCACATCAATCAAAACTACGGACAATACCGTCAAGGGATCTTATTTTCGCTGGTTTTATAAGTTATATGATATACTGTGTGTGGTTTTACGGTTCAACGACGGTTTTATAACTCCGCGACAAAAAAATGAGAGACCCCAACTATACTTTTTACTCTAAAAATCGGCAAATCGCCATGCTTTTGGGCCAAAATGGCACATTCTACTCCTTTAGCACCCTGCTATGAGAGCCCAGGCCCACAAAAACCGGCCTGCCTAGCTGCCTCTCCGGTCTCCTACCCTACCCTACCTCCCCAGTTTCCCGCCAAATCTCCCCCAGTTTCCCGCCAAATCTCCTCCTCTATTACCCTCTTCCCGCCACTTCTCCGGCGTCTTCCCCCCTTTCCCCGCCGCCCGCGCACCCACGCGTCTCTCTCCCTCTCTCTCCGCCGCCGCCGCCGCCGCAGCCAGCCAGCCATCCAGCCATGTCGGGTTGGGACGAGGGCGCCGTCTTCTACAGCGACCAGGCGCAGTTCCCGCGCGGCGGCCCCGGCGGCGACCCCTCCGCCGACCTCACCCGCCACTCCGCCCTCCGCAAGTTCAAGGAGTTCCTCCGCGGCTTCACCGGCCCAACCGGCGACTTCCCCTACCGGTGCGCCCCCCCTCCCTCCCAGATCTGGTGCCTCGTCGGATGGTCGAATTCGCTCTGACCAATCCAGTGTGTTTTTGTTTGATGGTTGCAGCGAGAGCCTGGTGCACAACCGCGACCATGTCACCGTCGCCATCGAGGACCTCGACGCCTTCGACGCCGAGCTGTCCGACAAGATCCGGAAGTCTCCCGCTGATTACCTACCGCTGGTGTGTGCTGGTTCTTTCTGAATTTTTGTTGGCTCTGGGTTCTGTTGATGTCAATTTTTTGTGTTAAGATTTAGGGTTTTGTGTAGTTTGAGACGGCTGCGTCCGAGGTCCTCGCGAGCCTTCGGTCCAAGGTCGCTGGAGAGACCGGCGAGATGGAGGAGCCCGCCACCGGCGACGTGCAGATCTTCTTGTCCTCAAAGGAGAACTGCCTGTCCATGAGGTCTATTGGGGTCAGTTCTGAAACGATTTTGTTAGTAGCCTTGTGAAGAATTTCAAATTGACACAACTGTATTCCAAATTCCAGGCGGATTACATGTCCAAGCTGGTGAAGATTGCCGGGATCACAATCGCCGCGTCGAGGGTGAAAGCTAAGGCCACTCATGTCACGCTGCTCTGCAAGAACTGCAGAAGTGTGAAAACGGTGCCGTGTAGGCCTGGCCTTGGTGGGGCTATTGTCCCACGATCGTGCGACCATGTTCCTCAGGTCTAACTCCGGCTAAACATAATTGGGTTATTGTCTTGTTTGTGTTTTAATTCTGATGTATATGAGTGAGTTTTCTTTACCATTTTTCAGCCTGGAGAAGAGCCTTGCCCCTTGGACCCCTGGATTGCAGTTCCAGATAAGAGCAAGTATGTGGATCTCCAGACCCTCAAATTGCAGGAAAATCCTGAGGTTTGTTACTGCATTATATGTCCTCGCTGCGATGCTATGGTTTTCTAGGTTTATTGGTTATATGTCCTTAGGATTTAGCAATCACCAAGCTGTATATTACTTGGTTAACAGGATGTTCCAACTGGTGAGCTCCCGAGGAATATGCTGCTGTCCGTAGACAGGCATCTTGTTCAGACCATTGTTCCTGGAACTAGATTAACTGTAATTGGTATCTACAGTGTCTACCAAGCATCTGCAAAGTATGTTGGATCTAAAACATCTGCTCAGTTTGTTTCCATTTTGTTGAGCTAGACTACTTGCATAGCTGATGACGCTCAAATATTCATTTTGCAGCCAAAAGGGTGCTGTTGGAGTCAAACAGCCTTACATTAGAGTTGTGGGGTTGGAGCAGTCCCGAGATGCCAACTCGAATGGTCCCTCAAATTTTACACTTGATGAGGTAGATTGCTTTGCCAAAATTCCAAGTTTCTTTTTTAAGAGTGTTACAGCATATTTACAATGTTAATTTTCTTGTTGGTTTGTAGGAAATGGAATTCAAAGAATTTGCACAGAGGCCAGATGCATATGTCAAGATTTGCTCAATGATTGGCCCTTCAATTTATGGCCATTCTGATGTCAAGAAAGCTATTGCATGCTTGCTGTTTGGTGGCTCAAAGAAGGTATATTTTTGATCTTATCAGTGGCTAATATGTGAAAATACAAAGTTGTGTTGGATCCAGTGGCTAGTTGGAATGAGCTGTAACTAAACTTTCTTCTATGGCAGAGGCTACCGGATGGTGTCCGTTTGAGAGGGGACATTCATGTCTTGCTGCTGGGTGATCCATCAACAGCAAAATCACAGGCAAGTGTTTTTTCGCTATTAGAAATGAATTATCTCTAGTCCAGTGACATGAAACTGTACATTCCAACAGTTCCTCAAGTTTGTGGAGAAGACAGCGCCGATTGCTGTCTATACATCTGGGAAAGGTTCATCAGCAGCTGGTCTCACAGCGTCAGTAATTCGGGACGGTAGCTCTGTAAGCTTGTCTTCCCTGCAAGGATTATTGTGTTTACTCAAAGTTCTGTTTCCTAGAACTAAAAGACTTATTTTCCCTGTACAGCGAGAGTTTTATTTGGAAGGAGGGGCCATGGTTTTGGCTGATGGTGGAGTTGTTTGTATTGATGAGTTTGACAAAATGAGGCCTGAGGACCGGTAAGCATTGATCTATAGTCTTCTTTCTAGAAACTAAAATAAGCATTGCACATGTAATTTTTCCTTACTCTTCAAAGTTGAAACCATATTGAGTTACCTTTATGCTGTGATTCCAGAGTTGCAATTCACGAAGCAATGGAACAGCAGACCATCTCGATTGCCAAAGCTGGCATTACAACAGTACTCAATTCAAGGACCTCGGTACTAGCAGCTGCCAATCCAATTGCAGGGCGCTACGATGATCTTAAGGTCAGTCAAAGTTTTTATTATTGACTTGTACTATTTTCATATTTTGAAAATGTATTAACAGTTCTAGCCTTATATGCAAGGCAATCAGTTTGACACATTTTCTATTGCTACTCCTCAGACTGCACAAGATAACATTGATCTGCAGACAACCATCCTTTCTAGATTTGATCTAATCTTTATTGTTAAAGATGTCAGAATGTATGATCAAGACAAGGTATGACGCATTATTCTTTGTCCAGCTCATTGATGTGCTTCAGAGACTAAATAAACTTCCAATTGCAGCGAATTGCAAGCCACATCATTAAGGTGCATGCCAGTGGTGCTGCTGCTTCATCCAAGAATACAGATGCTAGTGAAGGAGAGAATTGGCTAAAAAGGTGTGGTTGGCCTTCTATGTTCTGATATACATACTACACAGTTTTGATATGATGTTCTTGGATTGTAAATGCATAATCCTCACATGTGTAGGTACATTGAGTATTGCCGTGTTACTTGTAAACCACGACTCTCAGAAAAGGCAGCAGAGATGCTTCAGAACAAATATGTGGAGATTAGACAGGCACGTGCTAAAGATTTTTCACTTAGTCTAACTGTTATTAAGACTGTTCTACTTATTTATTTTTTTCATTGTGCAGAAAATGAGACAACAAGCTCATGAAACAGGGAGGGCTGCAGCTATACCCATCACTGTGCGGCAGCTTGAAGCCATTATACGTTTGAGTGAATCTCTTGCAAAGATGAGATTGTGAGAATATAGCATTACTATACATTTGACATTTCTTTTTGCGAGTAGCTCAACTAGCAGTATATTTATATCTTACATTTTTCACATATTGGCTTTTATTTCCAGTGGGTCATAACTTACATGTTTTATAATGTTCCTAATTGGCACTTTGAATAATTATCAGGACAAGTGTGGCTACACCAGAGCATGTTGAAGAGGCATTTAGGCTGTTCAATGTCTCCACTGTTGATGCCGCAAGATCTGGAATCAATGAGCATTTGAACCTATCACCAGATATTGCAAATGAGATCAAGGTTAATCTTCCCATCCAAAAGTGAACTGCCAACTTGTCAACTTTGTTTTCTGAATTTTGTTGCCCATTTTGTTCCAACAGCAAGCTGAGGCACAAATAAAGAGAAGGATGGGAATTGGAAGCCACATATCCGAGCGACGCCTGATCGATGAACTAAATAGGATGGGGATGAATGAATCCATTGTGAGGAACCTGTCATACTATTTGCTATTTAATTAATTGATTTAGTATCATTTTTCTTATGCTACCATTCGGCTGCTTCAGGTGCGAAGAGCCCTTCTGATCATGCACCAAAGGGATGAAGTGGAGTACAAGAGAGAGCGCCATGTCATTGTCCGGAAGGCTTGAGGTGAACTGTGGAGTATTTATAAATCGAGGACAACTTCTATTCAGACTGTATAAGGCTATGAGTTCACTGAAACTGTAATCTCTGGGAGAAGACAAGGACATGTTTGAGTTTCGGTTGATCACTGACATGACCATTGTAATCTGCAAGAGTAGAAGAAATGCACTCCGTCCTTGATGAAACTGTAGTTAAACTACAGTATTAAAGATGTAACTGTAGTGAAACCATGTAACCAGGGTTCTGAAATGGCTAATGTATTAAACTACAGTATTAATTCATGGATATAAATGGCTAATATTCTGCAGTGCCCAGACAAGAATTTAAAGGAGCAGAATTCAGCTGAGTAATCAGGGCATGTTTTTGCTGGGTCAAAACTGATGATGATTGACTAAACAGTAGTATACAGACTGAGTTGAGGCAAAGTTGATAGACTGCAAATCTGCAATGGGAACAATAACATTGCCAAAAAAACCGGCTTAAAGCCAAAATCTTACAAATAACTTGACTATACTCAAAAGTGCACCACCTGTTGTATCGGGAACTATTCCCTGTTAACAAAATACAAAGAAGGGAAGAAACATCTATGTCAAAACACAAGTCGAAACCCCCATCTCCAAATAACTTGCAGATGGGGAGGAGTAAAACACAGGTATGAACAACAACAACAACACATCGATGGCATGCTGTATGTTACACGGTGTAGCTCTGTTGGATTGTGTCGATGTCGAGCCCCTTGAGCTTCACCACCGACTCTACGTGCCCCTTGAGCGTGTGCAACTCCCTCAGTCTGTCCATGGAGATGAGAAATCAAGCAGTGTGCTAGCTAGAAAGTTGAACATTGGTTGGTTGCAGTACAGAGAATGTACTACATCGGTCCCGTAATATAGAAGCGTAGTACCGGACAAGACATTCTACTAGTAGTAATCTAGATAATGTCTTATCTATGTACTACCTCCGTATTTCAATGTATAATGCTGTTAATTTTTTAAACAACGTTTGTCCATTCGTCTTATTCAAATTTTCTGTGCAAATATAAAAATATTTATGTCATGCCTTAAAGATTATTTGATGATAAATCAAGTCACAATAAAATAAATGATAATTACATAAATATTTTAAATAAGACAAATGATCAAACGTTGATAAAAAAGTTAAGGGAGTCATAGGGAGTACTGTATTATTATAGGGAGCGTATCCTATGCACACAGGCCCTCGCGTGTACGCACCGTGTACACCAACTAAAAATTATCACAAAAAATTTTAGAAAAATTCATACATGTACTTTCAATAGTATTACATCTACGTGCAAAGTCGCATCTTCAAATTTATTCTACATAGAGAATAACAAAAAAGATAAAATTCTAACAAAATTGCAACCTTAAAACTGTCAGATTCTTTGTTTTTTTTGTTACGGCTAAAATATAATGAATTTGACGTTAAGATTTTAATCTTAGGTGTAATACAATTGAAAGTATGTGTATGATTTTTTCTAGATTTTTTGGTGACATTTTTTAGTTGGTGTGCACGTGTGTACACGTGAGGGCCTGTGTGCATAGGATATGTTGCCATTATTATATCATGGGATAGAGCAAGTTTTTACCTGGCGACCTCGGCTCGCTTTGCGGCCTGCTCGGCGATCTCGGAGAGCTCGCGGTAGCCGGTCTTGTCGTTGAAGAGGTCGGAGCTGGTGGACGACTGGTTGAGCCCGTGCAGCGTCCTCTGCGCCGTCGCCCACTGCGCCTCCCGCTCCCCCTTCCCGTAGTCGTTCTTGTTCACGAACGCCGTCTTGTTGTTGATGTTGTTCCACGCCCGCCCGCTCAGCGCGTACCGGATGATGAACTTGAGCACGTCCAGCGGGAAGTAGGTCACCACGCTGAACGCCCAGATCGCCCCTCCCCACCCCCACCCGATCCCCTGCATCTTGCAGAACTCCCACTCCGCGTACACCGCGATGCACGTCGCCACCAGCTGCGCCGCCAGGAACGCGATCACCAGCAGCGCCCCTGGCCTCTCCACGAACGACCAGCTCCGCGACCTCGTCACGAAGATGAGCGCCTGGCTGATTATGCTCACCTTTGTTTCTCGAACACGTAAAAAGATTGCACGTCAATATATCAGAAGAAAAGAATATATGTTACTCAACGCACTAAACCAGACCGACTTATATCAAAAGAGGAGGGAAACAAAAAAACCAAGGGAAAAAAAAAAGACTCGGATACTACGACTCCAAACAGCGGGAAGGGGGCAGAGCCCACCACTCTCCCAGGTGATTATGCTCACCTGCAGGTACAGCGCCGCCATCATCTCCTTCTCGTTCGTCTTGATCGACCTCACCCCGAACGTCTCCTGCGTTTTTTTTTCCAGTCATTTTATAATAGGAGGATACAAAGGAATCAAAGAGGCTCTGCTCTAAGAGAACGTATAAAATGTACTATGTGTTTTGTAATACTGTGAAGAAGTCGGTGTCGTGCGCGAGGTAGAAGAAGAGGGCGGTGATGAGCGCCATGTACGTGCCGAGCACGATGCCCGTGGCGAAGATCTCCTTGAGCTTCCACGAGTCCGGGGTCGGGGACGGCTTGACACGGTCCTTGGAGATTGTCATGATGGTGCCGTCGTTGAGGATGGCGATGATGAGCACCATGAATGGGGCGAAGTCGAACTTCCAGAGGAGGGCGACGAGCATGAAGCCGAGGACGATGCGGATGGTGATGGAGACGGCGTAGATGGTGTAGTTCTTCATCCGCTGGAAGATGGCGCGGGAGGTGAGCACGGCGCTGACGATGACGCTGAGCCCCGGCTCCGTGAGCACGATGTCCGACGCGCTCCGGGCGGCGTCCGTGGCGTCGTCGACGGCGATGCCGATGTCGGCCTTCTTCAGCGCCGGCGCGTCGTTCACGCCGTCGCCGGTCATGCCGCAGATGTGCTTCCGGTCCTGGAGGCGCTTCACGATCTCGTACTTGTGCTCCGGGAACACGCCGGCGAAGCCGTCGGCCTTCTCGATCAGCTCGTCGATGGGGAGGCCGCTCATCTCGCTGCTCTTGTCGCCCAGCAGCGTCGTCGACGGGTACATGTTGGTGCCCATCCCGAGCCGCCGCGCCGTCTCCTTCCCGATGGCGAGCTGGTCGCCGGTGATCATCTTCACGTTCACGCCGAGGTGCAGCGCGCGGCGGATGGTCTCCGCGCTGTCGTGCCTCGGCGGGTCGAACAGCGGCAGGAGGCCGACGAACTGCCATGGCTCGCCCTCGCTCTCCTTGCTCTTCTCCGGCACCTTCTGGTACGACACGCCCAGCGACCGGAGGCCGCGGTCCGCGTACTGGTCGATCAGCGTGTGCACCTTCTTCTCGGCGTCCTTGCTCATCTTGCACAGCTCGATGATCTGCTCCGGCGCGCCCTTGCTGATCCTGTGCCATTCGCCATTGCCGTCGATGTAGGTGATGGCCGTGCGCTTCTCGACGGGGTTGAACGGGAGGAAGTGGACCTCCTTGATGCCGGCGCGGGCCTCCTTGGGGTCGGCGAGCATGCCCACGATGCATGTGTCAATGGCGTCCTGGTTCTCGACGCGGGACGCCCTCGCCGCGTACAGGAGCACCGAGTCCTTGTCCAGCCCCCGCCCGTACACCTCGATCAGCGTCTTGTCGACGGTGAGCTTGTTGAGCGTCAGCGTCCCGGTCTTGTCGCTGCAGAGCACGTCCATGCCGGCCATCTCCTCGATGGCGGTCATCCGCTTGGTGATGGCGCCCTGCTGCGACAGCCGGTGGGAGCCGATGGCCATGGTGACGGACAGCACGGTGGGCATGGCGATGGGGATGCCGCCGATGAGCAGGACGAGCAGGTTGTCGATGCCGTCGCGGTACGCGCGGTGCTGGATCGGGTACATAACGATGATCTCGATTATCATGCCGACGCCGATGGAGATGATGCAGAAGTTGCCGATGGCCGTGAGCACGAGCTGGAAGTGGCCGATGTTGTTGGTGCTGTCCACCAGGTGCGCCGCCTTGCCGAAGAAGGTGTGCACGCCGGTGGCGATGACGACGGCCTCGATCTCGCCCTGCTTGACGGTGGACCCGGAGAAGACGCCCTGCCCGGCGTGCTTGTTGACGGGCATCGACTCGCCGGTGAGCGCCGCCTGGTCGACCTTGAGCGGGTCGCCCTCGAGCAGCCGCGCGTCGGCGGGGATGATGTCGCCGAGCTTGATGCTGATGATGTCGCCGGGAACGAGGATGGACGCGTCCTGCTCCTGCCATTTCCCGTCCCTGAGCACCTTGGTCTTGGGCGCGAGGCCGGCCATGAGCGCCGCGGCGGCGTTCCCGGCATTGTTCTCCTCGATGAAACTGATGGTGGAGTTGATGACGAGGAGGACGACGATGCCGACGAAGTCCTGCCAGTCGGGCGGCCTCCCGCCGCCGTTGGCGAGGACGATGGCCATGATGGCGGCGGCCTCCATGACCCAGGAGAGGGGATTCCACATGAAACCCAAGAACTTGAGCAGCTTGCTCTCCGTCTTCTCCTCCAGCTTGTTTGGCCCGAAGATGTTGAGCCTGTTCTGTCCCTCCGCTGCCGACAGCCCCTGCTTGCTGCATTTCAGGTGCTGGAACACCTCCTCCACCGGGATCGTCTCCTGCAAACAAACAAACAAAACAAGAAAAAAAACTAAGAACGAACGCACAAAAGAATTGCACGACTGTATATATTACGTACGAGGTCGACGGTCTCATTGCGGACGTCCTCGAGGGAGATGGAGGCCATGGGGGGGAGGGGAGGACGGGTTTATTAGTTTGGTGGTGAGTGATGAGGTGGGGTGGGGTGGGGGGGGAGGGGGAGGGCTTCGCCCTCAGCCGCAGCCGCAGCCGCGCGGACGGCGCGCGGTGGTGGTGGAGGGAAGGAGTACGAGGCTTTGCCTCGGTGGGGGTGGGGGTCAGTCCGAGCGCGCGCGCGCGGCTGGGATGGAAGGACGGAGATGGCCGTGGCACCGCCTCGCCGCCTCTTATAAGCAGCGGGGACTCGGCAACGTTGCGCGCTCCACTAGCGGCTTTGGATTTGCATGCGTGTCTCCCCGGGCGCGACGCGCGGCTGGCCTCCCGTTCGCCGCGCCTGCCGTCCGTCCGCACCCACCGGATAGGCTTGATTGCTGGCCAATGGCCATGCATTGCAGCACGTTTGGTGGTTTTCGTTGCGGCCGGACGGCACGGACAAGTTCGTCCCGAGTCGTCTACCGTGTCAGATCAACGTCTTTTGGTTTTCAAACCTTTTTTTTTTGTTGCGGCCGGACGACGGGACGACACGGAGAAATTCGTTCCGGAGTCGTCTACGTGTCAGACCAACGTCTTCGGTTTTCCAAACTCGTTCCTATCGTACGGCCTTGCACCAAGGAGACGTACCAGGATATATAGGGATGGCATTTTTTGTCGATGGATCCGCCGGATACACACACGAGTGTAGGTGCGATTTTTTTTGCTTGTGGGTACGTACGTTCGCCCGATACCCTAAGCGACTGGTGTCAATACACTTAGCATCCTACAATAAAATACTACGTCCATCCCAAAATAATTGTAATTCTATGTTATTTAGCATATATAAATATTTGAGAAGAAAGCATATGATACCTCTCATTAAATAGTGTTTATATGAGAGTGAGAAGATGGTTGATGGTAAAATAAGGAGAAATTTGAATGAGATCGATGGGACAATTAGAACTCTAGAATTATAATTATTTTGGGACGAATTTTGAATCTTAGAAATACAATTATTTTAGGACGGAGGTAATAGCCTTTTAAAGGGAAATTAATGAGTAATCACTCAATGACTTACTTCTTTCAATAATTGATGGCAATACACTTAGCATACAAGAGATTTTGTCGCGGCCATAAAATTTCCTCGTGGGCTCGGCTAGACAACCCATGCGGCTATGGCAAACGTGACCTTGGGCTCATAAAGGCAAACGTAAACTCGTCTTACGCAGCAAGATGTGTATATCAATTTGCAGTCGGCGTCTAATTCAAAGGCCAGTGGAATGAAACATCAGTCGGAACAATCTCAACAGAGAGAACGAAATGATTCGGCACCGAAATGTAGAAGTGTGCTCACAGCTCAGGCAAGATTATTAGTATGTAACTTGGCATAAAACCTAATGGACAGATCATTGATGTCAAACTGAGCTGTAAGACAAATGGACAGAAGTCCCAAACTTGGCCCTTAGTAGACGAATCAATAATGACATCATTTACACCAGTTCGTACGTCATATAATTCACAGTAATGAACTAGCATGTAGTCTCATACAAACATAGCCAAACCATATGATCGAGTTCAGCATAAAAGGTTAGGCATTGAATCATACAGTCAACCCAAACCTAAAACACACCTTGCACTGCTGTGACAAACAAGACCCCATCCTTAAGCTAGTACACTCTTCTGAGCTACGAACCTAGACAGACCATCCAACCAAAAAAAAGCATCATCGCCATGTATTATATCCATGTATTCTCAAGTAGAATAGAACACCAATGAAACAAGCATAAACAATCCTTTAGTGCGTGTCTCGGTCAAATAACCATAGTTCACAACAGAACACAAGCATTACAGCATGGAAATATAAAGCCTAAACATAACCAAAGTCTTCTATGATTGATAGAGAATCCATGTTGGTATTAACAAGCACATGAATTGACTACATTCAGTTTAACATGGATAGAAGTAGAACACAGCAAAAAAAAAAAAGGTAACACTACTGTTGTACGACCAAAAATGTACACTCCTGCAGATTATGGCCGTGGAGTGTTTGCTCCACACATCTAAAAATATGCTTTCTCAAAAAAAACTTACTGCATTGTGTAACCCTCATGTTCTACACTATTTGTTCATTTTGTTTCTAAAAATATTAAATTCATCCCTATGATCAAGTAGATAATCAGCTGAATAATCTGTTTCAAACAGTCCCAAATGAGGCCACTGTTCAATAAAGAGATCAAGTAACTATCTGAGAGTGATGGTTGCCAATTCGTAGACAATCACAATTTGCAACATTATAACAGTCAGAAAATAAGTTGCATTAGTTTCAATTGCATAGCATTGCACCAATGGTAGAGGCACAATATTAGCTTTGTTTCCTAGAAGGACCATTGCAAAACCACGTAATCCACATAAACCCCATACATACAATTGGTACAAGCACAATATTAGCTTTGTTTCCTAGAAGGACCATTGCAAAACCACGTAATCCACGTAAACTCCATACATACAAAAGAATTACTATCAACAGCTTGACCTGCCTAAGGATCCCACTCCATCCCAAAATATTGCAACCTATAACTGGATTAGACACATCCTAGTCCAACAAATCTAGACAAACCCCGCATCTAATCCAATCCTAGGTTGCTATATTTTGTGGCGGAATGCTTTTGGTAGGATGGAATAACAATGGAGCAATCATACTCTAACAACGGCCCAATAGAATAACAATGGAGCAATCATACTTCCAACGATATTGAGAACAAATCACCCCTCCAGCTATGCAATAACAAATTTAAAAATGAAACAGAATAAGCCTGTGAAATAACTTCAAAAGACATATATTGGAATGGTTCCTTTACTCAGCACAGCATAGCATGGTATCCTCAGTAAACCAGAGTACAACTACACTTAACATTTCAGAAAACCTTAATAAAAAGCATCCTGGAATCACATCCTAAGCTTGCATAAACACTGAAACATCCATAAAACAAAATGATGCAGATAACTCAGTAACCCTAGCCTCCGCAGGCAGCAACCGGTGCTACCTCCTGCTCAGAACCCAAGCTTGGTGCGGCGCCAGTGCCTGCGCTTCGCGTTGTACCTGAACAACACAAACCAAACCACGACATCTCAGCGGATATGCCTAAGCCGAATCGAACTCGGGAGGAGCAAAGACTGAGCGCGAAGAATAAATCACCTGATGGTGTTGTCGGTCCGCATGCGGATCCAGTAGGGGATGGGGCGGTTCTGGCGCATCTTCTTCGCCAGCTTCTTCTTGATGCGGAAGGTCTTGTGGGACGGCTGCGGCGAAACGAAACAAGCAAGCAATCACATCAACGAAACGTCGGTCGGTCGGCCGGAATGGATTCGACGAGAGAAGAGCGCGAGATCGAGGAGCGTACCATCGTCGCGGCGGGGACGAAGAAGCGGCGGCGGCGGCGGCGAAACCCTAGGTGCGTGAAGTGTGGAAGAAGTGTGTGGCTGGGGATTATATAGTGGGCACCAGTGCGGTTCAGAATGGGCTAACTGGGATGGGCCTTTTTTTCCGCAATTTCTTAATTGGGCTACTTTCCGATGGTTAATTTATGGCTTGTTGGGCTCGTCAACATTGGTAAACTGGGCTTTAAGAGGGTGATACAATAGAAATTTAGGCCCAGATCAAGATTATATTTCGTGGCCCATTTGATTATTACTGAAAGGTCACCTTGTCGTAGTAGGATTCGTAATGAATTTACGCAAAGCAGCTCAATAATTTCCACTCAAAATTAGGAAAATTCTACATTCAGGCAGAATCTTTATATCGTCTTTTTTTTAGAACAGAATCTTTATGTTTTCTGTTGTCAAATCCATCGCTTCCAAGTTCTAAACAAGCTTGAAAAATTATCTTGACACAAGACTAAAAATCTCGAACATTTTCCAACATCTGCAATTAAGAGACTCATGGGTTGGTCTAATAAGCCAAAACAAAAGCAAAAATTAAAATTTTCAAAATTGATTTCGAGTTGATGTTTAGATATTTTCCACGTAATTTTGTTTTAGCGTTGGCTTTTAAATCGTTATGAATAAATATATAAAAATTTTACTTACTTGACGTAAAAAAATTTAGTTACCAATTAATTTTTATTCCCCAATAAGCAACCGATGGGCAGGGTTTTTAAAATTCCAGATGGAGATTTCGGTCATTTCGGACCTCCAATACGATATTATTCCGGCCATCATTTTTTTGAATTTGGTAATATTTTGTTAAAAATTGACCAACATTTGTTCAAAATTTTCCAAGATTTCGGTATATTGGTGACCTATGATAGAATCGGCCAAACCGAATAATTAAACCATGCCTATGAGGCTCCAAAACGCGGCAGTGTTTGTGCTATCGTGTAGTTATAATAATTGGGAAAAAGCGAAGGGGCATGTAGCCTAGTGGTTACAAAAGTCTCAGTAGCACCTAAGGTCCTGGGTTCGACCCCCCATGGGAGCGAATTTTCCAAGATTTAACGGCGTTGACATGGGAGCGAATTTTCTAGGATTTAACGGTGTTGTGCTTTCAGTGTTAGGCGACGTACCCGTCGACAGTGAGGTACCTGTGAGGTACAGGATTTGCCGGGTAGGGTTTACGTGCGTGTGTTCAAAGAACGAATCAAGATTCTATTTCAATCCATTCAACGGGCCTACAGTCACTTAGCAACTGGCAGTTGAATAACAACCGACTCCGTATCATCTACAAACCCAGCTATATGTATGCCCGGACCGCAATTTCCGGAGCCGTCCATTATCTCATTCTTCTCACCTGAAAACCTACATTTTTTTTCGTAGGCACGTCGCAGCTAGACAACTTGATCGTGCGTTCGCGCCCTAAACAACGAGAAGAAAACACAAGATGTCCCTCTCAAAGACAGCTTATGTCGATCTCCTCCTCTCCTAAACGCGTCCTGCACTGCAGGCAAAATGACTGCACAGAGAGCCAGCATGCATGGATGGATGCAATCTTGAACGAGAGACATCGATTCATCGAACATATGGATGGATGAATGCATGAATCTTTGAGGAGACGATAATGCGTCGACGTCTTCATCCCTGTGGACATCGCAATCGCTGGATTGGTTCTTGTCACATGGGGATTTTTCTGGTCGATCGATCGATCGATCTCACTCAGATGCTAGATGATGCAGTGCTGGATGGCTGCCGTCGATCGATCGGTCGCCTGAATTGAATTCACATCTGCCCAATCTCTGCAAGAACATCGCGATCACCGGCACAGGCAGACAGGCAGTCGCTGGCGATCATCTAGCTTATCCCCAGCATCATCTGCTGCATGAGTGGCTGTCTCCGGACCAATGCTAATCTGCTTAACTGATTCTGCTCGTATATGATCGTTAGCCCCGGTTTTATCAGGTCGCAATCGCAGCCATGTGGGTGTTTTTGCGTTCTGTCTGCCATGATCCTCAGGTGAGTTGCATCTTGCATTGCATATCTGCATGCCGTGTTGCCATGCACTCTCACCGGCAGGCAGTTCTCATGCAATTCACCGTGATTTGCAGGGGACAAATTGAAGTTTCATGACGGCATATGAATATATGTGATGCGAACGATGCGTGTCGTGCTGTTCGCTGAAAGTTCAGTTTCTGCATCTCCCCAAAATACAGCTGAATAGCTGAAGCCGTGACAGAAGAAATTAAGGGGAGATATTTTGACTGGATTTTCATTTTTCAGAGTTTTAGGGTGTTTACTGTTCGTCTTAATCTTTGTCAAACGCAACTAGTTAAAATTCATTTAGTAGCAGCCTAGATTGCGTCCCAATCATTAGGTGTCAGTCGGGTCAAGTAAGATCCCACGAAATGCGGATCATTCGCGAGGGCTAATGACTGCAATTGACCAGCAGAAAACTAATTAGCAATCATCCATACATGATCAGGTCTGCTTGATCACTTCAGCAAGCTAACAAGTAATACCCATACCGGACAATGATGGGCGAACTAATTATAGAGTTATCTCCGAATAGACAAGCCGTGTTCATCACAGTAGTCCTTGTGGACAACTTACAATCTTTCTGCAAAGATTTTAAGGTAGCTTAAACGGTTTGCTGGGAATTAAAAAATGACAGAAATTGTCAGAAAAGTGTATCTTTGGTCAAGATATCCTTGAAATGTGAAATGTTGTAGCAGCTGTCTCACATTGAGCCATTGTCCATTTTGGATTACATAGGATGGTTGGGACTTGTGGTTTGACAGTAACATGACTATGTCAGGCTCTACCTGCACCAAGACCAAGTTCGTTATGCACCTGGACCATCGTTTCAGCCGTCAGTTCTTCAGTGTGTGTGCATGCAGCATGTGCAACAGCTGCGCTTGCTTTCAGTGTGCTCCGATCCTGCAGACAGACAGACTAGTGCAGCAAAACATAAAAGACATTGCAGCTAAACAAGTACTGCATCGATCCTGGTTTTTCTCGACTTTGGTGACAGTCTGAAAGAAATTTTCCTCCTGTTTTTTTCGGCAAGAAGGTTGTTAACAAATTGTTAGTTGCTAAATTTCAGTTGATCACTTCTTCTTTTTGCAAAGGGGATGGAACAGATGAGATACAAAAGGGATCTACAAAGAACAGCAGCTATCCACTGTAAAAGCTAGTGAGCTAAAGCTACAGAGCTAGATTCTTTTGCCGGAATGATCCTCAATTTCTTACGTGTCAGGCAGTTAACTATAAGAGAAATCAAGATAAAATTTGTGCAAAAATATGGCTAGGTGGTTTCTGGAGGGCCCCTGAAAGGCTGAAACCAGTGGCCATCTGCAGCGCTCCCTAACAGGACAACAATACAAGAACTGAACTTTGTCCACATTTACAGGCTTACAGCTATACGAGAGCTTATATAAAAAAATAGGCTGTATATATAGCTCCAAGTTTCAAGGTATTGTATTTTCAGGATATGGTAGCTCATTGTTAATAAACCAGTTGTAACTTCAGGCTTCAGTGTTCCAGCCAGCGATCATAGCAAATGTCTGATCAGATTCATCTTCATCGAGGGGATCGATCGGAGCGTGAGCATGCATGCGATTTGCAAATTACCACCATGGATAGTTGGATACTAGCAGTGATGGATCTACCATGGGAGCGACGGCGTGTAGAGTCACCACTACAAGCGTTAAAACTATGAGAGTTTCCATTAAGTCTCACTAAATTTTTTTATCATACACCCATTAAAAAAGAGGGCTATAGTTTTGTATAGTTTCTTCGGCCTCTCTTCTGTTAGTCCTTCCTGAATCCGCGCCCCTGATACTACGTACTACTATGCTCATGAGAGAGCTTGCATTGTCCCTGTCTGTGGAACACTGAAACCCTGCCTATCCTATCTGCGTCGCGCACTGAACTCCACGTGGTGCGAGAGCCATCGAGAGAGAGGCAGCCAGGCCAGCAGCAATGCGGGCTCCAGCTCTCGCTGAGACCGTTGCGCTAGCTAGCTGCAAACACTGCAGCTACTGCAGCCTACGCCATCACACAGCGAGCGCGGTCCAGCCTCCAGGCTATAAGGCTGCCGCCGGCGCCGCAGCGCGTCGTGCGTGCGCTGCGCGAGCTGACGATTCAACGGAGAGACGCACGCACGCACACGGCCGCAGCACATGCGTCGCGATACCATCGCATTGTTACTACACTACGTTCTTCTTCCCGATGCAACGAAAGTTGGCGCGCGCTGGTGATTTGCGCGGTGCTTTTGTCACTGATATGTAAACCCACGAATCATCGGGGGTCCACGTGACAGTGATAAAGTCACGTGACTTCAACGGTAGAGGATCCTTCGTCCGCTCTCTGCACCCCTCGTCCACCAGCTAGCAATTAGCATCGATCAGTGACGCAGTGGAGGTGAACATGCATGATCCATCCATATTCCAGAGACGATTGCAACTCGCGACTCGTCGGCCGGCCACTGATCCATGCTCAGCTCATCTCTCCTAGCTATAGCTATAGCCTACTTAGCTATAGCCAGGGACCATCCATCCGATCCATGCTTGCTTGCATACTCCTCGATGCATCAAGTCCTGATCATCCATGTGCATATATATGCAACTCTCGATTCCTGGTTTTGTCTTTCGGACTCCATCCATATATCTTCAGACTTTGAGTTTGGAGCCAATATATGCAATGTCAGACTGAATTTTGATGCTACATATGGTTGTTGGGAGTAACTTATGGAGGTATTCATTTCATTGGATTAGTGTAAGATATGACGCACTGCTAGTAGCCTAGTACTATTATAGTAGGCTATACACGGATTGGGTACGTAGACCCTATACACATCCATGTAGTAGTAGTCTTATCATCAGTGGATGCCATGTTCTTCCTTTTATCTGCAATGCAGCTTGCAAGGCTTTACCTACCTACCATGCATCACTGACCTACGAGAGGGTTGCAGTATTTATATCGTGGTTAGGTCTAAATTCCTTCTGTTCTGTGCTCACCCGGTCATTGAGTTAGGCGGAGGATTATTCTCGATTCTTTCTAGGATCTCCGTCGTCGATTCGGGCCGTTTTGATTTATAGACAATGATAGAGTATCTCCGTTTTAAAATATATGATACTGACGTTTTAACTTTGGTCAAAGTCAAATTATTTTAAGTTTGACTAATTTTTATAGAAAAAAATAATAATATTTTTAACCCAAGACAAATATATTATGAACATTTATTCAATTATAGATTTAATGAAACTATGCTGATGCTGTAAATATTACTACCTTTTATTTAAAGTAGTTTGATTTTAACCAAAGTTAAAACGTCCTATAACGGAATATTTATTTTAGACATATCATTCAACCATTCATCTTGTTAGAATAATACTTATTTTATTATTAAAAAGTACTTTTGACGTGCAATCTTTTTACGGGTTTACGAAAAAATATTTTTAAATGTACTTTAAATATGATTTATATCCTTTTTTGCGTCAAAAAAATTATATCTTTTTATATTTACGTCAAATTTAAACATATAGTCAAATATTATATCTAAAAATTAAAAGCGTCATATACATGTAGTATTAGCAGCTAGTGCACAGTGACAGTTCCTTGGATACTCTCTTTTGCTTTGAGGTCGATCGATATATTGATCATGATTAAAAATCACAAGCAGAGTGGGGGACAGTTAGCGACGATTTGCGAGTCAACATGCGTAATATTCATTCTTCGAGCATATATTTCGTCGGTGACTTCGAGTCTTCCTAAAAAATTCGGCGACTGAATTGACTGGATTAACTTGATCCACCTTTGTGAAACAATTGCATCGTCATGTGGCGTACGTCAAGATTAAAAGCTCACAAATCTCTATCCTCTGTTCAGAACTAATCAATCATAAAGACCAAGAATTCGACTCCTCTCCGATACTTTTTCTGTACTCGTTTTCAAACAGTTTCAGTTTGATCTGGAATGTCCCAGAAATCGAAGTTACAAACTTAATTAAATACACATCGAAATGGCATGTTCATGTCATGCATGCATGAATGCTGTTTGGACTAATGGCAGAGAATCAAACGACCCATTTGCCATTTAATTGGTCTCTTCCTTATCATCTTTGTATTTAATACAGGGGAGCTATAGCTATAGATGAGGTGAAAGGGAAAGGGTCACATGTGGTGTGTCTGAGACGTTGGGTAGCTAGGTCTAGATCATATCATGCTTATCACATATGTTTAATTTTCTGGATAGCACACACCAAAATTGGATGGATGATAGATGCATGGTGTGTGATCAGTCGCAAGCTTGGAGACAGATGGCTCTTTTCCGTCCATGTGAGGTTTATTTTGTCTGGCTTGCATGTTCTTGGGCAAGGCCACAGGAAAAATGGCGAAATGGCATGATAATCTTCAGCATGATGGGTTGTCTGATAATCAGGGAGAAGAGTCAGTGAGATCAAATGGGAGATTTTTCTTTGCATCTGTCTCTGGATCTCTGCATATCTCCTCTTCTGTGATAAGTAAATCTTTAATCCTGTGATAGGTGAAGTGAACGAAAGTTCAGTCCAGTTTGATCTCTGACAATCCAACTCGATCAGTTCAGACAACCTGTTGAATCTGTGTTTTGAAGGTTGAACCGGTCTTCAAAATACAACTTGGAATACGTGTACGTTGTTCTACTATGGGTTGGTAAAAATTTACTTTAAATACTACAATTTTAATCAAATTTCCAAATAGGTTAAAATTGATTTCTCTATCCATTCATTCCCATATCCGATCAGAATTAAACTATTCAAAGAAACTTCTGTAACATTCCTAGGAAATAGATAAAGTAGTAGTACGCCCATGATGGTCTTACTAGTCAATTTTATTACTATTCCCTATCTAACAAGTAAAACTAAATCAAAAGAATATACAGATCACAGTCACAACTAAAGATCAACCAAACCAAAGCAAGAAGGATCAACCAAACAATCAAACCAAAGCAAACTAAACTAAACAAACGGCCCATCGTTGCACTTATTTTTTTTAAAAAAGCCAAACAACATATTTACAAACGAAAAATAATTTGTAAATACTACTTTTATATACGTGTTCTTAACGATCGCAAATGCTAAAAAATAAACTTCGATGAACATATTCCAAAATCAACTTAAAATTCAATTTTTAACTTATAAGTATAAGTATAAGCGAAAAGACGAGCTTAAAACAGTCTAGTGGGCCCAGTGGCCATACACCCAATGCTACTGAGGCATTTTATGTGGGCCCCACCCGAGCAGCCATCCGAGCAATGAAAAAGATTCCGACGTTTCCCTCCTTATTTATAGCCCATTTCCATGGCTCCCGCACCACACTCCCTCCCCTGCAACCTGGCAACGCGCACCCACGTCGGCGAAGTGCTCGATCACTGCCCCCATTGCCGCCGGCGACGATCACCCGCGAAGCCGCCGCCGCCATAGACAAGCCTACAAGCTGATGGCGAGGCCGCAGCAACGATACCGCGGCGTGCGGCAGCGCCACTGGGGCTCCTGGGTCTCCGAGATCCGCCACCCTCTCCTGTACGTGCGCGCGCGACACCGTCGTCTTCTTCTTCTTCTTCGCCGTCGTCGCCGTGCGTTTCTTGGTTGGTTAGGGGTTCGCTCATGGTGGTGCACCGTGGGGTGATTTTGCAGGAAGACGCGGATATGGCTGGGCACGTTCGAGACGGCGGAGGATGCGGCGCGGGCGTACGACGAGGCGGCGAGGATCATGTGCGGGCCCCGCGCGCGCACCAACTTCCCGCTCGCCGACGCCACCGCGGCGGCGGCGGCGGCCGCCGCGTCCTCGTCGTTCCTCTCCGCCGCGCTCGTCGCCAAGCTCCACCGGTTCAACCTGGCGTCCGTGCAGGCCACGCAGCGGCAGAGGGAGGCCGCCGCCACCGCCGCCGCGGCCTCTTCGGCCTCCGCCACGACGCCGCCGCTCGGCAATGCCGCCGCCGCCGACGACGACGCGCGGACCACCACGACGTACGGCGCGGAATGGAGCGGCAGGTTCCTCGAGGAGCAGCACGTCGAGCAGATGATCGACGAGCTGCTCGACTCCAACTTCTCCATGGAGATCTGCTACTAGCACTGTGTGACACACACACACACACTCTGTTCTTGCACCAGCGAGCACTGCATCCGAATGCATACGTGTTCTTTCAGTTCTTCACCACCACTAGTACGTGTATATTACTACCAAGTAGTATCATTAGTCAGGCTATTTAGCATCCAGCATAGAGTAAAAAAAAATCAGCCTTTATTCAGAATCCTGATCTCGGATTTGCTCTTGATCAGCGTATGAGAATTCTTTTGAGATAGTTGTTGCATTTCCGATCTTCCAATCCGCATTACAGTAGTTTATGCACCAGTGCACCACCAAGCTGAAGATTCTGAATGATTCATAACTGAAAAAACGAACCAATTAATGACGCTCTCCAGAGTTTGCTATCTTAATCCCTGAAGCAATCATATTCAGACAAGAGGTTGATTAGTATGATGATGATTGGATAGAGTTCTGTGTCCCTCCTCAAGCATGACGAATGCCACGACCTGAAATTTTTTTTCTTCTTCTCCTCTAAGCTTGACTCTTCCAAGTAGGCCAGGGGCGGCGCCTTGTTCTCGCAAGCGTCCGAAAACGGCAGATAATTAACGTGGTGATCGATCATGGCGTATGCTATAATCCCTCCGTCGCAAAAAAAAAAGACAAACATAATTTCCGTGTCCAACGTTTGACCGTTCGTCTTATTTGAAAAAATTATGAAAAAAAATTAAAAAGACAAGTCATGTATAAAATATTAATAATATTTTATCATCTAACAACAATGAAAATACGAATTATAAAAAAATTTTATATAAGACGGACAGTTAAAGTTGGACACAAAAATACAGGGTTTGTCTTTCTTTTGGGACGGAGGGAGTAGCTGCTGCAAGAACCGATCATATCATCAGAGTAATGCGGGCGTCCTTTCTTTGTGCGCTTGTGATTGCGAGTGTTGTGACATGAACATGTAACATGAAGACGACGACGACGACGATACGAGAGTAGTATCTAGGGAGGATGCACCTCATCATGGCCGGCATGTGCCTCCACATGACTTGCCAATTCCGGTCAGCCTCTCCCTGAAACTTGCAGGGCATTGTGTGTTTCTGTCAATCACCCCAGTTTCAGGTTCAGGCCGGGATTGGTTGATTGGACCGTGTGGTTGTGTTTAGGTTCAGAGGTTTAGGACCAGGGTTCGAAATTTCAGACCCTCGATATAATATTATTTCGGCTGATTTTTTTTTCATTTTCGTGATTTTGGTAATATTTTGTTCAAATTTAATTAAATTTTATTTAAAAATTCATATAATTTCGGACCGAAATTTCTAAAATTGTCCACCCCTATATAAATGACTAAACCGAAAGATTAAATCCTATTTAGGACAGCGTCTCTGCAATGCCACCACCATGGTTCACAGTTTTGATCAATTTTTGTGAAACCGCTAGGATCCAGTTTGTGAAAACCGATCGATTTCAGCTAGTTTTCGTACGGAGTTGACCAAAAATCAGCAGTTTTTTTTTATCGAAAACGGTTCTCATATTGGAAACGGTGACGTAAACCCTGGTCACCAATGCACCATGTATTAGGTACTTTTGATTCTATTGGAGGCTAATCAAAGAGTGTGTTCTTTTGAGTCTTGACCAGTGATGTTTGCTGTTGCCTGCCTGCTGCAGCTTGCATTCATGTCTGCGTGTCGCGCTGGGCATGATTCAGCCAGCGGCTCGAACTCGGTGCGAAAGCTGCTGCTCCTATCTGCGTTTTCTGAATCGTGTGACACCACTCGATCTTTTGATTCCTTCCTCTGCTGAATCATTTCCCATTTTATCACCGGACATTCAATCTTGTCCATGCACATCCTAAATCTCTGAACTTTCACGTCGTCTGAACTAACGTAGCCAATGTATTACTCCCTCTGTCCCAAAATACAGTGATCACAGAGATATGAAGCTATCTTTCTCCATTGCAAGAATGAAGTGGACTGCAGGTAAACATGAAGCTAGTGATTTGTTACTGATAGTAAGTGGTACTAATCCCCTAGCAGCATTTGTCACTGCTTATGTTACTGTTACTAAAGGTACCTAGGATGGTTTTCCATAGCTGCATTTGTTTTGATTCCGATTTGATGAGCATGTAAACGAGTCACCAGTGACATCCATGACACAGATTCTTTGCTTTTAGCCAGTTTGCTGTCCCAGTCTTTGTGCAGAAAGGAAAGGTAAGTCGCCAGAAGGACACAAAACCTGTTGTTCCTCGAGTTGTTGGGGCCAGCCAAATCCATGGAGATGCACACAGGGAGCAGTAGTTAGGAGTGTGGCTTTTGAGTTCTTCTGATCTCATTGGCCTCAGATTGTCAAGGGGCACATGATTGAGAAAGACAATGGAGGAGTCATCTGCATCACTGCATGCATGATGTGTTTGAGAGACAGAAGCATCCCTTGTGTGTCCTGTCCTGTGCTGTCATTATCCCCATAATTTGAGTGTTCCTCCTATTAGACCAAGTTTAGTAATATAGCCAACTACTAACTCCAAATCATCTATAATCAATTTAATAGCCAATTCATACAATAGTTACCTATAAACATATACTACACTATTGACGCATAGTCCTACCTGTCACACACACTGTGTTTTGGAGTCCGTGTTGTAGCTGACAACAAATATGTAGCTCATTGCTATTCTCTTTTATCTTCTTAAAATATGTTTATATTAGGCTTATAGTCTGCTATTGTACATGCTCTTAGGAGATGGCTACAGTGCTGCTCATTGACAGTTGCCACTTGGTCTTGTTTGGTTTCCAGGGACTTATTCTAAGTCTCTGTCACATCGAATGTCTGTATACTAATTTGAAGTATTAAACATACACTAATTACAAAACCTATTTCATAACCTTGGACTAATTCGCGAGACGAATTTTTTGAGTCTAATTACGCTATGATTTTGACAATGTGATGCTACAGTAAACTTTTAATAATTATGGATTAATTAGGCTTAAAAAATTTGTCTCGCGGATTAGCTCTCATTTATGAAATTAGTTTTTTATTAGTCTATGTTTAATACTACAAATTAGCGTCCAAACATCCGATGTGACATGGGCTAAAAAGTTTTAGCCCCATCTAAACACCCCCTAGCTACATTGTCTCTGTCCATGATCCATCCAATGTAACATCCCGGCCTAGGGCTTAATAGGATTAATAGAATACTCATATCAACAAGTTGCAACTTCTTTTCCGGAATCCAATCTCCAAAGAACTCCAGGGTTAAGCGTGCTTGGTCTGGAGCAATTTGGGATGGGTGACTGACCGGGAAATTCTTCCCGGGTGCACACGAGTGAGGACAAAGTGTGCAGAAAAGACATGTGCGTGTGTGTCGCAGTTGCGCAGGCATGGTGCGCATGGCTGGTGTAGACCGGGAGTGGTTACACAGCATGGCACATGCGCTGGCACTGGACACATGAACGTGGCCAAGAGAGGACGTTCCTGGCCTAGGGTTGATCGACGGGGGCGTCGATCTCTCTTGAGGGGGTGAGGGTGTAACATCCCGGCCTAGGGCCTGGCCTGGGGGAGGCGGGACGTTACAAAATGGTATCAGAGCCGACTCTCGCGGTTTCACGAGCGTGTGTGTCGCAGTTGCGCAGGCATGGTGCGCATGGCTGGTGTAGACCGGGAGTGGTTACACAGCATGGCACATGCGCTGGCACTGGACACATGAACGTGGCCAAGAGAGGACGTTCCTGGCCTAGGGTTGATCGACGGGGGCGTCGATCTCTCTTGAGGGGGTGAGGGTGTAACATCCCGGCCTAGGGCCTGGCCTGGGGGAGGCGGGACGTTACAAAATGGTATCAGAGCCGACTCTCGCGGTTTCACGAGCGTGTGTGTCGCAGTTGCGCAGGCATGGTGCGCATGGCTGGTGTAGACCGGGAGTGGTTACACAGCATGGCACATGCGCTGGCACTGGACACATGAACGTGGCCAAGAGAGGACGTTTCTGGCCTAGGGTTGATCGACGGGGGCGTCGATCTCTCTTGAGGGGGTGAGGGTGTAACATCCCGGCCTAGGGCTTAATAGGATTAATAGAATACTCATATCAACAAGTTGCAACATTTTTTCCGGAATCCAATCTCCAAAGAACTCCAGGGTTAAGCGTGCTTGGCCTGGAGCAATTTGGGATGGGTGACCGACCGGGAAATTCTTCCCGGGTGCACACGAGTGAGGACAAAGTGTGCAGAAAAGACATGTGTTGGCCTGTGAGGGCAGTCTATGACCTATGAAAGATATCAGATATAAGTGGGCCCGGCCTGGGGGAGGCGGGTGCTCAAAGTTTTCCCTTAAAAAAAGGAAGGTGAATTTCAATAAATCCTAGGTTCAAGCTATACAAAACCACATGTATTTTGGCACGTGGTAGATATTATGGTCCTAAAATTTCACAAAACTACACTGCCGACGTGTTTTTTTTTTTTGCCATTGTTGGGCCCTTTGGATGGATGATGATGGGCCGATGGCTGAAATAGGTGGCCTTATATGGGCCGGTCCCGTCAGCAACCCATGGGCTGAGAGGGCCCAACTCAGGTTACCAGGCCACGGCCTTTTCAGGCCGAAGCTTTTCTCCCTCTCTTTGTTTTTTATTTTTATTTTTTTTAATTGCGGGATCAGAATCCCTAAGCTCGCCGTTCAAACGAAGCTCGCGAGTTGGCGAGGATTCGCCATGTATTATATCCATGTATTCTCATGTAGAATAGCACACCAATGAAACAAGCATAAACGATCCCTTAGTGCATATCTCGGTCAAATGACCATAGTTCACAGCAGAACACAAGCATTACAGCATGGAAATATAAAGCCCAAACATAACCAAAGTCTTCTATGATTGATACAGAACTCATGTTGGTATTAACAAGCACATGAATTGACTACTTTCAGTTTAACATGGATAGAAGTAGAACACAGCAAAAAAAAAAAAAGGGTTCCACTACTGTTGTACGACCAAAAATGTACACTCCAGCAGATATGGCCGTGGAGTGTTTGCTCCACACTTCTAAAAATATGCTTTCTCAAACACTTTCTACTGCATTGTGTAGCCCTCATGTTCTAAACTATTTGTTCATTTTGTTTCTAAAAATATTTAATTTATCCCTATGATCAAGTAGATAATCAGGGGAATAATATATTTCAAGCAGTCCCAATGAGGCCATTGTTCAATAAAGAGATCTAGTAACTATCTGAGAAAGATGGTTGCCAATTCGTAGACAATCACAATTTGCAACATTATTACAGTCAGAAAATAAGTTGCATTAGCTTCAATTGCATAGAATTGTACCAATGGTAGATGCACAGCATTAGTTTGTTTTCCTATAAGGACCATTGCAAAACCACGTAATCCACATAAACTCCATACACACAGAAGAATTATACCAACAGCTTGACCTGCATAAGGATCCCACTCCATCCTAAAATATACCAACCTATAACTGGATTAGACACGTCCTAGTCCAACAAATATAGACAAACCCCGCATCTAATCCAATCCTAGGTTGCTATATTTTGTGACGGAAAGCTTTTGGTAGGATGTGCCTACTCTACTCTAACAACAGCCCAATAGAATAACAATAGAGCAATCATACTCCCAACGATATTGAGAACAATTCACCTCTCCAGCTATGCAATAACAAATTTAAAAATGAAACAGAATAAGCCTGAGAAATAACTTCAACAAGGCAGATATATTAGAATGGTTCTTTTACTCAGCACAGCATAGCATGGTATCCTCAGTAAACCAGAGTACTACTACCCTTAACATTTCAGAAAACCTTAATAAAAAGCATCATGGAATCACATCCTAAGCTTGCATAAACACTGAAACATCCATAAAACAAAATCCGCAGGCAGCAGCCGGTGCCACCTCCTGCTCAGAACCCAAGCTTGGTGCGGCGCCAGTGCCTGCGCTTCGCGTTATACCTGAACAACACAAACCAAACCACGACATCTCAGCAGATATGCCTAAGCCGAATCGAACGCGGGAGGAGCAAAAGACTTAGCAAGAAGGAGGGGAGCAAGCAAATCAAATCACCTGATGGTGTTGTCGGTCCGCATGCGGATCCAGTAGGGGATGGGGCGGTTCTGGCGCATCTTCTTCGCCAGCTTCTTCTTGATGCGGAAGGTCTTGTGGGACGGCTGCGGCGAAACGAAACAAGCAAGCGATCACATCAGCGAAACGTCGGCCGGCCGGCATGGATTCCACGAGAGAAGGGCGCGAGATCGAGGAGCGTACCATCGTCGCGGCGGGGACGAAGAGGCGGCGGCGAAACCCTAGATGCGTGAAGGGCGGAAGAAGTGGGCGGCTGGGGATTATATAGAATGGGCTAATTGGACTGGGCCTATTTTTTCCGCAATTTCTTAATTGGGCTACTTTCGATGGTTAATATATGCCTTGTTGGGCTCGTCAACAATGGTAAACTGGTCTTTAAGAGGGTGATACTATAGAAATTTAGACCCAGATCAAGAGTATACTTCGTGGCCCATTTTATCGAAAACGGTTCTCATGTTGGAAACGGTAATGTAAACTCTGGTCATCACTCCCTCGGTTCCAAAATACAGCAATCACGGAGATCTGAAGCTATCTTTCTCCACTGAAAGAATGAAGTGGACAGTGGACAGGAGGTAAAAATGGAGCTAGTGATTTGTAAAGACACGTTGTGACATTATCAACCATCTAGGGGTGGCGGTGGCGGCTCGGTGGTGCGTGGCAGCAAGGTGTGCGGCCGCCCTGGACGCGGAGGTGGATGTGAACGAGGTGCGCGGCGGCTCAGGGGTGTGGCCTGCCCGGCGGCGTTGCCGCCCCATGGCCGCCCGCTCCGACCCTCCGACGAGTCCGGCTACCCTTGCTCCGCTCCCTCCACCTCCTACGATGCCCCACACTACTCCGCCGACAAGCCTTCCGTAGCCCACCTACGGTTTCCGCCCCCAGCACGAGCAGCCGCCCTACGCCTCCTCCGACTAGCAACGGCGAGGCCTGGTGCAGGCGCGAGATGGCGTGGCCAGGCCTCAGCGGCCGGGCAGCTGGGAAGCTGTCACGGTGCCTTCTGCGGCTAGGTGGGCGGCGCGGCGCGGCTAGGTGGATCAAGGAAGCCGGACAAAGGGGGCGCCGGCGCTAGAGCCGGAGCGGTAGCGTTTCCGGTGTCGGTGCAGGCCCAGATGGTAGTGCAACAGGAGCTAGCGGTGGTGGGTCATCTTTTTCGTTGTTGGTCGGCACCCTCGACCTTCCTGGTGCTCCTCCTTTTCTTTGCGGGAAGTTTGTAGGCTGGATTGAGGTGGTAGCTTGTCAGCGGGAGAAGCTCAGGTTGCCGAAGCAATGCCACCCAGTCCCAGGTTCTCCTTCGGTCAGATCTGGTGAGGAGGGCAGCGGGTGGTGGAACGGAGGGGTCCTGAGCCAGCTCTCAAGGATGGTGGTTCAATGAAGTCGGCCGATGGCAGGACGTCGGTGTGGTGTGGTGGCAGTCTTGTCGTTGGCAGGACTGGAAGATGGCCGGCGGAGGGACGTCGGTCGGGTGTGGCGGAAGCCATGTGCCGCTGATGTTTAGATGGTGGTTTCGGATTAGGCGACGAACCACGGCGGTAGGGGGTTCCGAGCGAAAGCTTAGCCCAATTTCCTTGGGCCAACAGTCTGTTGTTACTGCTCCCGGGCAGCACGAAGACGGCGACTAGACAAGGCGCCGATGCGACGGTGGCGGAGGGGAGATGGTTTTAGGAGTTGAACTGACAACGACGGCGCTCGCTTCAAAAATACCGGAAGCTACACGGTTTCTCGTTCGCTCGCAACCGATGCAGACTCGAACGCTGACGTTGGAAAGAAAAAAAAAGATTGATCGATATGAATTTAATCGGACGGAACCAGCGTGACGAGAAACGGACGAAACGTCAAAAGGGGCCGAACCATCTTCGAAAACCAACTCAAACACGGATTACGTGACAAAATTTAATAAAAATATTTTTAATTTTTATAATAGTAAAGATATGGTAGATTGGAGATAGATTATCTTTAACTAAGCGAGTTTAATCTGTGAATCCCCTTGTTCCCCACAACTGAACGGTTGTAGTACCTTAATGTCAGACGACAAAAAGAGCTTCTGGATACCAACCAGGACACATACATGATGTCATGATCTACTACGATATATATACTACTAGTATATACTGTTCAGTTCACGATCGAGCCATCAAAAAACAAAAGACATCCGCGATCGACAGGGGATTCACAGGTTTGCATCTCAAAGCAAAGCCAATGGACAAGAATCTAACTTGCGGCAGTCACATCAAGTATGTATCAATAGACTTTCAATCCCCAAACGACCACGCAAATATGCAAATATTATTTGCAAATATGTTTGAGAATAAAAACACACAATGACATCTGAGTATAATTGTATTTGTCAGTCGTCGCTACACGTGCATATGCAAAGCTAAATTACAAATCCATCTATGTTTTCCTCCTACATAATTTGCAATTAGATTCGTCTTTCTTCTTTATGTAGCCATAATTTAGCTTTTCATGTTTAGACTCGCCAGTTTAGCTTTTTCATGTTTATGTTTTAGGAAGTTTAATTCTCCTCTTACTCGCCAGGTTTTTTTTTTCTTCAGGAAAGGACAAAGAAAGAAGGGGTTTAAGATTAGAAAAAAGAAGTATAGACTATGCGCTAGGGACGAGCAAGGTACATGGGCTTGTAGTGAGCATCGCACCATGGTTAAGACAACGTCATTGGGACGCGAAGCAATACTACAAGTGCAAAAGATAATAATGGTGGATTACTATTGCAAGCTTCAAAAATTAGGATTGGTCAGGTGGATAGCTTTCGGGAAGCAGCTACATGTTATAAATCATCTGATAGATGTTATCAACAACAAGCTCAGACGGTACAAGGACCGTCGCTTGAAATGCGGACTCTTCTACATATCACCGCAGACAAAAATATGTGATGTTGTAGTTCATAGTCGTCTGTACGACATGCCACTCAAAGAAGCATTGACAAGATCACACTTCGAGTTGAAGAAGAGAAAAGAAATTCTGGATAGATATAACAAGTCTCGAGAATCAAACCTCCCCGTCACCGTTGCTCTACTATCGCCTTTGACCATGTTGTTGCTGTGCACTCTTTTTTCAATGGTTTTAGCTTATGTTATATTAGTATTCTTTTAAGGTGTCGTTGGTTATGAATATTTGTGACCTGTCTGCTTTTCGTATGAGAGAATCTATTCTATACCACTGAGTTTGTTCGAGTTCAATGATTTGCCATCGATATTGTCTCTTTCTATAATATACCGGCGACTTTATCAATTATTGTGCAATACGCCATTGGGCTGGACCTTCTTCTCAAAAATACCTAAAATATGCTTAGAAACATACTCTCTTCGTCCCTAAAAAAATCAAATCTTGGAGATGAGGGAGTACAAGATTAACAATTGATTTATTTCATCAGAAGTTTCAAAAAAATATAGCATTTAACAAATAAGTTATATTTTTGTTTATAAAAAATAGAAATATAAACAACTTGAAAACTTCTATACAAAATTCTATGTTGTGTAAGGAGTCCACACAAAAGTTTTCATATTTTTTTGAAACTTCAAATTAGATAAATTAATTGTTAACCTTGTATGTACATAAGAGTATTTTGGGAATTTTTGAAAAGAAGGTATAGCCCAATGGTGTATTATAGGACAATTGTTAAAGTCGTCGGTATATTATAGAAAGCGATAATGTCGATAGCAAACTCGAACAACTCTCGTTTCGTATATATCAAGGTAAGTTCCTTCTGTTTTGTTTAGATTCAGTTGGCCTATGACTTAATATTGTTTCGTAGGATCGGAATTTTGTGTCTGAGCAAATTTACAAAAAAAATAAGAAAGGAGGACGAAGAAAAAAGTTACTTGTGAAAAAGAAAAGAAAATTTCAAATACTACCCATTTCGCACTGGCGCCCGCGATACCAGCCGGCTTTGGTTGTCTACCACGCCGTGGCCGTTCGATCTCCATCTAACCGCCCTTAGCACCCTACCGCATTGCTTTTCTCCCGGGATTCCCGGTCGTGTCAGAGGCCGCTCCGCGGCTCCCCTCCCTACGCCCTGCTCTTCGTGGACCGTGCTACTGATATGTGAGGTCTCCTTTGCCTATGATATCATGCACTGGTGGAATGAGTCTACCTGGGCTTTTGTCCGCGTTGTGTTGCCTCACATCACACGAAGCTCTGGGAGTCTAGTGGTCCCCCCGGTGCTGCTGCTGGTGGATCCCAACGTGGACACGGTCTACGCGGTTAAACGATCGACATGTGGGCCACCATGCCCGTTTCACTTGCAACTATCATGGTCCTGGTCTATTTGGTGCACCGCTCTCCTGCCATCGACCTGCCCCGTCCAGTGGTACGTACTCCTTCGCATGCAACATGCAAGGCGCAAAGCAACGTATGGAATTTAAAAGATAAGAATGTAATTGGAGTTAAAAAGATAATGTACCACTAGTGGTGAATTCTGCATATATTTTTGCATTTTTTTAATTGCAAAAGAAAGTGTTCTGTTCGTAGTACTTTATAAAAAAATTATATAACTTATCCAAAAAAATACTTGTGGAAACATCGACAAGAAAAGGGCACGGGTTAACTAGTCCTGCTAATTCAGTTGGGATATGTACACGGCTCCAATTCCACGGCGAGCACGCGCACCGGCAACGGCGAGGACACGTCGATGACGATGACATTGGATGAGCAAGCAAAGGCGGCGACCACGAACGAATACAAATTAATTATGCAAAGACGGCACCAAGAACACAATTCATGACGCATAGAGAATTAATTTGCTTGGAACAAGGCAGTAGCGCCAAAGATCTTTCGATAACTGGTCCATGCATCATACAGATATACCAGAACATGGAAACATAGTACAGTTACTCGATCCGATGGAACTAAGATACTAAGAAACATGAAAAAACTTGACGATAGCTAGATCCACATCGCCGTCAGGCTTCTCCTACTCCTCGTCCGCCGGCGCCGGCGCCGCCTCGGCCGCCGCCGCCGCCGCCAGATCGCCATCCTCCTGTGCGGCCGCCACGATCGCCGGCTCCATCTTGCTCAGGGACTTGAACTTGTTCTCGTCCGCAAGCGCGCTTCCGTGCAGCACGCTCCTTGGGACGGTGCGAGACCCTCCCTCGGGCAGGAGCTCCACGATGTCCTTCGTCGGTGGCCTCACTGTCTTGAACTGGTAACGCAGGAGGGCGGCCGCCGGTCCCCTCGGGAAACGCGGGCGGCGAGCTTGCGACGACGACATGGTCGGCGCGCGGAGGGGGGGAGAGGTGCGGTGGCTGGTTGCGCTGCCTCTTTTTGCGGTGTCTTGTGTCCG